CCGCATTGTTGGCGAATATTTTACCCAAGAGTACGTTGCCATTACTTACCTCCAATAATGGAAGGATTAGGAGTATTATCGCGTAAGAACTTACACTAGCAATTCTTTTAAAACAATAAATGTTTATTACGAGATCAATGTGATGATGGTAATATTAATAATAATACCTAATGCAATTTAGAGAAGGGAGTTTAGATACGCTGAAGAACACCTTTATTTTTTCATAATAATTTTAAATCCATTCACTTATTATGCGATAATAAAATATTAAGAGAAATTTATCGATATATGACAAGATAATATAGCTGTTTTTATTTAGACAATAAAATCTTTTTGGTACAATCCGATACATCATATTTTTATAGGATTTTTTGCTGGAGATGTCTGACAGTAAATCAAAATTTTTATTTATCGCTGAAGCATTTGACCGAGAATCCCGTCAAAAACCGATCAAATTCGAGGTTTATTTCGAGGAAATAAAAAATGCGATTCTGTGCACGAATTTCCATATTATCTAATCGTCGTGCTCCGGTTCCCCCGCTTCCATTTGTATTTGCTCGCGCATTTTTCGAAACGTTTTCTTTTGTTTATTATATCGCTTATTGTTTTATATTTCCGCAAGGAGATCGAACGATACACAAATTTTCGTTTTGATACAGGATAAACTATGTGCCAGTATAGTTACAAAACAATTTATTTCATCTAAATAATAAATAAACAGGTTAATTTATAATCTCCCAAAACTATTTCTGTTGTAAACGTTATTAAAAATATTGATCGGGAATATAACTGAAATTTTATTCTGCAATGTCCAATAAATGGGAATTTTTCCCAGATATTATTCCTTAAAAGTTACAATGTGGTAAGTTTAATGTTCTATCAGTTCCAAAACACTTAAAAGTGCTGACTGTGTTGGTCTTGGCTCGAATAGATATTTATTTTTTCCTTCTTATTGTTTGTATTCTCTTTTGCAGGGTTTATTAAACGTCAGCGTTCCGCAGTGAAACGGTTCGAATCCCGAAGAGAATCCTTTTATTTTTTAAAGCGCTTTGTCGGAAAATAATAAAACTATTATAATGCACACATTTCGCCGAATGCTGTGCAGGTCCCCTGTAAAGTAAGTTTTAATATAACTTTTCTTTACGGTGATAATGTTCTAGATAATCCTATTAAATTCAAAGGAACTTTAAACACCAAAACCTCTTATAGTAGAATTTTCGAGGGCTGAATAATGTGCTCAAATATCGCCACAAAATTTAATCACAGTTCGTTTTAAGAAAATGTAATGCATTTTAAATGCCTGGAAACCGATCGATTTTCGCGTCGAAGCCAATTTGATGCGTTATGTTTCGCACAAAAAGTGGATAAGCCTAAAATAAAATATGCACGAAGGAAATATAAAAATTTAACAGACCTGCGGGTTATCAGTGACAGCTTGAGGTGCATGTTTGGATCAAAATGTGACAGAATCATTTATTACGCGATCCGTCCCTACGAGAAAGGTCTTTTCTCTCCGCTGAACTGGAAGCTAAAGCGGAATATGGCTTTAGTTATAGTTGGAATAAAATAGATGTATTTTTGGGAACATTTGATTTGTCACCGCACAGAAAGATGGCCTTCCCATTTTCGGATCGTTTCTTTTGTACCTCATTTAAGAGCATCCAGAGAAAAATTATCTCCACTCTCGGAAATGAACCAATTTTTTTTCGCTTTTTTCCTATTGTAATAAATGTTTTGGTTGAACCATACGAACTTGCTTCGCTAAGGGATCTCTTTCGAAGATTTATTTTTTCATAATTTCTTCAGGATTATAAATGGATTTTAAGGGACGCTGCATTTCCATAAATATTTTACATAAGAACTTGATAGAAATATTGAATCGTGATTCCTCCATTTGCGTCAATCAAAAAAGAGATTAGTGAAAAACTGCAGTGGCCGGTTAATGGAGTTCCGAAGTATTTCATCATTCTGGATCTATTTTTAACGCGTCAGCCGGAAAAGCGGCAAAAAATCGCGCTCACAGAACATCAATTATACAGGAATAATGGTCCGAACGGACATCTGCATCTGATTAATTCGCGCGCACTGGTGGTCTTTTAACATTAAAAAAACAGCGGTTCTCTAACACCAGCCATTTGGATAGATGCTCATTTCATTGTAGGTAAGATATAATGTGGTCTCATCAAAAATAGTTTGGTAATTATGTATGTTCTGGGCTGTACTCTTATCTCAGATAGTGGAAATGTTATGTTAAATGATAATTCAACAAAAATTCGGTTTGAATAAGCATTGGCGAAATAACAGGTAAATTAAAATAAAGCGAAAATGTGCATAAGTACCTAGATGTAGACGGATGGTTCTAAATTTAAGCGGGATTTTTAAAAACTGTCGCCAAGCATCTACGTTTCTCTAAATTAAGCTGCGTTGACAAAATGTTAAATTACCCTAAATTTCAGGTCACCTTTATAAAAACTCTTCACAAATATGAATATTTTGATAAATTATGAAATTCAAAATTATCTCGGCTATAATTAAATTAAAAGCAATCTTTATAATATACACATTAACTATAAAAAATGGTTCTGTTCTGAATATAATAAACTTAATGTGCACATAAAAGAGGAATTCCAGAAATTCGTTGAATAAATTGGAATCGTGAATCAGTTGTTACATTGAATACAAATGCAATTAATGTATCCCTTATCACCGTATGGGTATGACTAACGCTGTTTTCCTCGGAATTATTACCTAGTAACCGATATAATACCGTTTTATTTACTTATTGAAATAATTTTTATTGTTCAATAAACGACAATTGATAACCACGGGTTACTAAAATCTAGTTCAAACTACTAAAAAAGTTTAGATTACATTCGAGGTAATTGTTTGAAGTAACACTTCATAATCTACAAGAGTAAATTATATTGTAATTGTTTTATTAATAAAAATGCGCCAGTACAAATACAAATTCTGTGTACAAATTAAGGGCACTTTTATGTATTCGAACAAAGAACAATGCTAGTATAAGATAAATTTATCGTTTCGCCATGAACATCTGCTTCATGTCTCATGAAAGTAAAGTATTTATCTTGGATTCTCGCAATCACGAATTGGCAACTGCAAAGCAGCAATTTCATATCTAACTTTTCTGTATACCAATGCATTCTATTATTGGAGCTGATAAAAAATTCCATCCTAATTTCTTTCAACATTAAACGACGTCGAGAGATACGAGATCAAAGAGACGAACCGACCGCGCTATTCAATATCTTCAAACTCAAAAAAAAACTTATTAAAACGATTATTAAGAATTAAATAAGCGAACCACATTGCGTTGGCGTATATTAAAAACGGAATAACGACAAGGAAAAACGGCGGTCGCACGGCTTCACGTGTTCGAACCGCAGGGAAATCCTATTAGTACCTAAATCTGACAAACGGCGCGTATAGGCATTTGTAACCAGACACGTTGTTTAGCTGCGAACTAATCGAATAACTTTGCGGATTTTTTTTTTATTTTTTGTATTATTAATCCGAAGTCGGCCGTAACGGCCCTACGGAACAAGTTTCCGGACGAAAAAGTAGCCGCAATAGCCGGCGAGAATTAGCGGAATCGAAAGTTTCGCTCGTGCGCGTGCTGAATTGAATTTTTTTTCAATAAAGTTACTCCGCTCTAACGCACCTAGCAGCTCTAATGTAATAGAACATTTGAGCCCGAAGGGATTTTATGTAAATTTCTTGACGTTTGGTTTTCCTTGTATCCCTTGCCGGAACTTAATTTGCTCTTCCTAGGGAACAGGAAATTTATGAGTTGCTCTAGAAAGATTGTGATGGACAGCCGAAATTTAGATTTGTTGTTTTATGTTTTCACATTATTACACAAATAAATTTCCTTGAAATAACAGGATGATGTAATAAGTAATTTGGTGTAGAAAACTACATCCTGATGTACGAGTATTTATTGTAGAAATTGATGTTAATTGATCGAAATTTACGCAATATAAAATATTTAAAGGAACTCTATAAAACCGCGAACGCGATTCTATTTTTACGTACTAAAATTGCATAGCATTCGACCGGCAAAACTGCCGTGCACGCGGGATTTTCATCTGTCGCAAAGTCAATTCGAAGTTAACGAATACATTTCCTGTAAAATCGAACGGAAAAGGAAAGAAAGTCGGAAGCTCCCCCATCCCCCATCTCCCGTGGGACCGCGAAAACCCGCATCCTTAAAAAAATAACTTCATTAGTAATTTTTAATTAGTTGGGAGAATTTCTTTTCCGCGGAAAAACTCACCGACGATGAAAACGCGTTAATTAATGATATACCGAATAAATTGGAAAAGTTACGTTCCGCGAAACCGGTTATGTTCGTTTTCGTCCTATTTACTTCCTCTCGAGATTCAATCGACGGTAAATTGGCGGAAATACGATTTCTTGAAGCTATAACAAACCTACGCCAACAATTTGCAGCCGGGAATATTTCCGAAAGTTGAAATTTTTTTACCGATGTGATTGATGTTGGTGTACAAGCTTCCTGCAATCAGGAAAGTTTGCTAGTTTTTACACTAAAATTTCTAAACCATTTTTCATTTTCTGTGTGTAATATAAAGTTGCAATGCATTAATATTATCATCTTCAGTTTAATAATGCGCATCGTATTAAAAACGTACCGATAAATAAAAAAATACGATATGATACGAGATACTCCCTACAGAGATACGTGTATATTTTAAGCGTTATTCTTTTCGTGAAATATGAAAAGTTTCATTTTATCTTATCAAGATATACGTTCACCGTGGGGAATACGGAAACCTATACTGCGCCTATACTCTTCGTTATATCGAACATATGTATCCGTTGTCTTCATCATTCAAACGTAACGAATGAATCGTTAGGTTTTATCTTCGTGTTTTTCATTTCATAAATCATTATTTTGTTCGTCTAATTGACTGTTACATTATGCATTTCAATTGCATTAATAAAAAAATGATGTATTATTAAACACTTACCAATTCTAAGGCTTGTTCCTTGGGTTTCCGCATGAATTTGGCCAGCGTTTGAATTTTCTGGGATATGAACAATTTCTGATCCCTCAAGAGCATGAAGGTTTTGATCCAAACTTTCTTGCGATCGTCGCGAATCCAAACGTGAGAAAATATCACAGGGCACATACCCTCCTGAATTACCATATACTGAAATGAAAGGAGATAACGAAGAATTACATGCGGAAACACGACGAGGATTTCGGTAAAATGAAGCGCTTTAGCGTTCAATTCAAGCAAAAATTTATGCTCGTGTATACAAAAAAAATATACTGTCAGAGATTCGTTTAGAATAATCTAGTAGATGCTGAAGTTATGAAATAAGGTTTTTTGGTGCAAATTTTATTTAGAAGGTAATTTAATATGTAAATTGTTGCTTGATTGAAATCCTGCAGGTATACGTGTACTTATTAAAAAGCAGCCAAAAGCGACAAAAAATTGAGCTGCAAATTGTGTAGCTATACAACCAACAGTAAAAGCGTGATTACATTATTAAAATGTGCTTGTAAGATGCAATTTCCAGTGTACCTATGTACAAAATTTCATAAGCGTGCTGTAATGAAAAATGGGTTTAAAATTATGATAATATTGTTATCCTAATAAAAAACCAAAACTAAAAAACGATTTTTATAAAAAATTAGCATAGTGAAACCGCTAAAATTCGATTAATTTCTGCTCAAACGAGCCTGGGAAATTCCCTAAACATATCCTATGGCGGAAAACGCTCGTAATGCGAAAGAGAAAACAAATTTTCATAATTTTGAAAGTGAATTTTCCGCACGAGAGGACCGGAATTGGTACGTGAAATATCCTCCTCAAATATAAATTTGCTTCTTTAAGTTGCCTCCACGAACACGGAATTCAAACTTCGATGAATTTAAATTTAAATTGAAGTTGCATAAATAACCAAAAAAAACCCGGAAAGTGTCATGTCTCGAGGAAATTAAATGAGAAAAAAATAAGACGAAATTGATGATATAAGTAGAGTAAATATCGCTGGGTTTTTTTATGAACCCACTAAAATTCAACGTTTTTATTAAGACTAATATAGCTATAAGCTCTTATAAACACATAAATTATTGAGTACTGGGAATTCTTAGAAATCGAATTTACATATATGACTTATATCAACAGCGAGTCCATATTTTTTCAAGAGCAGGTGAGACGCCACAAACATAAAAAAATTACCTCTACCTGTAAATGGTTAAGATTAGGCGGACTTTTGTTTACGTCTTTATCAGTCTCAGTCTCTATGTTCAACATCCCGTATGGAAAAAATTGCTGAAAAGAAAATATTTTATTAATTACAGAAAAAGTTCTTAATAAAATTTTCTAATTAACTGTTGACGAACGATACTGCGCAGAATAATACCTCTGCATTATCAGCTATTCCTATAAGTCTGTAGCCATTAAATATACATGTATGTAAGTACAAATTCAATTCGTTTGGGGATAACGTGTTCGCTCTCGTTTATAACAGAATTAGGCTCGTAACAATTAGTATTTTACACAATTATTGTGACATTCGACATCTACACAATTCTATTCATTTGATCAAACGAGCGATCCGGCGGAAAAAATTGAGCCCGATCGCTCATTAATTATTGCGATGTCCTTGTCATGTAATTGAATTGAAGCAATTACTTAACACGTTTTTTTTCGGATCAAGGTGCACGCAACGTCTGTCAAAAAATCGCTTTCAACGAACCGTAAATAATTTATAAACGAGAGTGCTGGTTGAACAGGAAAAGCCGGCTCGAATTCACGAGTCGATATCGTAAACCGCTGCTGCCATCTCTGCACGCAGCAGGAAAGATTTTGTTCGTTCGCAATAGGTTACTGAACTGCAGGATAATTTGGAAATCTGAAATTCGAATTTCTCGTTCAAATCGCTTAGAGAAACTAAAATCTACAGTAAATTCTAGCTCATAAAAAAGGTGCTCTCCTGCAATGAAACTTACTTTCCATGGAACATTCACCTACCTGGGGATGATGGAAGAACTCGTATTTTCTAAAATCTTTTCTAAATCTAAACTTGAAGGAGGCGTGATACGAAAAATTTCTCATATCCTTGTAAGCGGCTAAGACATATTCGTGGTCTTCTAGCAGTCTTTCTGGAAATAAAATCGCTAAATAAGTAAAACTACCTTTTTATAATCTTAGGCTAGGTTTATGTGCTTCCCATAAGATTTTATTACTCAACCACATAATGGCACTTTTTATTCACGACGTACGTTTATGACACGAGGTGTAAGCGAGCATCATAAATAAACTATTTCATTGCTTAATCGTGGGCACTAAAATTGTATTATTAATTAAGTAAATGTATAATGCCCATATAAAGAGGCAGATAAATTATTTATATTTTACCTATTATAGTTAAGTGTCAATACCAATGAGAAATCCTGCTATAAAACACTTTCAGATGCTCTAATTACAAGGCGACCTTACTAGGTAACCTGCATAATAAATCCATACAAAATCAAATTATTATTGTAAAGAATTAAGAGTGTTTTAGATACATTTATTTAATTGTGGCGTTCCTAGTCTCATCTATAATCCTCGTATTTTCGTTACGATTTGAGTTCATTGCTATCGCTCAAAATAAGATTCTTTATACAAATAGTAACGCGGGAATTATCGCTGTAACCTTGTTCCTCTTTAACCAATCAATGTCAAGTTTAAATTTATAAAAGTCGGTGACGGGCAATTTTATTTGAACTATATAATGACCACAAAATGGGTTCTTTCGCACGAATTAATATAGCGATGGATGATGGAACTCTGGAACTCTTATCATTTCTGGTGGATTTGCAAAACTGAAAAAAATGCATCATTGATTATGTACTCTATTTTTACTATTCTATTATTTATTTTATTAACTTGTATTAAATTAATAATTTTCAAAATTTTATACGGATTTTAAAACACAGCTTTAATACCTATCTTAAATCTAATTTTAGCATCATCTGAGAGTTAATTATTTTTTTAATTACTTTTCACATCTTTTACATTTATTACCCAAGCGAAATGGATCTCCCTCTTTTCTCATTAAGTTGTGATTAAAATTTTAAAATTTAATTTATCCAAAGCTTTCTAAATTAAAGAAAATTTAGAAGTAAATATTAATAGAAATAATTTTCGTTCTGTCGAATAGAATATTAAAATTATCGAATAATTTCTCCAATGTATTCATTCATTTCACTATTATTACTATTCTTAAATGCATAAACATAAAAAAAACGCTTCAGAATTTTCTACGATTTTCTACGGTACGCAACAAATATGACAACTTTAAAGATTGCATTTATCTTCAACTGCGAATTGCCTTGTCAACGATGAAATAATTTCTAATTTCTTGGACTTTAGATTAAATCATTAGGTATCATTTCCAATGAACAGCGTATTTCAAATGACCAACCCGCAAATTGCTTTTAATAAATCAATAATTGAATTAATAAGGTGATAATGTGAAATACATTTACTATATTTAACAATACTTATCCAATATATAAAACAAAAAATGTAAATAAATTTAATGATTAATTATTTAATAATAAATGTGAGGTTTAGAAAAATAAACTGTGCAATAATTTAACATTGTAATTAACAAAAAGTGGGTACTTATGAATCTTATTACCACACAATACAATAATTAGGTAGATAGATAAGTACTATTTGTAAATGAATAAAAAAATTACACCAAGGAAACGAATACTTAGGCGAGTTTAAAGTACACATATTAAAATTGGCCACAATTAGATAAGATTTGTAAGATTAGGTAATCTAATGCAAGGTAAAATTGGAAATAAGATGAACAAGGCTCTAGAATTCTAGAACATTTAAAACAGAGAAACTTGGCTATACTAAAATATAGGTACCATGCATTACTTGAGAGTAAGTAATAACTTTTTTTAGTAACATCTTACGGTATCAAAAATAGAAAGATCGATATGTGAACTATTACTGTTCAACATTTACCGTCCAAATTTATTCCACTCGCTCGATCATTTGATTAGGAGGTGCATTCAGTAAAAGCTGGACGATAGTTAATAAATAATTCCGCCTAAAATACATACCAATTCCTAAGTCGCACCAATGCTCAATGATACTCCAATGAACGCTTTTGGCTGTGCGATTTTTAATAGCTAATAATTGGCAGAGATCACTGGCGCACAAATCTCGCTCTACAACTACGGATTGGAAGCTCTCGTTATCGTTGAAAAACTCCAGCTCTTCCTAAAAAGAGAACAGACTTAAACCCAGAAATAAACCAAAATGCTCAAAAGAAACTTGATACATTAAACCGTCACGCAAGTAGTGGGTTTTGTAAAACTGTATGAAGTATTAGATACTCACGGGTCTTGCAGAAGGCCCTTCTTCTTCGTGTATTTCTCTCCAAGATTCTTCTACGGTTTCGTGCAACCGCGCGTAACCGACACCTTGCGAACATGTACATTTTCCCCGCGGAAATCTGCACCACTCTGTAACAACATCAAAGCTCTTAAAACGTGCCTTCTTCCAACATATAAAGCAATGATTATAGACTATTTTTAACAAAAAATTATACGTAGCTTTGACATCAAAATTGATTTACTTCTACTTGCTAGACTTAAATCAATAGTGGTTTTGAATATTGATAAAATCAATTTTAAAATATTAATTATCCCCTATTCTTTATGTAATTCCTGATATTTAAGTATTTATGTAACATAATTATAAAGTAAACTGTCACTGTGGCCTTCCAAATTATTGGAATAACTACACGTTTCGTGATTTTCTACAATTTTATGTTGAGTATATTTAATTTTAGAGACCTGAAATAAATGCAAATATTTAAAAGCACGTGCTGGCTTCAAAACGATTTCATTAATGAGTAATTACAGCTAACGCCTGGCTCAAATCGATTTTATCAAGCCAAGAGCTTTCTGGATTTCAATTTAATATTTGTCTACAATCTAATATTCTCTAATAATAATAAATTGTACTAGATAATAAATTAATTTTAATATGTGTAATTCCCAACTGATATTGAATTTAACCGGCTTATAGCTTCATTATTGGTTCATTAAATAGCATTTTTGCGCTAAAAATATTTTCATTTCATCACTTAGGTACTTAACGAATATCGAGTAGGTATATAAAAATGTTATTCATAACTTATCTATAGTACAGACTGAAATTCCTAAATAAATATTTAACTAGTCTCGCAAACTATTCAATAACTTTTAATAATAAGACTCTTTATTAATAATAAGATTCTTTGAAGATAACGAAATTACTTACGCATGTATCGAATCATATTCGCGAAACGGCCGTTTTTACCTAACCAAGTTTTTAATCTATTCATCAATGCCTTTATGCACCATGGGCTCGACACACGTTCATGTGCCGCAGAAATCTCAACTCGCGTCACCAGTCACTTTGTCAAGTATTCGAAACTATTAATAATTTATTCGAAATACAAGGCGTGTAACACACGCTGCACACGTCCCATTAAAACTGAGGTCTCGGTAAGAAAAAAACTTACAAAACGAATTTAATTGGTTGACAACGCGCGAATAAAAATAGCACCGCACATTCATATTCATCCTATAGACAACCTGCACTGAGTACGTCTATAAATTATTACGATTTATCAAAATTATTATGACGTAGTATAAATAAAACACCACGATAACGGAGTTTATTATTTATTTTTAATCGCTTATCAAATAGTAATTAATGCTGATTTTTAATGCGAAGATAATGTTAACTATCCCTCAATGGTATGTATCAATAAATTGTCCTATGAATTAAAATTTATTTTATTTTGCTATGCAAAAATCTAAAATTTAAATGATTAGAACGTGCAAAATGAGCAGGGTAGATAACAGTAAGTAATTTTTAATCCCTTGCAAAGTCTATTCAACCTTGTCCTAAGACCACACAGATTCATCGATTGAACAATTTTAGATACTATACTGACAACAGATCCAAAGATTTATATTCAATGAACCAACCATAATTGGCAATGTTTTACAAATAAAATTATATCCACAAAACAGTTGTTCCATAGGTATCTTTAATGCCACTTCAGTAGCTGACCTAAATGTTCAAATAATTACTAAAGAATCCAAGCATTATGAACTAATGCTTCATTAGTAATATGTAGGTATACGGGTTCTTAACCTTCTCTAATGAGGATGAAATAAGAAGAATACCTACTCACTTAACATTTACAATTTTAATCATCACTGTATGTTCCATAATTGACCTACGTTATCGTCACTCAGGATGTCGATAACTTATCATAAGCTACTTACCTTCTTAGCTTTTAGCTTATTACGAGATAAAGTCAGTTATTATCGAAACATACTCTCTCGCCTACTGAAAAACGTGGCTATTGTATTACTTAAAACAAATAAATTTAATACTATGTATCAGAAATAACATCAATGCTATCGGAGGAATCGCTTAGAGCGTCGGAGGAAGTATCGCAGCTTTCTGCAATGCAACTGCTGGAGGGTTGGGGAAATTCGTTGCTATCAACGGGTTTCTGTTCGTTTAAGCATTTCTGTGAATACGTACACTCCTTGCCAGTTTTTCTTCCTTTCGCTTGCTCCTTTTTCTTGAAACATTGGCATTTACAGTCGGACTTGCTACTTAGTGGTTTCAGGGCGCTGAAAGATTCATCGATTTCTTTCAGTTTTGCTTTGAGGCACTGAAACGGTACGAGATGAATATTGGCAGCCGGACAAATCAACGAATATAGTGTATTTCTTTTGTAAGCCAAACGAGAGTGTATGGCAGTAGATAATCCATGCGCTAACTGACTTTTGATGTCGCCTGATAAACAGTAAATGTGCTCCATGTGCTCGGCAATCTGCTCCAGCGTAGCCCCCTTGGAATGGTTTTGAAAATGCTTGAGGGTCACCAACATTTTGTAGAAAAAGCTCGTTGATATTTTGCAGGTTTTTGGAGTTTTACCACACTTGGTCATTTTATGATATTTTAATTAATAGAAGTCAATTATGAATCATAACCTTTTAAATAAAAAAAATAGAAGAATAAACACAAAGGGGTAGATTATAAACAGTTTAGAAAAGAAGAACGTGTTCGCCGGAACAAGTCATCAGCGAAACTGTGCACCGAATGCTAAAAAACAATAGCATCGGCAACACCATTTCAACAATTACTGACCTCGCCTATATTATTGCAGCGTAACCAGTTCGCCCAAACTACAATGGTCGCGGAGGCCCCTCGGGCAACGGCACAGTTTTGCAGGCGAAGATAATGTGAATGAGCCGCGCCTGTGCCGTTCACTCACATTCGGCGAAATGGTCTAGACCTAGACCAGTAAATGCAGTAAAATTTTATTTTTAGTGCTTAGATCATAAAAAATTTTATCGCTTATTCCGCAAAATAACAATAATCTACTAATGCAGAGTATTTTTATAAGTATTTTAATAAGTTTGTGAACTATGTACTGTTTATAAAGGGAAATTATGAGTACTACTTTATTCAATTCCTCTTTGGTATTGTAAGCAGTATTGTAAGCAGTTGAATCGGAATACAAATGCAGTACAAATCCAAATATACAAAAATACATCTGATGTTAGTATGTAGTATTTGTTAATAACAAATTCTTATTCCTTTACAGAATGCTATAAGGTTCCAGATACATGTGCCTCATTTCTGAGTAGTGGAATATAGTACAAACCGTACAAAAGTTTAATAAATATCTAATGGTTCAGGGATTGATACATTATTGTTCTTATGGATAATTTTTAGAATTTTATTTTGCAGACACTCCAGTAGATTTAGTACATTTCCATATGCCCTATGTAGCTGTAACAATGCTGTGAAAGAAACCTTTAAAAACGGTTCAGAGTCGTTTGAAGAGCGTATTAATTACTGAAAAAACGTATTTATATTCTCCATTCGAGCAACCAATTTAAGTATTAATTTCATTTTTAATTTCAATTTCTTGCGTAATGTATAAAAAATGTATGTACTAAGATAATTCCTTATAAAAGTACATATTTCCTAATCGTTAAAATATCATAAAATTTTTTGATAATACATTGGTGAAATAATTCAACTTAATTATGAAATACACATATCAAATTTACGAAAAATAATAAATGATAAAGGTTCTTTCCATTACTTCATTTTTTCTACTTTAACATAAAAAAGGTAGGAAAAGTACTAATTCCGTATCTAAGTCCGCATTATTATGTAAATGCCGGGTCAAATTTCTTCAATTTTACAAAGATAATGAAAACTTTGAAAGAAATTGCAGCGTAAGCTAAGCTAGTAGGCGAGGTCTTGAAGAAGAGAAAGAGTAATATTTATAATACCAGGTTAGATAAGTATGAGCAGTAAATAGACTGTTATGCTAAAAAACTAAAATACTTGTTTGTCTGGTTCGTTTTGAATTAAAACTGTCCCAGACGTTGGTAGGTACATAAATATGCAGATAACATACCTATAAGTCAACGTACGCTGTTTTCTTACAACTGTTTTGACTCCAATCTATAAATGCATGCTGTCTGAGAGTATCCAAAATATATTCATAAATAAACGTTTTAACTGAGGCATTAAAATGATACAGCAGTTTTTCACTAACCTATACCAAATAAATAAGAAGATTAAGAAGAGAATGGAAATAGATGAGGACAGAAGAGAAATTATTTAGCGCCAAATGTAAAACCGCGCTGGAAGGTTGATGCAGCGTTCTTTGGGATGCACCGGAATTTCCCGGACTAAAATGAATGCACCGTGTGATGAATGAGCAGCGCGTGTGCATCCTGGTTGGTGGGCACCAGTTGCAAGATGGAAAATCGATAAAACTCGTCTGGCAACTGGCGCTGCAGGCCGCCACTGACGGCGTGCTACGTGCTACGTTTTGTTTACTATATTGCAATGCGACTAAGAACTACGAATACGATGCGGTGGCCTAAATTTTTTCAACACATGCATCGACTTAGAGGATGCAGAACGCTTTGCAGATTATAGCAGGATCATCACCAGAAATAACTAAACAAAACCGGCTTTGTCCAGTTAATTAAAGTTGTATTAAACTTTTAAGTAATGTATCTTCTTTGGTTATATTTGCATATTGTATGCTCCGGCACATCATAGCCTAAATCTTTAATATCAAAAGTTAATTACAAACATGCCAGTTGTTCGATTATTAATGAACTAAAATTTTAGCTGATAGGATGTTGTTTTCTGGAAAAATGGAAATTTTTCGATTATCCAACGCTTCAAACTGTCTCCTCTAATTTATAACTTTATGTAAAGTCGTGCTCTGTATTTACCCTTTCGTTGTGCTGTAGCTATCAACAAAATAATAGAGTGCAGAAATATGTATGTACAATAGATATGTAAATTTATTGGAATAATCTTCGGCCTAATGAATAAAGATTAATTATGTAGAAACTTTTAGAAATAGCAATTAATAATTATAGAAAACTTCTCAAAAAATCAGTATTAACAATTATTACAGACTATGTACGTACGTATTAATAGAACATTTTGTTTGCTCAAATCAATATTTACCTACTTTAAAATTGGATCAACTTCAAGTTTCTGCTTCTCGCATGAATAGCATTGTATTTTCGTTATGAAAAGCCACATTTCATATAATTACTACGAACATTGTATACATACCTTCTAAACTAAACAACCATATCACTGCACCCTTTATCGCTAAATTTAAATAATTACATATATCTCCACCTTAACTTTTGATGCAGTTGTAACAAATAACAATAGGTAGGTATATGTACATATGTAATACATTAGTAACAGTGTTAAAAATAACTAAGCTATTGACAAATTAATCATTTATCGAGTGAATTTTTTAACCCACTAACTACTTCTCAGAAAAATGAAAAAAAAATATTATAAATAGACATGATAACCCACAATTACTTACAGTACCAATTAGTAACTTCTGACTACCTACATTTTTTTATGTCTGTATATGTTTCCATTAAACTATTAATATAAAAATATTCCAGTGAGACATGGACAAACAAACCAGATAAAAAAAAATAATTAACTTCGTTGGCGTAATTCAATCTAGACTGTGCTGCACTTAGCCATATTAAACAATTTGATTATATAAAAAATACATTTTCTGGGCTGCTGTGTATTCTTTGATAAGGACACAAGACAACAATGACCTAGACCAAGACGGTGAGTAGCTAATTTCCACATCGTTAGCTTTAACACCATTTCCTGCGACGATAACACGAATTTATAGGAGGAATTGTAAATATGAGACCATTAAAACAATGCAAAAATGGAACTGCAACACCAACAAATTTATCGACTTTTCTTGGCAAGTCTATCGATTTAAAATTTATGACGCACACTAGCGCCATAAAATTTATTAATTATACGAAATGTTTAGACGGGGTGATTCATAATAGGTGTGATAAATTTTCAGGGAAAATTTGCATGTTAGAAATAAGGTTCTTTTTCAATAATTTTCAATAGTAGCAGGAAAAGAGAGGAATGACTATATTTGGTGTTATTATTGTTTTTGATTATTTATATGATTATTTGTTTTGATTATTGTTTTATCTAATCCACCTCAATTTATCGAAACATATTTCATTATTTTTAATTAATATTTTTGAAAATCATGAAATTTCCAGGCACGTACTTATTTTTCGCATATTTATCAATTTTATTAGATAATTAATATTCTCCAATGATTCGTAAATCAAGCAATAGATATACTATCAGGTATATTCCACGGAGATTTGAAATTACGGTACTAAATTGAATTGTCAAATTACTGTAATTAAATCACGATGTGCAATAAAAATAGTATTTGATTTATAAATACTTACACGTGTTCTGTTTCTAAATAAAGCCGGTAAATTTATTCAAACAATACGTGCAATTGTTGCACCTGGTAATGTAAATTCATCAGCTATTACAATGGGAATAATAACCAAGGGCACTCGGACTAATGAAATTGTATTGGTTACAACTGTAAATAAAAGTAAATAGCTAATATAAAGCTGGCAATTACAAGCTAATTTATTTCTTTGTCAAATGAACAGTTTCGTAATGATGTTTTTGATTAAATTGGTGGCCAAATTGAAAAACGATCCATCATGATATAGGGTTTTGCATGATGAGCTTCTATAAACATTTCTATGATACTAGTTGTATCAATTATTTCGAAAAACTAAAATAAAATTTGCAAAACTCTCCTTCATGTAAAGTTCCCAAATTTTGGCTGATGTCGAACTAAGCACTATATTGTAGATACTATTTTACAATCCTGGAAATACGAATAATTACAGAACCTTGAACGGAATTTGATTTATGAAGGCAAATTGAAAAAAAATGTCGAATATCAAGAATAATTGAAATATCTACCGACAGATATGGGTTTATCAAAACCTCTTTGAGAAATTTGAATATTTTTTAAAATGGACCGATATTTCATTAAATGTATTTTCTACTTTAACTGTTTCAGTAAGAAGTAATCATATTCCTATTTATGAATTATTAATGCACCTTCTTATCAATTATACTGTAATCGAGAGCGTAATAATGAGGGTGTAAGTATACAGTAAGACTTGGACGATAATACAAACACTATAATCATACCCATTAAATTAGTACCTGAGTTGACGTAAAAGTTTTAACATCAATTATGGAAATTTATTGTGTCCAGGAACTAGTTTATTTTTATTAAAATCGAGGTCACATTTGGGTTATTTCGTAATGAAACAAAATTTATGTAAATATTTACTATACGATACTTCGAACTATTGTTATCTTGTCACTTTCTATCGCGGTAAATATATCTAAATGTTAATGTCAACACTGTCAACAGTACCTATAATAGTACCACAATGGAAAAATTAACCCATCAGTGTCTAAGATGACAGATTTAATATTGAATACACAACATCTTTTGTAGTATATTCAACAGATACAATTATAGAAAACTCACTTAATCACTGATATTTATTAGAGATTTCGATTATCTCAACGATAATTTTCAATTGTGCTAACGACAGGGACCATTTAACCTTATGACTCTGTTCCACAGGGTCAAAGAGTTCACATGTTCATCGGCGTTCTTTCTTAGGTACGCTATATTAATTGAAATATTAATAGACTGAATGGTACTAAAGGCTATTCCAATTTCATTAGCGCCTCTGATGAATTGATAAATGGACGTGTGTAGATATGTAAATGTACCTACTCGTATTGAAAACCAATTGTAGCTTTTCGGTTGTTAAATTAAATCCAATCTAATGAGTAATAATAAGTATTAAATAAGTCAATAACGTGTATAGTGGTATATTTATTGTATCTCAGAGGGCCAGAATTGCCAGTAAATAGTCCCTTGATGGTTGTAAAATTACATGGAGTATATGGAGGGTTATATGGAGGTGTCCGAATATAATATGTAGGTATAACATAGGTTATACATATGTATTTGGGAATTAAGATTGATAAGGAATGAAAGCAAGTAAATATTTTTAAAACGAAAAATACTACATTGATAAAACGTTGAAGATAATGACTAGTAGGCATCTGATGTAATTTTTGTTGTTAATGTTCTTTTAATAGCAATCATATTGTTATAAATATATTTACTTGTTTACTTTATTCCAGGATAAATAAAGCTTATCTATGGCAAATTTTGGAACAGGTTTGTTTCTTGGACTAGGGACTATAGTAATCCTTGATAGTACCAGGCAATACAAGAAAAATCTAGTTTCTCGTAAAAATAAAGCGTGGAATAATGCAAATGCGTATTTTTGCTAGCCCTATAGGCTGCCCAATAACAATAATGTGAATATCTAAATAATGTAATGTTAGTTATTGTCATGAATAATGAATTTCAGAATATTTACGTAAGGGAAAATTTTATCAAATTTCGCATGCATTATAGATACTATTTTTTAGTGACCACCCACTATTTTACTCGAATAAATTTACAAGTAGAGAAGTAATAAAAAATAATTAAAAACGAGAAAAATAATACTTTCAGCAGTGGTCTCATTTATCCAAAACGTGCAGTTTTAAAACAATAAGTATTATGTTTAACAATAGGTTTATTAACAATTAATAATAGTACCTAATTGCATATTTTAAAAATAGAATTAATAGAAAATACTAACTGGTTTTTATAGAATATTAAATGATATAATCGAGTAATTACGTTGTAGAAACGATAGTAGAAATGCGTTTTCAATTAATTTTCCAAATTTCAATTTAATTTTAATGCACATAAAAAATTTAAAAGGTAAACATGTTTTAACGACATTTCGCTTCGACAAAATAAATAAATATTTTACAATAATTTATTATTAGCTCAAAAAAGGGGCTACAGCTAAACGAACCAGAATAAATGGTAATTTTTTCAATTTATAATAGCGATTATAAGTAGCGATTTAATAAATATTGCTTTAATATTTATGTACCTATAGGAAATTTATTTTCCCAATAAACTTACTGGTACTAGCATCGTGCTTCTTTAGTCCCAGCATTTTCATCCTAAGAAAAGGTCCCTTTCAAATATCAATAAAATAAAAAAACACAAATATCCAGTTTAAAAAAATATTGTGAATGATTTCCGCGCCACGCCGCATGAACAGAAAAAACCGATCAAAACAAAACCGACGAAAAAAACCACACTAACTATCACGAATATCCAGCACAATTCGGTAAATTACAACACAAAACAGCGAACGGCGTACAAAATGTTTGGTAATTTCGTTGGAAACATACAAAATCAGTCGACGATATCGGACATGAAGGAACGCACAAAACGAACCGTACAGGATTACCGTATACTTAAATACACGATTTGAAAGAGTCAAAACAGTGCGACGTGCTCGTTCTCTGGGAAGAGCAGCGCGCGATTCGACGCTGCCAGACCTTGGAGGAATTCTCATTTTTTCGGATATAGTCGCTCTGTTATAGTACGGGCAACGGAATAGGAATCTTACGAATAAATGTACTTATCTGGTTCCACCTCCATGGTAGTTCAAATTTGCTAAGCGGACCAGTCACTGCGTAGGAGCTTTGACTGCCTAAGCTAGCCCCATTGAAGAAGATGCTGTGTATCAACAAGTTTTCCATTAGATCAAAAGCAAAACCAGTATCTTCCAGTTCTATGCTAGTACAAAGTCAATGAGTAAGAGCTTTTACTAGCTGGACTTTCCCCATGGAACATATATGGTGCTTGTGCATCAACAAGTTTCCCATTAGATCAAAAGCAGAGCCAGTAGTATCTTCCAGTTCCATGCTAGCAGGTCAAATGTGCTGAATTGCCCAGTAAATTAATAAGAGCTTTTACTGGCTTAACTTTCCCTATGCGGAATGGAACATGGTGGTTGTGCATCAACAAGTTTCCGATTAGATGGAAAGCAGATCCAGTATTTCCCTATTTTATGAGCATGCATGAATTATGATGACCTAGATGATTTAGGATAGAATATATGGTTTGTAATTGGGATGCTACCTAGAAGCTCCAGTAGGGTGCAAACATTCCTAAATAATTATGCAATTATCATAGAATATTATCTGCACTTATTTCCAACAAATGGGTATCTTTATGCATCCTCCTCCACTTTACTGAAAGTTCCTTTTAGCTTGGCTTAAATGCTTAAATATTGAATTACTTCATGATACCTTCTTAAACGGATCGCAATTATTTGAGATTACATTTCAGAATTGTTCCCGCTTTTTGCTTGATACGGAATTTTGATCATGGCAGCGCTGGGTAGTATCTTTTTTTTAAGTTCCCCGCCAAGTTCTTTTAGCTCTGCCTCCGACTTAAGAACGGCCGTTTCGTTCGTAGTAAAATCAATTCGAACGTAGTAATGACGTCTGAATAGCCATTAGGACCTACATACAACCTACAGTGACTGCAAGTCGTCCGTAGATTGACTTCTCCCCTGCTGCGTTGCCAAGCGGACGTGAAGGAAAGGAATAATGATCGGTAATTTTTGCAATTTTCATTGCGATGCATTTTAAGAGGTGCTTTTTTAGTGTTTGGAGCTGTATAGAATATTCTCGAAAATTGCAGCACTTTGGGAGGTTGAGCACAGAGAAAAAAATTGAATTTCTTTTGGAGGACTACACACAATAGATTTTTATTACATATTCCTGAAAGTTACTCAACCTCCAGGTGTTTTTTGCGCAATATTTAAATTACGATTTTACACTTTACAGTATATTTTATACTATATCAAATTATTTCATATTTTCATGTCTTTATCCATTGATTTCGGAAACATTATAAAAATACTGAGCCATACGTATAATTTTTTATTACACTAAAGTACAAAATATCATAGATTCAGTGTAATCAATTCATTAATATATGTATTTCAAGATGAGCACGAGCATGCAGACTACTATTTGTATAATGTATCAAATATAATATTACTTATCATAATTAATATTTTTTTACTACGCACTATATGAACGTGAAGATAACCAGAAATGGTCCAATTCTGATATGATCTGATTATCTTCTCTATTTCGACACTACATTTTACACGCAAAAGTTTATTGACTTAACTCTTAGGTAATCCTTGCCCCTTTTTTATCGTTTTTATTTTAATATATCTTTATCACCAATGAATGAATGAAAATAAGAATGAAAGTTTAAAGATAATTTACAATGAAGGCTTTTTGTAAATAGGGATTATCTGGAGAATATTTTACAACTATTTTAACACAATCAGTAAGAATTTTCCGTCATTTATTTGCTTTATGGGACGTTTACCTTATTCCATTCATGTTATCAATACGTATTTAGTTTGAGCAGACTTCGTAAAGCAACAGTTCAGCAGGAGGTATTAAAATATGTAGAATATTTATTCTTATTTGCATAGGGGCAGTGTAAAAAATTACTTTACTAATTGAGTGCTTTACTGGGATTACTTTTAGTTTAATTTTAAATTATAGCCACAAATAAATTAAGTCATTCAAAACTAAAAAGCTTTGACATTGTTAAAATACAGAAGAACTTAACCTCCAACTCTCAGAGTGTTAAATAAAATATAACTAAATGTAGCTAAGAGTTGGAAGTAAATTTATGGTTTTGTAATGTCTATACTAAATGCATTAATAATACATGTATAGAGATTCCGTAACTTTTGATACGTTTACATTGTTCATGCATATTATTCAGAAATTCAAATCAGACATTGTTGAAAATCCAATGAAAAATTAAATGATTATAAACTTACAAAACTTGTAAAACTATAAACCTGTAAATAGATATTTATAACACTGTCTTTTGTGTAAAGGATGTCGGTTACATAGCTTATTTATAGTATAACTATTAGTACCAGAGATTCAAAATACAGGGTGTCTAATGAAAAGTAGCCCCTTTTAGTGAGCTAATAATTTTTAAACGCCAAATCATAAAAACATGCGGTTTTCGCAGATATATGGGGTGTTCCATTTAATAAAAATAGGTTACTGTGAATTTAAAAGAGATTTTAATAAAACACCCTGTATTAGTAATACATAATTTCTGTATCACTGTAACAAAACTTATTATAAAATAAAATATATTTGAGAAAACAGCTGTTTTTTAGGCGTTTAAAAATTATAAGCTTATTAAATATTATGAAGAAACTATTAATTTGCACGGAGTAAATTAAATATAGTTTAAAATGTACATAATAAAGCCATCAACCATAATTCAAGTAAAATATTACATTGTGCTGTATAAATTGTGTGAATATAAGACACTTAAATATAATAAAATACAGAGATTCATATTTTGCGTAAGAAATAGAGAGAAATAATGAACAATCACCAATTGTCCAAAAAATCTAAGCCAGTTTTTGGTAAAAGGGAATTAGTACTATCTGTATCCAAAATATCTAAAATACGTTCCTCTTCAGGTGCTTTGTATAGTAACACAGGCTGGAAATAAAATTATAATTAAACAAAATAAATGTATGATGAATTAAATTAATACAAAAGTTAATTTATGTAAATATAAATTAATATTAAAAGTACCTTTGGTGGAGGTGGCACTTTAGGTTTGACTACTGGCATTTTAATTCTATTCTCAGTCGATTTTTCCGGTTTCTTAGAACACAAAATGCTAAGATCTCTTTGGCTTTGAGTTTTAAAACTGAAAGGACCCGAATGTTCGTCTCGATACGAACAGTTTTCGTCGAAAACTAACTTAGCAGCGAAATTATCATCTTTGGATTTCTCTACAAATGAATTGTACTTTATTATTACTTCTGGTTTAATTACACTCTCTGTTAGGATAGCTTGTTGTTCCTTTTCGGGAATCGTTTCCCACAAGTCTTCATAAGACGTCTTCACATCTTCCAAGTCTTGACACAGTCTTGCAGATATAGAATTTAAGTTTTTAAAGTAAATTTCAGCTTCAGATTTCAGGGACATTTTTTAATTAAAGTTTACTCGATATATTCGAAACTCATAATGTTGATTCTTTTAAACGGTACCCAGTACCAAAACTGTTAAACAAAAACATTAAAACAACAGTAACAACACAAATATAAATGTCACACGTTGTATGACATTGACGTTTACTTACATCATTTTTGACAGTCCTCTCCCTATTCAGTTATTTAGTCAGTTAAGAATTATGAATTTGAAAGAAGAAAATAATCGATTTGACAATTGACATTAATTTAACCTTAAAAAACGATAACGTCAAAACACCATTTATTATTTTGCAAAACAAGAATAAGGAGAAACATAATAAAATGCCTAAAGTTGTATCAAGAAGTATCGCTTGTTCCGATACCAAAGATCAAGAAGAATATGGAGACGAAAAACCTCTACATATTTACTATTGTTTGTGTGGTCAAATGACTTTAATTCTAGGTAAGTTCAACTTGCAATATTTTCAAATTCTCCCTGGTTTTCATTTATATTTTTCAATCGTTTTTCAGACTGTTCAATAGAGAAACTTCCTCTGCGAAAAAGAGATGCAGCTAGAGTGTTAGACGGGACAAATCATGCCCACAAAATAACATGCGATCAAGACGAACCTGTACATATAAGGAGACCGGAAGGAATCGAAAAACAGTACAGGTTTAAATGTAAAAAATGTGGTTTACTTTTGTATTATAAGCACGAACCGCAAAGTCCTATTAGCTTTATCGTAAAAGGCTCATTGATTAAGAGCACCAACGAGGGGCCTATCAATAACATATACAATCAAGTTGCTGTAGAGAAGCCGAAGAAAATAATGGTTACGAAGCATACCAAAAACATGGGCAAATTTAGTTCTGTTACAGTATCTACTATTGATGAAGAAGAAGATGAAATTGAAGCTGTAAGTATAGACATATCGATATTATAAGAGCTATTTTGAAATCCCAACTATTCAGTTTTTTTAATTATCTTTTTAATTGCAGAGAGAAGTTGCAGACAGTTATGCTAATAATGCAAGAATTATTGAGAAACAATTGGAGAGAAAAGGAATGACGAAAAGAAGACAAGACCAAAGTAAAGGAAATGATATGAAAAAAATAAGGGGAACGTTGATAGATAAATAATAAATTAGTAATTAAATTGTGGAATTTGTTTACATTATTTTAGGATAGAAATAATTAGCTGATCTCAAGGAATTTTCAAGTAGAAAATCCGACAGTTTCTTAACTCTGTATTAGTTCCACAATGTTAACATACTCTTCTATAATACATAAAATTTGTACATTTTTTAATTAAGAATAAGCATATTAATAAATTACTTTTATTTACGGTTAATTTTAATATTTACAAAAGATTACATTTTATCGACTAGGACGTTTTTCTGACAATAAGGGAGTTGTTTCCTGGTAATCGTCGTGCAGTGAAGTTCTACTCATCGTCGCAGATTTAGCGTAGCGCTGCTGAAGTACCATGGTACTTTTAGCCATAGCTGCGGAAGCAGAAAGATCCGGTCCTTCGAGCCACGCTACGGATTTCTTCTTGTCTCGCAGCGCCACGAAACTTGGTTGGCCTAATTGATTCGCTTGACCGATGGAAGTTGACCATACTACAGATTTACCCCCGCGAGAGGTACCGCTCGTCACAGGAATATCCCGTTCTTCCACTAAATTATCGTCGCTCGTTGGTTCACTAATGAAATCCGATGCGGACCTGTCTGCCTTCTTCTTCTTCATAAAGTCGTCCATATTTTGATTCATTAATTGTCTTTCTATCTCTGTGTTGGTTACGCTGCCAGAGAACATTAAAGCGTCTGTATTCGTACCTTCCATTTCTCCTTGTACTGAATCGATAAATTCTTGTTCATCCGGTGGTGGTACCCAATTGGGATTTGTCGCGGCAAAATGCACCAAGGAAAGCTCCACTTTTCCATCTTCTGCTTGATTATATTGATCTTCGGCTGCTTTCGTACTATCGAGTTGCCACAAAGGATTGCCGTGTTTTTTTATGTTCATTTCAGCAAAACTACAAACGTCACCTACACCTACTACATTCACTGTGAAATTGCGGAAAAAGTCTACTATCTCCAAAGATCTCGGATAAACCCACCACCACATCAAAAATGGTACCAGTAAAGGTGCAAACATATCATCTATTATGGCTAAAATGCTCATTTGAAACAATTCTTGAAATTTCTTTCTTATTCGCGATTTATGGGCGTTACCTTTCCAATCGCCAGGTAAGTAATGCGTATGTAGAACGACACATTCTAACAATTGCTCCGGACACCACACGGTCGTTTCTTCTGGTATAAAAGATCTGCAAAGAGCCGTCAATCCTCCTAGGACAGTCATAATTGTGAGAATACTCTCAACGGCAATAACGTCTTCGTCATATATCGTCAAAGCAACAAGAACGGTAAATAACGATCCGCAAATAAAACCCACGTATTGGGCAAGAATCGTGAGAATCGGACTATTGAAAGCTTGCAAATATTCCGAAGCTGGACGATACGCTCTTATCAATCTCGCATGTAGCTCGTGGTCCAATTCATTAAAATGTCTAAAATACAATTTAGAGTACAAAGACCAATTTCGCATTCCCATTCTTCCGGGTTCTCTCTTAATCAACTCCCCGTAACTATAAAAGCTGTATAAGACTTGCCATAAGAATATTATCGGGGCCAGGCATAAATTTATCAATGCCAGCCATAAAATATTGCGGCCCAGTTGAGTTGCAAGTTCGTTTCTTAAATTTTGTTTCTTATATTCTTCTCTTAGCTGCCAAGGACTCTCGAATGGTGACCAAGGTGACCAAAACAGTAAAGCCTGAATATTGTATCTACAACAATTAATAGAATGGTATAATTGAATGGTTGTAAACTAGTTGTAATACATACCTTAGAGTTTTAGTCCAATAAACCAATTCGCCAAGAAAAGGTACGTTAAATCTTGGAGGAAACAAGTGCTTATTCACCATGGCCACCATGTAATTTTCTTGCCTTAGAATCCTATGATAAATATCTAATTCTGTTAGCTCTCTTTTGTGAATGCACATTTGAATGTCCAATTGAGCCGACTTGATTTTCTCCATGACATCTGACCATGTTAAATTGTCTAAATCATCGTCTTGTATGCCTAGGGCAGTATTGTAGAATTGCTTAATATCCCAGAAGTGGATAATCTGATAGAATTTGGTCAGAAATTTTAATATCATTACAGCAAAGGCGATTATATCCATGCACCAAGTCAAAAATGTAAAATTAGCAATACATTCAGACGGAGACAAAACTACATCACTTAAAGTAACCTTAGTAGAGTTTTTCTGGTGTATACCAAACATTGCATTATAGTTAATTCCATGGAAAAGGTACGTTGTTAAAAGCACGACGAACGCAAATTTGTTTATATCGAAGAAATCTTGCAATACCATACAAACAAATCCATGTTTTTGATGGTATTTGTACATTCGACTGAAGAACGAATCTAAATCGTCTATGTGGCTCCATTTTGATCTGGTTGATTCCGCTGTATGAAATAAAATCGCTTGTTCATCCTGCTCATGAATTCCAGCATCATTTAATGATTCATAGTTTTGCATGATTATTATGGATTTTAAGCTGCAAAATAAATAATTCGATCAATTGATTTGGTAACGACATAATTGATATTTAATTAGTCGGCGTTTTTAACGCAGTTTTAGTTACTTGCCTATTTTCCCTATTATCCATTTTGTTAATAAAATTTTGAAGTGGAAAAATTTCTACCTAGCTATGCCTATATGATCATTTATAACATACAAGCTATAGTTTGTTAGAAATTCGGTTAGAAAAGTCACTCCTAATAAGACGAATTTTTGACTGTCCCACAGTCCCAGAAAATTGAACCAACTGAAAATAAACAGGACCGTAATGTGTTGCAAAAGCATTTAAAAAGAAATGTAATTTCACCAATAAAATTTTATATCTATTTAAAGAATATTAGAATAGGTTGCCTCTGATAGGTCCTCCCATAATTTGTTGTAATGTTTAAATATTCTACCTGCAATATTGTACCTGTAAGAAGGACAATCTACCTGCTTTAAATAAATGCTTGTTGGTTGCAAAATTAAATTTACATTTTTAGAAAATAATCTACAATCCCAATACCATGCTTTCTAACCGATGATCAGACAAACTAAAACTACCACACAGAACACACAAAGGCATGTTTGGTCTGCATGAACTTCGAATAATTTACCTTAAATATACAAGGAATTAGATGGTATCAGAAGACTACTAAATTTATAAACTCAATAAATTCTTAATAAAAACACATTTTCTACATAAATCTATGTAGGACGGCTTATCAATCATAACAAAATATAAACAGATTTAAATGCGCATAAGCTCAATTTTTATAAAAAGTAGTTTATAATTAGTTTATTATGGCGAAAAATGGCGATGACACTTCGAAATTACTTAACCAAAACAAAGAACAGCTGATTGAGCTGATTACATAAAATGAAAACTTACCATCAATTTAGAATTATTATGCAGTGTTTTTGCGAAATAGTAGCCCGATAAAAATCTTCATCGCACTTGAATATGTTTAAGACGCAATAATTTTGCTGAAAATCAGAACAAAGGAAAATGTCACTTCACTTTTGCGCTTAGTAAATAAATGGTTTTCTTTTTTCATATCTTCACAGTAATTTCTCGAGATTCGAATAGTTCGTTGCTTCATTCATTAGGTTCAGAAAAGAATCACTTTAAATTTTACATTTTTTTGAAATTGAGATTAGCATGGCATATTTAGAAAACCAATAATTTTCTATTTTTTTTTAATGTCAAATCTAATCAACTCTAACTTCTCTGTCGTGTGTCAAAAACTGAACTTTACATATTGTGTATACAGCCCCTAATTACAAATAATCAATAATAATATTTTATAAGTTTTACTAAAAACGAAGAATAATTATTTCTATCTCTTTCTATTTCATTTCAAGATTATATAAAGGACACGTCATTTTTTGTCAATTGTCAGATTTAAATTGTGTTGATACTTTGATAAATTTTTGGGTTATGGTGCCACGTATTTTCTGGCTATTTTGACTATTTTATTCCAAAATATGGGAAATTCCGAAAGCGTAGATATCCCAGGCGGTGGAACCGAAGGATACCATGTACTCCGGGTACGTTAAGTTATTATTAAAGTTTCCACGTTACTGACATTTGCAATTTTAGGTCCAAGAAAATTCGCCTGCTAGCAAAGCAGGACTTCAACCATTTTTTGATTTCATCGTATCCATTAATGGAACTCGTCTGGACAAAGATAACGACACTTTGAAAACCATCCTCAAAAATGGAATTGGTAAATTTTGTTTCTCATTGCTTCAAGCTGTAGATTAGTATACAGAATTATACCAACATTATTTCAATCATAGCTTATCTTATACTGCAGTCTTATTCCCTACACCTGTTACAGTAACTGATTGTTTGTAAATGCCAAACTTTTATGTTCTTGAAAATATTGATTGGATTTAAGTAAAAATCAAATCCCGAAATTTCTTTGAAACCAAGCTGAATGAGATATCCTGTACATGTAGAATTAATGCTTTATACATCCAATTGAGTTTAAACTAACCTCCTGTATAGTATCTACTTGAAACTTGTTTTTGAATTTCTATTAAATGAATAATATTTTTTAGGCAAACAACTTCCCTTAGCGGTGTACAGTTGCAAGACGCAGGGCGTGAGGAGTGTGACCATTGAGCCTAGTGACACGTGGGGCGGGCAGGGCCTCTTAGGAATAAGCATCAAATTTTGCTCTTTCGAAGTGGCAAAGGAGAATGTTTGGCACATTTTGGAAGTCCACCCTAATTCTCCGGCATCGATGGCCGGCTTGAAGCCGTTTACAGATTACATAATTAGCTCAGATTCGATTTTGTACGAAAGAGAAGATCTCTATAACTTGATTGAAGGTCACGATGGCATTAGCCTAAAATTATATGTTTACAATTCGGATGAAGATAGGTGTAGAGAAGTGAATATTACTCCTAATTCTCGTTGGGGTGGAGATGGGCTGGTTGGGTGCAGTATAGGCTATGGATATTTGCACAGGATTCCAGTGAGAAGCAACGTTATTCAGCCTCCTCCTACAACGACTATATTTAATCAAGTTCCGACAGTGTCACCAAACAAAAATGAAACTAGCAACATGACCACTACTGAATCTATAAATAATCTTATTCAAAATACAGAAAATTTAACATTGCTTAGTCAAAATCCTGTAGCACCGACTACTTCTACAGTCTCGACTACGGCAGAGTCGCCTGTAAGTCAACCGAGCTCGATGGTTTTCACTTCGAATGTACCAGCACCCTCGTCGATCCCTAACTTTAGTAATTATAATATTCAAGTTCCGCCAGCAAGCGAAGCTCCAGCTTCTGAAGTGAGCAAATATTTCGATCCGAGTCTACAGCAACCTATAGTGAATCCATTAATGTACAACCCCGCCGATTACTCCGTAGGTGCTACTAATTTACAATACACCAATTCCCAAATGCCGCCACCTTTAAGTCCAATACAAGTGCAATCCGGTGCTCCTCAAGCATTTAGCCCAACAACTAGCGCTCCTGCTGGGTTACCTCCACCGCCGCTTTCGGGTTTTCAGAACCAACCAATCATTTTTGATCCACATATAGCCGCGCAATCGGCGCAACAATTATTAAGTGGTAATTTGATAAACACGAGTAAGCCATCTCAAATAATGTAATTGATAATCTGTAAGAATGTTTTGTATAATATTCGAGTCTTAATGAAACCTAACCGATTTTATTCCAATATATGTATATCTATTTTTTGTTGATGGTTCATTTTGATTTAGCATTCTTTATAATTCAATGGATTCGATGTTTAATACTGACCAGCATATTTTAAAAGGCAATGAGATGTGATAAACCAAATGAAAAACATTCTATTGTTGTTTCATTGGTATTTATTTAATGGATTTTTAAAAATTTACAATGAGTTATAAATAATATGACGGTTATTATTATTTTAATTTACAAGTTTAACAGCATGACAACTGTAAATAAAAAGATTATTTTAAAAGAAAATTGATTGGATCTTGAAAGAGACATAAATGGATTTTTGGTCTATAGAATCTACAAAAATTACGGGAAAACAAAAAATGTTTAATTCTTGAAATGAAATAATCAGATGAGTTATTATTTTTCTCTGCAAGTCTGTAAAACAATTCACAATAATTTTATAATGCGAACAACACGGTAACTTTTACGGGCCAGTATTTTAGAAATTTTAATTAATAGGTTGCTATTTGTTTTAAATATTTTCTTGATTAAATTTTTAAAGCATCTTTATACTGCTATAAAACCAGGTCACTATTAATTAATCATTTGGTTTTTCAGACTCATTGATTTATTTAAACATTGTAAAATACAATAAGTACATTATATTTATTATTTCCTGTTAAACAAATCATTTAATAAATAAGATAATAAATAAATAGTCTAGTGTTATTAATTTTAATCCTTAAAATTGTACCAAAGTTTATTACAAGCTGAATAATTTATTGACCAATAAGGGGGCACCAGTAATAATTACTACACGTTTTATTTGCCCAATTTCTAATCAACATTTATCTATCTACATAACTTTTTTTTAAATAAATTTTGTATATTGATAATTTTACGTATGTACACACGTTTTCAAAATAAATATGAGAATATTTCTTATTCAAATTATATCCAACTTATCAAATCCATATCAGTTGATGATATTGGAGCAGATTATAGTTTATTCAATATTATCAATTAAATTTAATTTGAGGCAAGCTATCAACGTCGCTATAGATTTGTATCTTGTGTGGCCAGTGCTGTTTCGTTTAACTATGGCAAATCGCGTTAAATAGATAGAATCTGAATAGAAAAATGTTATTCTGTAGATATAAAAGAGGGACAAGTGTCTTAGATGAGGAAAGGAACAATAATGTTGACGAAAGGAGAATCGGTATTATTTCTAAATCTATCGGGGTGCCTCCTTATGAATTCGACATTAAAGACATTAGAAAATATCCCAAAACAAAAGAGTAAGTAAACTTAAATGGATTCATCGTGTAAAAATTGCTATAAAATATTTATTTCATTGCATTGAAATATTTTTAAACAATTACGCTTTCAAGATAAACCACTTCAAACTTTCTATCATAATCACACAAGATAATTGTTTATGGGTATAATAGGTACCCTACGTATTACATGGGTATTTTATTAAGTAAGCAAGAAACTGATGAAATTTGTAAGTTTCTTCTCTAGCAACCTTTCAGGTTTAATTTTATTACACATTTCACCACTTTCTTCAAAAATAGCCTCCATTTTATCTATCATTAAGTGTAGAGTCCAAAGGTTCCATTCCTCTTCTTCCATTCAATCACCTTTTTCACTTCAATCACACCAAATTTTCGGCTTTTCCAGAGAAGAAGCAGAAATCCTTACGGCTCTTCAACAGAACGAATTCCTTTCGAATATTCTCCTGCAAGAGAAACGATTGCAAACATGCATCGATTGCATGTACAAGCAACACGTAGACGCCAACGAAATAATCATCCAAGAAGGCGGAATGGGTTCCCACGTCTACATATCGTGCGAGGGATCATACGAAGTAATCATTGGAACAGAGACCGTCGCTGCTTTCAACGATGTCAGAGTCTTCGGGGAGCTCGCTATACTTTACTCAGTCAAAAGACATGCCACAATTAAGGCCGTCGAGGATGGATTAGTGTGGGTTTTGGATGGCCACACGTTCAAAACTCTCGTTATTAAATCAGCGATGGAGGAGCAGGAAGAGATGGTGTCCTTTCTTCGAAACGTACCTGAACTTAACACCGCTCCCATAGAGAAGCTATACCAAGTAGTCAATATCTTCAAATTGGAATTCTTTAAATCCAATACAGAAATTATCAAGCAATGCGAGCTAGGGGACAAGTTTTACATTATCCGAGCTGGAACGGTTACTGTCGAGCAAGACAACGAAAAAGTAAGGCAATATTTAACAAACATTCTGCAGGTGAAGTAATAATATAATCCGCAGATTAGAGAGCTGTCTAGGGGTCGATACTTCGGCGAGGTAGCTCTTCTAAAGGACGATTTCAGGGAAACCACAATCAGAGCGAACCCGCCGGGCGTGGAATGCCTCACTTTAGCTCGAAACGAATTCATAGAGCACTTCGGCGACTTGGAGGAATTCGTAAGGTTGAAGAACGTACCGTGGACGGCATTGGAAAAACTCGAGGAATTCCCCGACTTGCATCTAAACGAATTCGACGTCCTGCAAACGCTGGGCGTCGGCGCCTACGGGAGGGTGCAGCTCATCCAGCACCTGCGCCAGAAGAACCTGGTCTTCGCTCTGAAGTACTTCCACGCGGCGGAGATCAAGAAACCGGCCGTACAACAGCAGTTGCTCAACGAGAGAAACCTGCAGACTTCCTGCAATTCGCCGTTTATAGCCAGAATGTACAGGAGCTTCGTAACGTCGAAATATATTTATTTTCTTTTAGAGGTCGGTCTAGGCGGCGATCTGTGGAGTTTGATACACACTCAACAATTGAAAAGGTTTGATGAAATGTCTGCTAAATTTTACGCAGGTAATTTCAAGTTAATTGTACTGAGTAAAGTACTACTAAACTTTTTTCGATTGTTTAAGGTTGTGTTCTGGAAGGGATTGGTTACCTGCATTCGCGTGGTATCCTCTATAGAGATTTAAAACCGGAGAACATCATAGTCCATCATACGGGCTACATCAAGCTAACTGACTTCGGTTTCGCCAAGAAGGCGGATTCCAAGGAGAAGACATTCACGTTCGTCGGCACCGCCGAGTACGTAGCTCCTGAAATTATTTTAAACAAAGGCTACGATAAAGGGGTCGACTATTGGGCGTTCGGAGTTCTAATATACGAGCTTCTAGTAGGCCGGACACCTTTCAAAACCAACGATTCCAGCCATCTCAGCACGTACAAGCTCATTCTGAAAGGCATCGAAAACGTGGTTGTGCCCGACTACGTTTCCAGTACGGCCAAATCGATTATTCGAAAATTGTGCACGCAATCTCCCTCCGACCGGCTGGGCTGCCAAAGAACCGGCATTCAGGCCATCAAGAAGCATTTGTGGTTCGGCAGTTTGGACTGGAACAAGCTCGTCAATCAGAAACTGAAGCCGCCCTTCAAGCCCCATCTCAGGAACAACGTCGATACGAAGTACTTTGATCCCTCGTTTCCCGACGACCTTCGCGAACCAGTGGATTGCTTCGAAGATTGGCTTAAAGAGTTTGATTAATTGAAGTGAATCACTTAGGATCAAATATACTTTGTCAAAGATGGTGCAAATTAAATTAATGCAATTAAATGCAAGTGCATAAATAGTGCAATTAAAAATATTTAATATTATTATAGTATAGCGATGTTGCGAAATTGTTATTTTTCTGTTGAAGATTTTTTTAACCATCTTTAAATAAATACTACTTAAGAAAGTTACATTTAATATCACCCTATTGTATACGTAATTTAAATTAAATATTTTTCTATTTAAACATGAGGAATAAAACATACATTAGAAATATTTACCGTTTTATTATGACAAATTTGTACATATACTGACTTACAATAGAATAAAGATACAAACAAAGTTGTAGAAATAATGTAATAATGGTGAGTGGTTACAAAATTCAAATTTATGTTTCTAAATATTTATGATAATAATTGCTAAATAAATTAAAACAATTAATGAACATATCCACATGTACTTTAGCTATAAAACCACATCAAAATATACCGTCATCCCAACCGGAGTCCTCCGGCGGTGGAAGGCTCTTATCAGGTACATACCTCCTGCTCCTGTACGACTTGCTTTGATTCTTGAACGGCGTCTTCATTTGAAACTTCTGCAATTTGGGCCAGTCGAATCCCTCGTACCACCTGTGCTGTTTGATGTCCTCGATTCCGATCCTCTCCGACGGATTTTCCCGGCAAAGCCTCTTTATCAAATCCTTCGCCGGCGGACTGACCGCTTCGGGGAACCGGATCTTCTCGATGCCGTTCAGGATGTTCTTGAATATTTTCGCGTCGTTGTAGTCCATCGAGCTGAAGGGCGTTTTGCCGCAGAGCATTTCGAAGATGAAAACCCCGCACGCCCAGTAATCCACGGCGCGTCCGTAGGTGCCCTTCCGGGCTACTTCGGGCGCTACGTACTCCACGGTTCCGGCAAACGTGAAGGTCTTCTCGAATTTAGCCAGTCTCTTGATGTAGCCGAAGTCGGTTAGTTTGAAGTAACCGGTGGCGGTGAGCATGATGTTCTCCGGTTTCAGGTCCCTGTATATTATATTTTTATTATGCAAATACTCCAAACCCTCCAACACGCAACCTGTTATGAATTTGGCCTCTTTTTCGCTGAATTGGTGATTTTTTTGATTTTTATATAGAAGGCTCCAAAGGTCACCACCTGAAAAACAACAATTGTAGTAATCAAGTTATTTGGGGACCATTGGAAATATTACCTGAGCAATATTCCATCAAGTAAAAAATATATCGAGTATCTCTAAAGGTTTTGTACATTTTTACGATGAATGGAGAATCACAGGAGATCTGTAATCTCTCATTTATAGCTTGTTGTTGTCTATTATCTTTCACGATAGTGTACTTGCTCATCATTTTTAAAGCAAAACACTGAAACAAATTAATTCGAGTGAAAATGGATTAATTTCAAATTGAAATATACTGGATATACTCACTATTTCTGATTACCTTATGTATTTTACATTACTAAATACTCTATATTTATGATTACGCTTTACCTGATTTTTGTTTTCTTTCAACATAACCAACTCCACTCGCCCGAAACCGCCTTCTCCGATAGTGTACACTATTTTCAGGTCCTTCAATTGGATTTCGTTAAATTGATTCGATAGCATGGAATTCGAGCTTCTAGGCGTTACTTTCAAATAGTCCTTTATTTCTATAAACAGCTTCCTGGAAATCGCGAGGCATTCCACCAGAGGATCGTCCGCGGTGACAGTCGCTTGTCGACGCGTCTCCTCCAACAGCGCCCGCTCCCCGAAGTAGTAGCCCTTTCCGAACGAGCCCAAATTTCCTTGCCCTTCTTTGGTCACTGTCACTGTACCGGCCCGGACTATGTAGAACTTATTACCTACGTAAAAAAAGTGCTAATTTCAATTTGGATCATCGCAAATGGGATTCACATGTAGGGAGATCGAGTAGAATCCGGAATCTACATGTTCTAGTATCTATTCAGTAGAGGAAGTGCGCCATATATGGACCACCATAAGCACTTTTTTCGATAAGAAGTCGAACTTTAAATTTTAATCAGCTTTATTTATATTAAACAATTCCTTAACCATTTAGTTAAGAAAAACTCATAATAAAATTCTCCATAAAACAAAATCTTTGAAATAAATAACATTTTCTAAAGTATATCATTTTTATGAACTTTCAGAAAGTGAACATAATATGGACCACATCCAGATTTTTCCATTTCTAGAATATAATTGACTAATTAATTCATCTTCCAATTCACTCGGTAATGTTGATTGTCTTCCAAGTTTTTGGGTGGCGATATCATTAAGTGATTTGTTTTAGGTGTATGTTTTAGAAGCATTCAAAAAGCCCATTATCTTTTCTCGTGCATTTTTAATTGCCTTCGCCGTTGGGTTTTTTTTAAAACTTAATACAAATAATTGCAACATGACTCACCTTCCTCGTGGTCTTATCCACTTTCACATAAAATAGTATTTTTTGGATAAAGAAACTTAAAAATTTCGCTAGAAAATTAGATCGCGCGTTGCAGAAAACTAAAAAAGTCTATATTATAAGACCGGTCCATATTTGGCGCACTACATTTTAAACATTAAATTAATGCGTCTTTCAGGATAAGAAGGGTACGATCAAGATGCAAGGGAATGTCTTATTTCTACTCCAATTTGTTGACGTACAAGCTTACTCATCGGGTACTTACCCTTATCGCCCTCTTTGATGATGACCTTTCCGCCGGGATATTGCTCGGAAACCAGAGCGCTGGCCAGCATTTTCAGCATTTTCTCGCCGGAATCGCGCAGCACGTCGCATCTGATCAGAAAATCCACCCGTTCGTCGTGCTCTTTGTAATTGTATTTGACCAGAATTCGGTGGTAGACCGGGGCGTCGAGGACCCAAACGGTGGCGTCGGTGACCGCTCGAATGGTCGCCATTCGTTTCGCATCGTACAGAATGGCCAGTTCGCCGAAGATCCTGACGTCCTCGAAAGTCGTGATGTTCTTCGATCTTGATGTTTTTATTTCGAAGGTTCCTGCAATGTTTAATTGTAATTTAGCCACTTGCTGTAGATTGATTGTAAAAGTAGCAGCTATGATGAGAACATTGGAGTCCCTGTTATGGACCCTGAAGACATAAACAGACATCCATTGAAAAAGACTGAGTCTTTCATTGAAGGACTCAGTTTCATGGATGTATAAGCAGCAGGAATAACACAATGGTCCCACTAGAGGCCTCAATGCCGGAACCTTGATTTGAGCCGGTCTTGGTCAAGATTCGCCTGCGCCCTAAAGGCTAACTAAATTAGTACCTAGTAATAGTCGTATGATGAGAACAGTTACCTGCTCCAGATGAAACTAAAACTGTAGAGTTATAACCAATGCCTACCTCGAATAGAGACGTACATGTGTGAGCCGGTGTTTCCTTCTTTTATAATAACATCGTTGGCTTTTATGTCGCTTTTGTACATTGCAGCTATTACATCCTTAAGAATATCCCCGGTTATTACTCTTGACAAAAAGTCATTTCGTTCGATTGCGCCTTTGATGAGGTTTTCATCTCTAAAAATGAACAATAACAATATCACTACAATTAAACACCACACCGGGCTAACCAGACAATTGATCATAGATAATCATTTTAATGAGTACCTACTTGTTAATTTGTATCGTTTGCAGCGATACAAATTTTGATCATTTTACGAACTATACTTTCTCTATAAAATTCGGTTTTTACATCAACAATTTTACTACTTACTCGTGAGTTTTAGAAGTAAATTGGGGTTCCTTAGGGCTAAGTTCGGAGACACTTTGATAAACTGCCGGTCGTCTGTGTTGCTCTTCTACGGCGCTTTCTTCGTGATCGTGCGGTGGCCGCCATTTCTGTCTATTCCTCCAACAGTACCAGCACATCTCTAACTCCAAAACAAATACCAAACGACAACAAGTAAATAACGATCACTGATTACACCACAAACATCTTACAAATTACTTTAAAATCAGATACATTATCATTTTATCAGCACGATTTCCGAGTGGGTAAAACACAATCACTGAGCAACTATCGAAACAACAATTAATTCGACTGAACGCACATGTTCGTCCTTTGCTGATTTTCGTTTTTTTAATCATAACAATAGGAATATTCTATTAGTATTAAATCGAAATTAGTAAGTAGATAATCGAGCGGCAAGTTTTACAATACGATACAATACAGAGTGATTTGCACCTGAAATCGTACAACTTTTAAATTTTATTTTAGTACCAATGCATAAAGGTTTCCTATTTATTCGTCCTATATTATTCATAAGATAAATAATAGAGGAGTAATTAAATGGTAGATGGACTAGTGTACGCCTCCACCATTTTATAAATTTTGTGTAAAAAATGCTGTAGGTATATTTATCACATTAGAAATTATAATAGGACATGAGATCATACGTTAATATATTCCTTTGTTATGATTATTATGAGAAGCACTTAGTAGGTACTATTTGTTTATTTATCTGTAGATATAATAGAGTGTGTTCTAGATAAATAAATATGTTTAACAAATTACGACTTTACTGGAAAAATTTTATAGCATATTATATTTTGTAGTTAAATTATTTCCACAATTTACCCATAAAGAAAGATCGATTTTGAAATCGACACTTTTAAATAGTGATTGTAGATACGTAAAAAAATCTGTATAAAGCTCATACACATAACCCTGTATGTACCTAATTATTTGTATATTTATTATTTTATTGTTTATTCTATAATTGAAAGTCTTATTTACAATAATTTAAATATTACAAGTATAATTAGATTGTAATTGATGCGCTTAACGAATTAAAAAAAGAATTGAGAGAAAAATATATTTATGCGGTATTACATTACACTAGCAGCGGAATGAATTAAAGTACTCCATGCAAAACGCATGTATGTAATGAAATTTGCAATAATTTAAATGCTGAAATTTTAATATCGGTAATTTATTGGCAACCTTGAAATTATACGTTGTTAACAAATAACGGTAAATGAACGTTTACACTAAATTTATAAAAGCAACACACATAGAATATTTATTTGGATTTCATCAATTTGAAATAAACTTATTTTATTAGGTACAAATTGAACTTAATTTAAAAACCATTATCCCACCCGGAGTTTTCTTCCGGAGTTTTATCGTTGTCCGGCTTGAAATTATCAAAATATTTAGTGTCAACGGGCCCGTTTAACTTCGGCTTGAACGGCGAATGATAACCGCCCTGAACTAATTTCTGCCAATCCATGCCCATGAACCACTTGTGGCCCTTGATGTCCTGGATTCCATTCTTCTTCATGCCGAGCCTTTCGGAGGGCACGGCCCTACACAGCCTTTCTATCAAATATTTCGCCGACAGGGGAATATACGTCGGAAATGCGACCGTGTCTATCCCGTTCAGGATTTTCTGGTAGGTTCGCATGTGATCGTCGCTTCTAAAGGGCGTTTTACCGCACAGCATTTCGAATACAAACACGCCGTACGCCCAATAGTCCACTGCTCGATCATGCCCACGACCAAGGACTATTTCCGGCGCCACGTATTCGGGAGTACCTGAAACAAATTAAATTAGAAGGCTCTAAATTAGAGGACTAATCGAGCACTGTTATTAGCTGAACTCAATGACGATACTGCCAATAATGAACAGGGTTTAATTTAGTAGAGAAGTACAGGTTGTGTTACCTGCGAATGTGAATGTTTTCGACCGGTTTTCGATTTTTTTCGCAAACCCGAAATCGGTGAGTTTAATGTATCCTTTGCTCGATATCAGTAAATTTTCCGGCTTGAGGTCGCGATAGACGATTCCTCTGGAATGAAGGTAATCGAAGGCTTCTAACACGCAACCGCAGATGAAGCGCGCTTCTTTTTCTTCGAATTTTCTATTTTTCTGTCGATGAAGCAAACTCCACAGATCGCCACCTGGAAATGCATCTTTAGAAGCCTTCGGTAATCAATTAGTAAGTACCTATACCTAAGCATGCTTCCATTAGAAAATAGACGAATTTTCTGTCTTTGTAGGTTCTGAACAACCGCACGATCAATGGAGACCTACATTTTAACTGAATGTCCTTCTCGTTATAGATATGCTCTTGTTGGTTTTGCTCGACTATGGCTATTTTCTTCAAATACTTCAGCGCGAAAACGATGTTTTCGACTGTGGTGTGCTGCACCAGTTCAACTCGCCCGAATCCACCGACTCCTATCGTCTTTACTATTCTCAGATCCTTCAGGTTGATGTCGTCGTATTCGGTGGGCGCGGCGTTTATCGACTCCTTCGGCCGATCTTCGATTTTTATGTATTTGAATTGCTTTATTTCGCCTAGATGGTCGATGAATTGCTTCCTTGTCAGAGTCAGGCATTCCACGCCCGGTGCATTCGCTGTTACCGTCGCCTGGCGGCAGTCTTCTTCTAGGAGCGCGAGCTCGCCGAAGCAGTCGCCCTGCTTATAAATGTTCACGACGCCTTCGCCTTTTTTGGTTATTGTCACCGTTCCGGCTCGAATTATGAAGAATTTGTCGCCTAAAAAATAACACTATATGACATTTTTTTGTATTTACAATAATAATATTGAATTAAATAACTGTTTATTGTCAATTTGGACCTGCTGAACACGATTATGTATATTATTTTTTGTAACATAGACGATTTTTAATTGTGATAAATTTTGGTTTCATAAATGAAGAAAAACAGTGCGATAATTTCAATATCAAAGTGAATTAGTGTGTTTGTTAAAAAATGGATAAGTGTTAATTTTTTTTCTGTGTAGGTACGCATATTTTCTTATTATAGGAGCTAACAAGTGCCATTTTTTTTAATTTAGACCCCGATAGCTCAGCTTTCCTAATAGGTAACTCCAAAACTCGAACCTTGAAACTTCTAAATGTTTCTGGAGATTTGTAAATGGTTCTCGACAATTCTGATTCACCCTGAAGTGTTCTAAATGATTCGGGGCAAGTCCAAATTATTGTAGACAGTTCTAATTCGTTTCAGAAGCATTCTAAATTATTTTGGACAGTTCTAAATAATTTAGGACAGTTCTTACTCATTTTGAACAGTTCTAAATCATTTAGGACAATTCTAAATCATCAATTTGGACATGTTTCTATATTATATTGGACAGTTCTAAATCATTTAGGACAGTTCTAAACCCTTTTGAACTTTTCTTTATCATTTTGGGCAGTTCTATATTATTTAGGACAGTTCTAAACCCTTTTGAACATTTCTTTATCATTTTGGGCAGTTGTAAATAATTTAGGTCAATTCTTAATAATTTTGAACAGTTCTAAATTGTTTTGGGCATTTCTATATCATTTTGGACAGTTCAAAATCATTTTGGACATTTCTATATCATTGTGCACAGTTGTAAGTCATTCTAGACAGTTGTAAATCATTATAGACAGTATAAATTCGATCAACTAAACCTCTATCCCCTTGCTTGACGATCACTTCATTGGATTTGAAGAATTCGCTCTTCAATAGATTTGAAACGATTTTGAGGGCTTCCTCTCCGACGACTTTTAGGTATTTGTTGTTCAGCAGGAACTTCATTAATTCGTCCTGTTTCTTCATCACGTCTCTGATCATGATCTGCTGGTATACGTTATTGTCCAGTACCCAAACTCTTCCGGACGAAACGGCTTTAACGGTAGCTTGTCGTTTGGCGTTGTAAAGAAGAGCCAATTCACCAAACACTCTAAAAGCGAAAAGTGAATTGTCGATAATTTTTTTGTAAAGTAAAAACATCACAATTTCTTTCAATTAAGTAATTAATTAATTATCGCTTACCTCGTGTCATTAAAAGTGGTGAATACTTTGCCATTGACGATTATTTGGAAAGTTCCTTTAGCTGAAACATACATGTGGGAGCCTTTATCACCTTGCTTTATGATAACTTCTTTAGCTGAAATCTCTTTATTGTACATGGATATTATAACTTCATTCAGTTTTTCGTCGGTTATAATTTGGTTTAGGAAATCATTGCTTCGTATAGCTCGTCGAATCGTGTCTTCATCTCTGTAAAGTGATTTGATTAGGGACATATCAAAGTTTTGTAAATTGTACAAATCTTACGAAGGATCTTTGATGTATACGGGTAGTTTTTCCATAATTTGATCAACGCGTTTCTGAACTGGCGCGATACCTTCTCGTCTTTCTCTAAAATCGCCATCAATATCGATGATAGACTAAAATATTAATTAATATTTGTATGAATTTTGCCAAACGCTTTCTTCACTATTACTTACTTTTTTTTGTTCTTCTTTGGAAACCTTTTAAACAACATAGAAGACATGTTAATCTTTCATAAAATTTCTGCTTAATAAATAAATTAATAAAACTTACCGGAACATTATCTTGCGATTCGGTGTCATTTGCTATAAATTCTTCAGAACTTTGTCCATTTGGAATAGGCGGTGCCCTTTGTTTTTTCAATGCGGGCGCGAATTGCACTGGTTGCTTATTTTCAACCACTTCATTACCGTTCGATGGGGTTAAAGAGGATGTAATGGAATTGAAAGTGTCTAAAGTGTTTGAGGCGGAAGGTTCTCCAGTTTCTTGGAGAGATAAACGGTTAGTCTCTCTTTGCAACTGATTAGCATTGTCTCCATTATTCTGAACTTCAACCTGTTCTGTGGGAGTTTCTTCATTAAACGTATGTAATTTTCCATTTTCCTTATACGAAATAGGAACTAGTGAAGATTTTTGAGCACTATTTATTATTAGAGTTTTTTTGAAATGACAACCTCTGCAACAGCCGAAAACCATTTTGTACTAGGTACTACTGAAATAATTTATTATTCATTAGACTAATGTTCGTTTAATTTGATAATTAAATAGGTAGTGGCAACTAGTAAATTTGAAAGGTTTCTCACTTTATTGCTATACAACTTGAATAAACACACGCACTAATAAGTATAAATTAATTGAAACTGGGATATATTTTTAAGTAAAATCACTGCCACATATAGCAATCATTTTACTCTTACTTGGACTATCAACGATCACGACTGCCTATTCTCAAATGAATTATCTAAGATTAGACAATAGATAATGATAAGAATAAGTCCTTTCGCAATTTTTGATATAAACTTCGATGACTGACTGTTATGTACAGTAATAATTTATTATATTCCTGATAACGCTTTCGAAGATTAATTGTACGACGAGGTATTTCTCATAATCGAAAGCGATTATTTTTCCCACAATTGCCATTATCTTCTTATCAACGTACCTACTAAGGAATTAAGCATTGATTACGTTTTTATAGTTTTTATAGGAAAAGCACCTTTAGAAACTCGTACAGAAATCATAGGCAAAAAGGATTAATTCATAAATCTGTACATTATAAACCAATGTACTCGTAGGTACGATGAGTACACAAAAAATAGCAATAACATTATTTATTTGGGAAAAACTGTTTTAGATTTTTCGTTTTGGGAATTAGGTTTTTATTTAGGTTAGGGAATTTTATTAGATTATAACGTTGAATCCATTATTCACAAGTTTACAAATGAATAAATTAAATACCTGCCTAATATCTACATTCCTCTCAAAAATTGAATATTAGGGGAGGAACAGCGCACGTTCGGTATCGACCGTCGAAGGACATGCGTAGGCGGAAAATCGCAGTGAAACCTGAGGTCGTGAAAGAAAATCCCGAAAATCGCGTGTGGAAATGGAAAATGCTGATTTCCAATTCAACAGAGGACCACCCATGCAGCCTGCAGGAGTCAGACCCATGGTGGATCCCGAAGCCGAAGGCGAAGTGGATCCATCTTTGTGAGTACCAGCCCGAATTTATCTAACCCAGAAATAGGCCATATTCGAAAGGAATGGGTTTTCTTATTTTATTAATATTTATTGGCATATAGCTCAATATCCTTGCAATTAAACGATAAATGACTGTAATGAGTAATTTATTAAGAATTTTAATGTAAAGCGATTTAATTATAATATAATCATTTATATAACCTTTATATCTATAAGTATCACTGATTTAAATGGAGAAACCACAATTTTTATACCTGTTTTATACCTTTAGTAATATGTGAATTTTAAAAATTATAAACAACAAATTAAAAAAAATAATTCTCAAATAATCTAAAAATGTATAATACTCAGATCAGGTCAACTATATCATCTCTTTTAGTTCAAAGTCATGCTACTTTCATCAATCTTATCGAATTGATAACAATACATCTTATAACCCATACCGAAGTGACAATGTCTTCTCTGCAATTGTGTAGATCCTTTGTTTGCTTTGATAAAATATCTTTAGCGTAAAATTAAAGAAAAGAAAATTACATATATTACATAACCAACAGCTAATTCTATTGGAGGAATATTTGATATAGGAAAATAGAAAAGGTATAATAACTAACTATAAACCTTCAAAATGTTAGTACTCATTAACACTTAGCTACAGGAAAGTTAATAGAACATGATTTAATTACACTATTATTAGATACACTTACATACTTTTTGCAGGTATCCAGAACCCAAGGACTCTACTCACAAAGTCAGGGGAAAAACCGCTCTAATAGAAATGATTTTCGGTCCGGTAGATCAAGAATTATTAGTCGTGAAGAGTTTTTACTTCTTCTTCTATTCCGCCTTCGGGTCTTTGTTCCCTCTGATGGGAGTCTACTTTAAACAAATGGGAATGAACGCCAGCCAGAGTGGATTCCTGATTGGATCCCGGCCATTCGTGGAATTCCTCTCGGCTCCGTTTTGGGGAGGACTGGCAGATAGGTAATATGTTCAACCGACATTAAAGGGGACAATCAATTCGTTATACGCGCGGTTTCAGATGGAGGAAAGGTAAAATTTTGCTCTTGGCCTCGTTGGCATCGTGGATCGTTTTCACTGTTCCATTGGGATCAATCCAACCTCCAGCAACCTCATGCATGGGTATAAGAAACCATACTCCGACACTGACCAGCCCTGAGATCAATGTGGGTAGAGTGATAATAACTAAGAGATCAATAAACATGGAAACGATGGCCGATTATAGCCGCCAGATTGACGATCAAAAATACCCTAGGTAAGCATCAAAACACATAAATGATACACTTATCCACATTTTCTTTTCGCTTAGTTTATCAAGAAAACCAAGAGAAGTTGAACCAATATCGGTGAACGCAGGACAATCTCCTATAAGCGTGAAATATGCATCAAACTACAAAGAAAAGGAGCACGAAAACTGGGTCCAACCAATCATATCATCCATAGTATACCGAACTCAAGACATCCAGAAAGCCTTTTTCCTTCTTCTGCTGCTGGTAATAATAGGAGAGTTTTTCAGCGCACCCGCTGTAACATTAGCAGATTCCGCCGTCATTACTCTTCTGGGAGAGGACGCCGACACCTACGGACATCAAAGGATGTTCGGCTCGTTGGGCTGGGGTTTGGCTATGTTCTTCGTGGGCATAGCTCTCGACCACTCCACTGCTTTTCCGAATCATCCCTGCGGGCCCGACAAGAAGGAGAAGAACTACACGATTTGCTTCGCAACGTTCTCCGTGCTGATGGGGGCTGCGTTGATAAGCGCCACGCAGATCTCGTTCAAATACGACGAAGCCTTTGCGGAATCCGTCGTGGAACAGAAAACCCAGTCGCCTACGGAGGAGGATCGCATGCAAGCCCAGCTGGCCGAGCAGCTCAATCTTCCTTCGTTGGCTGATACCAGGGCGACCGCTGCACCATCTGTTCCTAAAGAACAAAAAGTAAGGAATATTGATTTTTTTTTTTAAATTAAGGATTACACTTAAATTTCAGACGAAAATTTGGGCACAAACTACAAAAGAAATGCCGGAATGGATGACGGTAATCAAGCAGTACAAGAATTTAAAATGCGCTTCGTTCCTGTTCGTGGCTTGGTTCATGGGCTTTGGGATAGGACTGATTTTCACGTTTCTCTTCTGGCATCTGCAAGACTACGGTGGATCGCCAACCCTCTTCGGCGTAGCTTCAGTTATCAATCACATATCGGAGATATTCGCTTATTTCTTCAGTTTTCGTCTAATCAGACAAATGGGACACGTCAAGGTTTTGTGCCTCGGACTCATCGGCAATACGCTGAGGTTTCTGTACATATCTTGGTTGACCAACCCTTGGTGGGTGCTGCCGTTTGAGTTCATGCAGGTGAGTTTACACCTTTTTGATATGATTGTATGAACAAACATTTCACTTATATCAAATTTAAATGTAATAAATTCTAAGGGCATCACACACGCAGCGGTATGGGCAGCATGCTGCTCCTACATAGCGCATAACACACCGATAGAGCTGCGCTCATCGGCGCAGGGAGTCCTCCAAGGCATTCACCACGGACTAGGCAGAGGTTGCGGGGCCGTGTTCGGCGGCATGTTCGTGAGTTCGTTCGGATCGACGGCGACCTTCCGGGGATACGGCCTGATTTGCCTTCTGGTACTCGCGGCGTTCGTGTTCATAAATTTCTACAGGGTCGATCAAGGCTTCGTGTCCGATTTGCCGCAAACGGAGGACCCGAGGCAAGTGGCAGAGGAAACGGCTCACCTGGCGCCCCACGGGGTACCCAGCAACCCGCTGCCCCGCGCCCTGTCCAGCTCGAAGCTGCACGAGATGTCCCAACAAGACGGGTACGGGGCTATGTACCAAATGGGGCAAGGCGGTACTCTGAACGTTCCGGGGGCGAACCCTTTCAACGCGCAACAACAGCAGCAATATTCCGGATACGAGGTAAGAAGTAAGTAACCCACTTTTATTTTTTTTATACGATACATCGTCGGCGCGAAATTATTTTTAGGTGGGTAATACGTTTGAATCACGTTTCTTTTTCAGACGAGAACTATTAATCCTAAGTGGGATTCGATGCAATGTAAGTTTTCCTGCCCCGATGTTGTTAGTACAACCTTATTAATACAACAACCGATTACTGCGACTAATTCAGTTTACGAATGGTAAAAGAAACAGAGCGATGTATAAATTTGTGCATATCTGTAAAATATCGGCTTACTTACAAACATATATGCAAATATCTATTTTGGAACATGTGTCTACCTAAAGCTTTTATGCTATACGTATCATTATACATACATATTTATTATTCTATTTTGAAACTGTATTGCACAAGTACCTCTAAATGTGACACTCTAAAGAAATAATATAGAGTAAGTATTTACCTAAATTTTTGTCTGTGTAAAATGTATCCTTTGATTAATTTTAAAATATCAATGAATTAATAAAGATCGTCGTACACCTGACAAAACGAGAAGACATATTGTTAAACGTATTAATAAATTAAATTAGTATTGAAAAAAAATATTTTAAATGATAGGTTGTTGACCCATAAACAATTAATAACAGGAAATCGAATATGCTAATTATATTATTATATTGTTATAAGAAAACTAATGTGTAACAACGACATAATTTGAATATAAACCGGTGAACCACAGCGTATCGTGCCTTTGTGCAGCTTAAACAATATGTTATCTTCTATCTTCTATCAAAATAGTTTTAATTAAATTATTATTGCAACATTGTGTATACAATATAGTCTGATTCGGCGACATATTGATCTCTACGATCTTTAAATTTAACACTTAAAAAATAGAGGTAGTCACCTTGAGTTTAGGCTACTAATGTCCCTTTGTGTTGTCTATAAAGATAAATAAACATGAACTCAAGAAAGTGATTGCTCTATTGTAAAGATCTATCAATATCGAATACTCTTTTTCCTATTGTTAACAAACTTGTTCGTCTTTGTTATTGTAAGTAAAGTTGTCTTAATAGTTAGTAAAACAATGGAAATAAAAACAATTTATATAGTAGACAATCTAAAGAGAAAACAAGTTCTTTTCTACTTCTTTAGCTTGCAAGATTTAGTGACACTTTACTAATTATGTTATTCGTTCGAAAACTGTATCAGTTTTCTTATGAACTTGATAGGTACTTCGTAAAATATTAAATTGCTTCAATAGGTTTAGTATAGAGCTCGTGGATTTTCTTGTGAACAATATTTATGAGACAATCAATGGACTCTATATTGTTACACAATATTTAATTTATAGTTGACAAATATATTGCTATGTATAGTGCCTGGAGTTTTATTATAAATTTTTAAAGAAACTTTAAATTAAAATACAAAAAATTTAGGATGTGGATATAGATAATTATTGCTATCAATATTTTAAAATATATCTCAATGGATAGAATATGATAAAACGTGAGTCATTATAATTCATAAAAGGCCACATCCTATCCAGCACTATTTCATTTATTTTTTATATACTTACATCAAGTACTATATCATTTCTAATTTCTGCTACAATTTTAAGTTGACTTCCAATATACATTTAACGACATACATATCATAAATGTAATATAAGTAGGTAATAAATTAATCGATTTTCAGATTTGTTCAATAAAAATTAACAAAACTATAGGCAACATTTTAGAAATGGAAAATGGCACTAATTTTACACACAGTTTAGTAAGAACAGCTTTTAATTTTTAAGATTTAAATAGAGTAGATGTATTTTTAATTTTACTGTTGATTGACACTAATATTTTGATTATATTTCAATGATATAAATACAATGGTTAAAAATATGAACGTTTCTGAAAATTTTAGGTAGTTATCGAATTAGGTGTATTTATTGTTTCGAATTTTAATTATTGTATAATTGAAACTATTTTAGAAGTAATTAAGGTACATTGCATTAATTGTTAATTTAACTAATGCAGCTAAAAAGTACAACAGCAATGTACATTTATGAAAAATAAGATATTTAATTTAAACCCTCCCTTAGATGAATTAATGTTTTTAAGTGCTTACTATAAGTAATCCAGAATAAATGAGCAATATAAATATGAATTGTAGTTAATTTTTGTTTGATTATCGGGTGTTTTATTATATTATGCCCAATTTCAACAATGTACGTTATGATAGGGGAAGTACAGAAACGCCCGATAATTTATCTCATGTTTTGAATTATGTACGAGTAAGTGTTACATAATAGCGAAATGTGAAATATTTTCCTATGCTCGTATAGACTGCTATTTACCGTGTGTATATCGTATTATATACCGAAATAGTTGTTTCTACATAATTGTATTTAAATCGTCTGGTTATCGTTTATGTAGTCTATTAAATGTTTAATAATATTTAAGCCAAACTCATTGCGTTTCATTTTTAAATCTGCCAGATAAAATAGAAATAATACAGAAGGAGTAGGGTACCAATAATAGGAATTTAATTTTTTAACAAATTTAAAGAAAACAAATACCTATTATTATTAAAAACCATCTATACAAAGTACCTTAAATTTACAGGCACTTTGCTTAAAAAGCCGTTATGAAAATCAGCTGCAGACATCACTTTTTTTCCTAAAACAGATACACTATCTACACTGATTATTGTTTTATCAGCACATATCACATTCAAACGTTTCGTCATTTTACTATAACTCACACAGCCCGGTTTTTGGTCTTCAATATCACCAACTTCATCATTCACTTTTATTCCTGATAGTTTTACTTGCACCTTATGCCACTCTGTCGTAGGCAATAAAAATCCATATAAAGCTCGATATAAATTGTATACTTGCTGGGAATTCATGCTATCCCATTTGATTACTGCAAAATCAGGTAGTACTTTTGGTGCTGAAATAGTAAATTTAACAGTTATTTATCTATTAAGAGTATCAGTACTCCGACTATCACTTGTTTATTTGATTATTAACTTACCATAAGTAGCATGGTCATTTGATTGGGGCTTTGAAAACTGAATGTAATTAGGTAGATCCTTTAAAGTTTTAACTAAAGCCTGAGCTCCTAATTCTCCTAATGATTTATGCAGTTCGGGCATCATGGTATCTTTCCCTACAGGATGGCTCTCTTGCAATAATATATCCCCGGTATCAAATTTATTTGGTTTTATTCTCATTACTGTAACACCAGTTTCTCTATCTCCTTTGGCCAAGGAGTATATTATAGGTGCTGCTCCTCTCCATTTAGGTAATAGACTACCATGGACATTTAGGATTCCGCTTAAACGAAGGATTATTAAAATGATGTATAATTAATTTTTTTATTTACAACTTACTATGGAAATTGCTCTATAATACACTGAGGGATTAAATAACCGAAAGAAACCACTACACCAACATCGTATTTTCTTTCAATTGGAACATCGGGCCAATTATACAGTGTTAAGTTTTGGTTTGTAGCAAATTTTTGAACATCATTAGCCTGTTTCGTAATTTTAGTGACTACATCTAATTTATTTATTAATTGTAATTCTTGACTGAAAAGACACTTTATTTATAGAAAATAATAAATAAAACTGAGTAAAAAACGTTTACTTACTAATAACTACAGAGTAATTTTAAAGAATATAAAGAAAATTGATCTGAGCCAAAAAAGAGAACATTCCAAGCAGTACTTGACGAATAAAGGCGCTTAAAGTCTCTTCTTAAAAATCTATTGCTACCTTTGAAATATAGTTTAAGCATTTTCAAATTTTAATGTCTATGTTTATAGGATATTTCAATCATTTTAATTCTCTTATTTTAAAATATTTTAAAACTATATTTGTAGGTTATATCTTCTTTTTCTTAATTGTTTTAAGTAAGAAGAAGAAAATTTCCAAGGATTTTACCAAATTCTAAAGATATGAAACATCAGTGAGCTAAATTATTTCGTTTAAAAATAATATACATATAATAATTGATTGTTGGCTGTTTGACGTTATTATTTATCAACATCAATTTTCATTTTGTGGCTGCTTGTTTAAATTGATAAAGGACCTATATCTAATGAAACAAGAAAATTGGTGACATGTCAATTCCGAGCTTGACAGTTCTAATGTCACAATTACTTTGTCAAGTTTTTAATAAAATTTAGTTTTTATTTAAACAATTAAGGTTTTACTGTTGTAGCGGTATTGGTAAGGATATTTTAGAGTAAATGATAGGTTTATTCAGACGTTGAAGTTTACGTAAATCATAAAGAATGGTGAGTGTCCATTTAACAGTTCATTAATCCCATCTTTTCCAAGCAATTAGGGGCGGATGTAATTTTTTTTCTAATAATGCACAATTTTCAGTCTGACAAAGCACCCGAGGATGGGAACAACATTCCGCTCACGGATAGTTCGCTCGTAGTCGATATATCAGACGCTTTAAGCGAAAAAGATAAAGTTAAATTTACCGTACATACTCGTACAACAATGAAAACTTTTCAAAAACCAGAATTTCTGGTTGTACGCCAACACGAAGAGTTTATTTGGCTTCACGATCGTTACGAAGAAGAGCCTAAATATGCAGGTTATATCGTAAGTATTGCAATTTTTAATAACGCTTAATCAGCTTTAATTATGTGAAATAAATAATTATGATGCATCATAAATTCTGTAGGTTCCTTTATATGAATACAATTTTTGAGATTACTTTTTTTATTACATAAGATTAGTATTTTGGAGGTGTTGTATATCACCTATCAGAAAGTAATCAGAGTTTGGTAGACTCGGAGTTGTAATTTTCTAAATTTCAGATACCTCCTCCACCACCCCGTCCAAATTTCGACGCCTCTCGTGAGAAATTGCAACGTCTCGGCGAAGGAGAAGGTACAATGACAAAGGAAGAGTTTACTAAAATGAAGCAAGAACTAGAAGCGTAAGTAATTGAAAAAAAAATCATTTAATCTTATTAACGATCTATCGTAGCGAATATTTGGCCACGTTCAAGAAAACAGTGGCGATGCACGAAGTGTTTCTGACTCGCTTAGCTAGTCATTCCATATTCCGAGAAGACCGTCATCTCCAAGTGTTCCTCGAGTACGATCAGGATTTGTGCGCCCGTCCCAAGGGCAAATTGCAGCAATTAGGGGGCTTAATTAAATCTGTCGGTACCACTACCGACCAATATTACTTGAACGCGACAGTGAGGGACGTCAATGACTTCTTTGAGCAGCAAATGAATTCGCTAACGGAATATTATAACCAATTGAAAGATGCCACTTATCGTACTGATAAAATGACCGAGAAGCATAAAGGTAAAAATTAACGTGGCGAATATTTAAATAAGGAGTTTAGGAATGTCTCGTGTTTTATTTTAGAACTGGCAGATAGTTACATTAAAATCTCCGGAGGTTTAATTCAGCTGGCTCACAGTGATAATGGAAGACTGGACAAATATTTGTCGAAAGTCTCTGATACTTTTGAAAAAGTTAGAGTAAGTATTATGAGTAGAGTCTGGAAAATATGTACATATAGGTATACACATACAATGCCGATTATTGTACCATAAATATTACTTATTAGAACATTAGAAGAATGGGATAGAATCATTTAGAGCTGTCTAGCTAGAACTATTTAGAACACTACAGAATCATTTGGGGCTGTTTAGAATCATTTAGAAGGCTTCAGAATCGTTTAGAACGCTCTAAAATATTTAAAACTCTAGAACCGTTTAGAACGATCCAGAAGCATTAAAAACTGTCCAGAATCATTTAGAACGCTCCAGACTCATTGACAAGAGTCCAAAATTATATAGAATTTTCCAAAATTATGTAGAACTGTCTAGAATCATTTAGAACGCTCCAAAATCAGAACAATTCAGAATGATGTAGAATGCTCCAGAACCGTCCAAAACACTATAAGAGTTCTCAGAATGGGGCTTTTGACGTTTCTTTTAGTTACCCGAATTTACAAGTCATTGTTTTAATTTTATTATTTGTTATTGAGTTTAACGTATTTTAATTATTTATTGGCAAAATATATTGAAAAATGCAAAATTTTATTTCGCATATGCATTTTGAATTTTTGAGGATATGCACGTATGCACTTTACATGCATATTTTCCAAGCTCTAATTATGAGTAATAAATGTTTTTTATATTATATGTAAATATGTTTTTTTCCAATAAATTTATGCAATTTTGTTTTGTTTTGTAGAAATTGGAAAGCCGCGTGGCTAGTGATCAAGATTTGAAGCTAGCCGATACTTTGAGGTATTATATGAGAGATAGCCAAGCCGCTAGGGCCTTACTTGTAAGAAGATTAAGATGTTTAGCTAATTATGAAAATGCCAATAAAGCATTGGAAAGGGCAAGACACAAAAATAAAGATATCCATGCTGTAAGTTACATTTACCAATATACTTTCAAATTCGTCACTATACAGTAGTACAACATTTGATCAGAAAAGAAAACAGTTTAATGAGGATTCTTGATATAACAAGTTATGAAATTTTAATTTTCATCTTTCATGTCGTCATTTCATTGCCTGTTTGTTGCATACTCTTTGATATTCCCTAATTATCCCTAATATATTATTAACTGAGCACATTTATTTTTCACGTCGAATTTCAACTTTTTCATGCAGGCCCCGGAAATACAAGAGGTATGCAATTGCATGTAAAAGACATTATGGCAAATGGCATTTTCTTGGTAGAGGTACATTTGTTCTTTTTGTTTTTAGGCAGAGGAAGCACAATCAGTGGCATGTGAACATTTCGAATCAATATCTACACAAGCTAAAGAAGAATTATTGGATTTTAAAACTAGAAGGCTTCATGCTTTCCGTAAGAGGTAAGTACAATTAATAAAATTTCTAAAGATTGCAATATAACTTATAACAATTTATTAAATGTAAATGTTTGTTTTAGTTTGATAGAATTGGCAGAATTAGAAATAAAGCATGCCCGCAGCCAGCATGACTTATTGAAAAAATCCATAGCTAACCTTAATGATTTACTCTGAGTCTTTTTGCTCAAGATTTATGTATATTCATATCAAGATATTTATTCTCTGAGCTGGTTTATTTAAAATTTAAACCTAGAATTATTTACTATCTTAGAGGTATATTATCTATTTTTATATTTTTCCATTTAATGTTTTTTATATTATTTTCCATTTAATGTGTATATTGTTTTGTACGTACTCTTTTTTGCTAAATACGCCAGACTCGGAAATTTCAAAGATTCCAGTTTATGTTTTGGTTATTTCATATATTATATTGAAAAAAAAATATATAATTATTGTATGTTTATAATGAAATAAAAGTTTCTATTTATCTACATCTTTTCTTATATTTATTTTATAATATACAAGGTCACGTGGCAAGTAATAATCATGCGAAAAATGATTAACAAAATAATTTACTGCCTATTGTAGTTTTTTTAGATAATTGGATATCTTTTGAATTTTGGGGGTCTCTTGCCTAATAAGATAACTGTTAATTTCTATTTCATATATTAAAAAAGAAGAACTTTTAGGTTAGTGGGAGTGTTATGACGTATGACGTTATAGTTTTAATTTAATTGATATTTGAATTTATTCAAATTATATTAAATAAAGTTGTATTTAGTTCGTTAAGTTTGATTTAATGTAAGTAATAAAACAATAATAATGACGTCCGCTACTATACGTGACCTGCAAAATTATGCGTTCAATAATAAAGAGGAAATCCTAATAAGTTCTTGTAAGGTGAGCAAGTACCTCAAGAAGAAGAAAGTATCGTTTTTGTGTTTGGTGAATGAGTTAGGTGTACCTTCTACTATAAGTATTATTCAAGTGAAACAAAATGACAAGGTTTTCAAGAGAAAACGGAGCTGGGCTTTAGCAGAGCTCAAGTCTGTCGATGGGCACAGCGAGTCCCCGGACACTCCGGAATTCGATTTACATTTAGACAAAGTGTATCGTTGGGTAGCTCTAATACCGCAGGAACGACAGGCGTTTATCCAAAATCTCTGGAAATTTTCCCTGAAATATATATTGCACGATCAGCCAGTATTTAAAAATATTCCAAAACTGTGGATAACGGAAGGATCCACGATTCCAGAAAAATTCAATTCAGATTTAATTCCATTGGAACACGAATTAGTAGAAGATTTTCAAGTTAACAACGAAAAAGAGCAAGAAGATCTTAAAAAGTACTTATTAAATTCAAATAACTTTCACAAATTAATATTTTAAATTCATTTTAGATTAATGTCCGGATGTGAATTCGCTATAAGTAACGCCGAAGCCTTTATGGAAGTGTTAGCTCGAGACTTGTCTCTCCTCGATGGAGAAAATATCCACTGTGTTTTAGCATCCGAAGATCAAGTTGAAGCTTTGATGGACCATTTAGAATTAGCATTAAATGAGGTCGGCAGATTAGAAAATCAGCTCAATGAATACGATGATATCCTTTGTCATGTTAAAGATACAATGGAAAAAATGGAATACAAAAATTCCACTCTGTCTACAGCGAATCTGAACAATCAAAGACTAATGAAAGAATTGGAAAATTTAATAGTAAGTGTTGCGAAATAGTGAGTTAATTACACTCAATTGTAACGTTTCTATTTTTAGAATAAACTCGATCTCTCGAGTGAACACCAACGAATTTTAGAGGACGCTGACTTTACGACCACAAAAGGCCTTTCACAAGCAATCGAAGCAGCCAATGCTTTGAAAGTAATCCTGAATTCGGATATCGACCAGTCCTTACTTCACATGGCAGCTGTACAAGAGCAAAAGAAAAAATTCGATAAGTTGAAAGACAAGTTTTCAAGAAACATATGCAGACAACTCAATAATTTATTCATTCATTTCGGAAACCACAAAGGAGAATTGGAAAAGAGCGGGGATAACTTATCGTTACCGCAACACAGTGGTGTTCACAAAGAACTTTCCCCATACTCTGAACTAATTCATTGGATTAAAGTAATGGTCCATTTTTTTAGAAAATGCAGTATTATTTATATTTTTTATAGGTAATGGATAAGAAAATGTATGGATCTTTAAAAGAAGTCTATACGAGCTCAATGGGAAAATTATACGATCGAGATTTAAAGAATATTTTTAGCGTTGCTAGAGAAAAAATTGCAGGTATAATTTCATCTATGACTCCCGAGAATACACATTATCATTGTAAGAGAAATTTGATATTTTCTAGTAGTGCAATTTTATTTTCAGTGAATGTAAACGTGGTATCTCCTACTACTATTATAGGATTGGACAGAGACCAATGGACTCTCGAAACAAGTACTAAGGATAGGGAAAAATACGACACTGTGTTGGAACAAGTTCTTACACAATTAGAACCAGTTTTCTTGCAGGAGCAACAGTTTTGTTTGAAATTTTTTCAGGTTTGTATCCCTAAATGATAAATTCTTAGCTATAGGAAAAAATGTTCCAGCTCGATGCACTACATAATACAGAACAAGATGCTACAGCATCCAGAAAAATAGAAAAACAAATAGAGGAAGATATCAGGAATATGATGAGCAGCTTGTTTACTTGCCTGAAGCCAGAATTAGATTACTTAATTAATCACATTAAAAAACAGGATAATTTGTAGGTTGATTGTATATTTTAGATTTCATAACATTACTTGAAATAATTTATTTTTTAGTTATTGTATGTACGTTTTGGTGCGCTTGAATCAGCACGTGATGTCGGCTCAGAGTTCCTTTTTGAGCAACACCTTCGGATCGTTACTTATAGAAGTTAAAAGATCTTTAGATCAATTCATGCAACAGCAAATAGAATCGATTAAAGAGTGCAAAATATCTAAAAAATACAAGTGCGGCATCCTACCTTACGTCTCCAACATAGAAATATTCGCCGAAAATGCAAATTGTTTGCTGAAGAGCGACCGAGGCGCAGACCTCGAAAAATGGTACACCCGTTTGGTGGATACAATGTTGGAGTATATTTCCATACACGCTAATGATCACAAAACTCCCTCGCAGGTTATTAAAATGGGTAATTTAATCGCGTCTCTTTTTACAAACTTTTTTAAACCATTTCATCGAATTTCAGAAAATTATCATCACCTTTATTCATTGTTGTCGCAGTTGAAAATTTCGGTTTTGGATAGCCAGCGCAAGGAAGCAAAACAAAAATACAATGATGCCCTCACTGCTTATGTAACTCTTTACTTTGGGCGACCTCTTGAAAAACTTAACGTGAGTTTCATAAATAAATTACTACTCAATTTGCTAAATTTACATGTTTGTAGACGTTCTTTGAAGGAGTCCAAGCGAGGGTAGCCAGCGGAATAAAAGCATCAGAAGTGAGTTATCAATTGGCTTTCAATAAGCAGGAATTGCGGAAAGTTATCAATCAGTATCCAGGATCGCAGGTGTGTTTTAAGAACTGCGCTTTAAACATAAGAGTATTACGATTTTGTTGAATAATTTCAGGTGAAGAAAGGTTTGGAAGCATTGTATAAAAAAGTGGAAAAGCATTTGTCAGAAGAAGAAAACCTGTTACAAGTAGTATGGAGAGCGATGCAAGAAGAATTTATTAGACAGTATAAAACATTGGAAGATTTAATTCATCAATGCTATCCAGGTTCAATGATATGCCTAGAGTTTACAATAGATGATATTTTGACATTTTTTTCGGATATTGCTCAATCTCATTGATAATAACATGCATCTACTGTATTGTATAACAATATTTAATTTATTCTCTTTAGAAAAAGTGCTTCTGCAGATTTATAAATATATTTTTCTCGCCTTAATATCGTGTTGTTCATATAATTTCCACGAAAGCAAGTACAAATTTAAAAAGTTTTCTTATTATTAAAACACTTAAAATACATAAATATTAAAATACCATTATAGAAGGATTAAAATCTAAAATCTTTGTTGGAAATTCTGTTGCTGTTGCTGCGAGCCATTATTATACATCATTTGCTGCTGATGGAATTCCTGCTGCTGTGAGATAGGTATTTGCTAAAAAACAAGTAACAATGAAATAAAAAAAAGTGTTGTAAGTAGAGTTATGCCTTTACCTGCTGATTAACTTGACCAGGATGCCCTTGAGGACCTGATAGCCTGACTCTTTTGGCGGAATTGTGGCTGTCTTGTTGATTGGACTGTTGTTGTTGAGAAGGCTGCTGCTGTTGCTGTTGGGTTTGTTGTTGTTGCTGCTGTTGCTGTTGATTTTGCCTTTTGGTATCAGATTTTTCGTCCTGATCGTCGTCTGTTAGAAACTCTCTTTTTGGATATGGAATAGGGCAACCTTAAAATTACAAATTTCATTTAAATATTAGTGGCTTTATGGTATATTTTACCAGCAAAAACGTCTTGAGTAGGCAATGGATCCTCTGCGAAATAAGGATCTTGCATGGCTTGTTCAGATGTGATTCTTTTATTCGGATCCATTAGCAGGAGTTTTTGAAGTAAATGGAAAGCTTTACTATCTGGCTTAATCTTATGCCTATCCATATATTTAATTAATGAACAATTAACGTAACTGTAAAAGAAACAATTTAACAATTTAATTTATTATCAAAATTGCATTAATACGAACTTTGCCTTTTTGAAATCTTTCAGTAACGTGGGATGTTCAGGCATCTTTTTAATATCTTCCCAGTCTTTTTCGTGCGGAAATCCCATAACATTAAAAATTCTATCCAATTGATCATGGTGATAAGGATTGCTCGTTTTAATATCTTCTTGACGGCAATGGAAGATTGGTTCAGAAGTTAGTAGCTCAGCAAAAATACATCCTATTGCCCAAATATCTAATAAAAATTAATTATTAATGTACTTGTTTCATGACAGCAATATTGCAAACTTTACCAATAGCTTTAGTGTAATGTCGAGCGCCTAACAACAGTTCAGGAGCTCGGTACCAAAATGTGACCACAACCGGGTCCAAATCAGCCAAGGGTTTCAAAGGAGCATTAAAAAGTCGAGCGAAACCCATGTCCGCTATTTTGACTCTTCCTCTTTCAGGACCCTCTCCCATTACCAGAATATTTGCAGGCTTTAAGTCCCTATGCAGGACCCAATTGGAGTGGAGATAATGAATGCCATCAAGTATTTGATACAGCAATGATTTCACCATTCCTTTAGGTACCATAACAGGTTTCTTACTGGCTTTTGCAGCTCGATGGAACTTAATTATATGCCACAAATCATGTTCCGCAAAATCAAATAGAAGCCAAACCTTCCTGTCGTTATGAGATAAAAACACTCTGATTAAATTAATAACGTTGTTGTGCTTTAGCTCCCTCAACAGCTAAAAAGTAGTTATTACTATTAAAATGTATACAATATTAATAAGTTAGTTACTGCTATTTCCCGGCAAGCAGACATAGACAAACCAGTTCCTTCGATTTGCTTCAGCGCATAATCCTTACTATCCGATCCATCTTTTCTTCTACCTTTGTACACGTGCCCGTAGGTGCCTCTACCGACTTTACATCCTTCGTAGTCAAAGAGATCCTCAACCTTTACCCTCTCAGTCTGGGTTTTCATTTTAAATTCGTAGTCCATCATCAAACATGTCATTATATTTCCTGTTAAAATAGAACACTGCACTTTATACGTGCAAAAACGACCTAATACAAATTCTCATAGAAAATAAACTCGTCACTTAAGTTCCTTACGAACAGCGGGATTAATATAATACTATTTGAAAATTGATATTTAAAATAGTTTTTAGATTTTATAAACAGAACGTAAACAAAGCTAGAAACATAACCTTGAATTTTTGACGTTTGACATAAAGTTGTTCAATAAAATTTGAAAAAGAAGAGTTATAGAGATTAAGAATTTGACATTTACCATAACCTTTAAATTATTTTATGGAAAAAAAAATCTAATATTAAATGTCCAAAAAGAAAAACTTGAAGCTATTTTTGTAATGAGCAGAAAACCACATCAATTTCTGCATCAAAAATGTTACGAAGTTTTTTAATTGTATGTTCTTTAAGTGTTATTATCCACTATGTGGTATCCGAACAACCCTTCAATCCCCAAAGTCCGTTGGTTAAATGCAGCTTTCTTCCGTTCGAGTTTATAGATTGCCAAGACCCCGTAGATCACAAAGGAAACGCGACTGCCCAGCGTGAGATGGAGCACGGCTGTTTAAAGTTCGGAGGAATGAAATATCACGAAGTGGAAAAGGCCAAAGTTGTATGCAGCGCTCTGCCCAATATCGAATGTTACGGAAATAGAACATTCTTGAGAGACGGAGTTCCTTGTATTAAGTATTCTAATCAATACTTTACTACTACCTTGTTGTACAGCATCCTGTTGGGGTTTTTAGGGATGGATAGGTTCTGTTTAGGTCAAACGGGGACTGCCGTTGGGAAGTTACTTACCGTTGGAGGGCTGGGTATTTGGTGGGTTGTCGACGTCGTTTTACTTGTATTAAATTACATGACACCTGAAGATTCGAACTGGAATCCATATGTATAATACGTCTGTGATTTATATTTATTGTTAATAGTTTCATATGAATTTTAATTCCCATTAAAATATTAAGCGATGGACTAAAAGTTATTTTTCCTATATCCAACTGAACATTTTCAGTAAATTTCAGTCACTTTGAATCATCAAATTTTTTTTGATTTTTCAGATAGAACTAGTAAAAATTCAAAATTAATTGGAAAAGATTTTATTTAATGCAAGGCATCGTTGCAAGTTAAATTTACAAAATATACTTAAGAAGCTGGAGCAGAGTTAGAGTTCGGGCCTCTTCTGCGTCCGAATGATGCTACAACGTTAACGAACCTCCTGTTGTATTGGATACGTCTCTTTGCTCTGCCGGTCTTCTTCTTTTTCTTTTCCTGTTTTTCCACTTTTGGCGTTTGCCCTTTTACTTTACCTATGTACAAAGAAAAAACAAATTTTTAATAAGCTTTCCAAATTGAAATACAGTACTACGTATTCTCATTATTACTTACCAGCACGAGCTAAAGAACCGTGTACTTTACCACCAGGCAAACCAACAGTCAATTCAATGTCATTGTTTTCAAAATCAGAGACTAACTGCTCATCGGTTACAGGAACTCCTGAGGCATATAGGCTGATTTCAGTTGCATTCAGGGATTCCAATGAGGCGATACGGTTCTAAAAATATAAATACAAACGTTTACAAATCAATTTTAATTTAATAAATACAAACTTACCTTAATTTGACCGATGGTCTCTGAACCCTCGCACTCGAGAAAATGAGTGGACGTTCCTCTTAAACACAGTTGCATGTTTATAGTGTAACCTAAAAATGAAAAACACGTTTGATTAGAAAACTTACGTTGTAAATAATTTCTGGTGTGACTACGTTAATTTAGTGACCATAATAATTGATCTAATTACCAATTAACGAGATAAAATTGTAATATTATAGAAAAACACACCTAACACTTCCAGATAATGTTAGCGAAAAGACTCTTTGCGCAAATATTCCGCGCAAGGAAGTGGAAGTGAATTAAACGTAAATGTCAAAAGTCAACTTATTGACAGAAAGTGACTGAATAGCATAGAATGCATATCAATTTCATATTAAAGAAGATTTTTTTCAAAAATTTTTAAAGCCTGTTAACCCATAATAAGAATTGGATTTACAATAAACATAATTCTACATTTTTCCATTATGTAATTTATTGTAATGAATATTGTTACTGGAATTGTTAATTGGCTGAATAGCACTTAAAACGGAGTTACATAAAAAAGAATTGTGAAATAGTTCAAATTTAAGAGTGACAAATGACAACAAACGTCATGTCACTTATTGTCGGTTATTTATTTCAATTATTTGTTTGATTGAAAACTTTTAAAAAATGGGAGATAATTCGGGCGAGAGGCTTTTAAAAGTGTTTGATGAATTGAACATCGACTTGTTAAACTTAAACCGGAACGTCGTGAAAGCTTGGTTCGATGCAGACAATGAAAATCAAAAGGAATTGATGAATTGGATGTGCACATCTTTGTCTCAAAAAAATTATGTTTCGCCTTTAGATTTAAGCAAGTAAGTATTGAAAATGTTTTATCAAGTTTAACTTGTAAATTTTTAATAACCGTTTTTGTATCTTTTTTAGTTTTTCTCTTTTAGACAAACATATTTCAAAAGAGGTGCTCGAAAACGAACTATTAAAAATCGAAGATTTACATCCTGGTATTTTTGACGAAGAAAGCAATGCTCTTGAAATTGAATATTTGGAAGAAGAATTAAAATTAGTATGTGAAATCGAAAAGAGATTGAATCAATCGATGGATTTTGAGAAGTACGTTATTCTTTTTGTAATGATTTTAAAACTTAATTTAAATCTATTGTAGATCTGCTGATAAACAATTAAAGCAACAATTGGCAAAGAAATCTGAAGAAAAAATTAATACTTCTATAAGACTGCAAGAAACTGAACAACATTGCATTCAGGCCTCTGAAAACTTGGATAAACTTCACAGCCAAATCTACGATAAATTATGTAGCCCAGATATATCGTTATATGCAACACAAGTAAGACTAATTTCGCTTATTAGAGCAAGTATGGTATTGTTTAATGGTATATTACTTTTAGAACCTTCCTTCAACCTATATTAGCAGCTTTCCCACAGATAACAATCTAAATCAATTTGAAATATTAAGAAATTCTATGGAACCAATGTTATACAAAGCATCAACATTTTGTACTAATAATTTTAACGATACTCTATCTACTTCATTGTACGATACACTACCTAATTTACCAGATGCTAGTACAGTAAATGAAATGTGTATTAGTAATTTGGATACTATGAAAAATAGGTAAATTGCTGGTTGATTATTGCTAATATTTCTTTGCTCTGGTTTAATACAATTATAATAAATTTATAGTATAATTTGAATTTGTCTATTCTTTCAGGTTGATCAGCACATATTGCAGGTATTTTGCAAATAAAATCGAGCTTAAAAATGTAGGTGATGTTCTCAAGAGTCTTGATAATTTTTCATCCGAAACCTTACTTACATTAGTTCAAGATAAGTGAGTACCTACCTAAATTGTCATTACTTACGTTTATTGTAATTATGTAATATTTCAGTTTGGTTCAGAATATATCCATGGAAACTCTAGTAAATAACAGTCTTTGCAATACATTAGAAGATACTATAAAGAGGGTGAAAGTGGATCAACAATTTAATCAAACTAAAATTAAGTTTACAAAGGAAAAGTTTGCCTTGGTCGAGTAAGTGTCAATATTGCTTTTGGTCCTTATAAATGTGCCAATTAAAATAAAGAATTTGTATAAAAGTAAATAACTTTTTTGAAGGATGGAATGCCTCGAATTCACGGATATTGAAAACATTATGCGAGAGATAAAATCAAATTACGCTCTACTTGGAATTATGTACAACATAGAAGAAAAATACGTGAAAAATTTTGAGACTGCTTTAAAACAAACTTTCGAAATAGTCGAAATTTTGAATTCCTCTATCAGTAGAACAGTAAGTTATAGTTACAGAAATTTAAATATAAATGGTTGCAGCTAAGTTCATGTAATGAATGCATTTGTAATTTTTAGAATAGAATGAAGGATATTATTGAACGACACAATAATACATTATATAAGGATGGATTCGAACTTATGGAAACAATATTTAAATCGCTTTCAAGAAACGATGAAAATTTCGACTTGAATCGAGCTGTAGAGTTATACTCGGATTTTAATAAAAATATTGATTATCTGGAATCGAAACACTATTGTCATGATTTAGAACAACTTACAAACACAGGAAAAAGAACGTAAGATTTATATAATCCAAATGATCCGATTTAATTTAATTGTATTCATTTGTAGACGGGATTCTATTAAAGAATTACAGACATTTTTAATCAGCGGTCCAACAACTCGTATTGTTTTGATACCAACAGAACTTCAATCAGTTGTTTCACAATTAGATAATGTATTGGAAGAGGCTTCTAATGGCTTGAGGTCCACATTGAATAAAATCTCTAAAAGGACAGCGGTGAGTTGAATGTTTCCTTAAATGACTGGTAAAATGTTATTTCCAAAATAACAGTTGTTTTGAACCAATCTCTATTGTACAAAAAATATACAGATAAGTGCAAATTTGTACAAAATGAGGTGCAACAAAGACAACTTCAATTTGTCTCATATGAAGGAAAAAGAAAGTCATATTGTGGGATTACAACTTTCTCACTTTAACCAATGTAATTTTAATAATCTTTGCTCAGCTTATACAGAGTGTACGAATTCTTCCGCTGCAAGCGTTAGAATTAGAATCTCAATCAATACTATAAGATAGTAAAGAACAGAAACTTGTTTATCGGTTGCCGGCCGATATTAGAATTCGTCAATTCGCTTCGCTTCGTCCACTAGCGAATAGCGGGGATAGCGGGCGTGACTATTTCGTATGTTCTCTTTATTCCTTACATAGCAAAAGTTAAATTAGCTATCTCATTATTCTCATTATATGCTTGCAGCGGATCAGTTCGTACATACTGTAGATTTGACCATATTGGAATTAATTTTGCATTTATGTGTATATGTAGTTCCTATCGCGATTAAATTTGGTATAATTTTTTTAGAGAATACATAACGACAAATGGGAAGTTTACAGAAGACAGTTGTGGATGTACTTTTACTCGAATCCAGATGGTCTGAAATTCATTTTAGAATGCCTTAAAAATGAATTCAAAAATCGTATGTCCAAAGAGTGAAGGTCTAATGTATTTTTTATTTTATTGTAAATTTCTGCACTGATTTTAGTTTTATATCACATATATATATTTTTAATGCAAATGTTGTACTTGCCTTTGATCCATATTAACAATTGAGCAATACACTTGCTTGTATAGCTCATTTACCGTTCAAATAAAATAAGTTGATAATCTTTGGATGTTATTTATTTACAAGATTCACTATTTCTATACCCAAACCGTAAACTAAAATATTAAAATTTGCATCCCCGAAGTACAAAAGTCCTTTTAAATCGGCTATTGATGAGTTATATTTGGAAACGCTCTGGCAAATTAGTTTCTCGTTGTCAATTTGCCATTTGTACAACATCAGTCTTTGATCAACTGAAGCGGTTAAAAAATAGTTATTATCGATGAAAGAACCGGTTATTTGCGCCCAATGAGATCCAGCATCTCTGAATGTATCTATAACTTTCACATAAATATCTTCGTTATCATAAAACTTTAAATAATTGAGCACTATTGTGTTATCATCTCCGGCCGTTAGAAACAGAAATGAAGTAGGATCGATTTGTAATTTAGAAATCGTGTTAATTCCAGATTGATGTGACTGTATAATAGAAAACGGCTTTACTGATTCACACGAAAGCATTTCTTCTACATTCCAAAACACTAAACATCCGTCACTAGCCAGAGTAGCTAAAATAATCTTATTAAAAACTTTTAAATGAAATACTTTAAAAATGCATCTTAATTTATAAAAAACCGTCAAACGGAGGTTCATTTTAAAGTCATTGTGGTTATTTTCTACAGTAAATATTTTGATACATCCGTCCGAACAAGCAGCAAATAGAAATATATCATCCAATTCAACTACGCACAGATCCATAATCCTCGTTTCAGACTCTTTGTTATCGATTATTTCATAATAAGAATGATTCTCTCTCAATATTACTTGCTCGCTATTATTAGAATCCATTTCCAAGGTCCAGCATATAATTTGAGCTCTACCACCAGCTGAGAATACTAAATACGATTCTACATGTTTTCCTCCCCCCAACTTATGAATAGCGATAGTTCTTATACTAGATAAATGCGATTTAAATGTCATTAAATTCCTAAAATTAATCTTATCGCGATCTATCAAACTCAAGCGAAGCGTAGTATCTTCTCCTCCGGAAACCAACAAATACTGATTTTGCATTTGCACGAAGCTCATGCAATTGATTTCCTTGAGATGAAAACATTCGACCAAATCGAACGATTTATTAACGTTAATGTCGAATTCGAGTTTATTAACAGCCTTCTCCTTAATATAAAGGAATTTAAATGTACCTTCGGCTTTTAGTAAGTCCCACGATCGGTGACCACCGCCACAAACTTCATCTAATAATATCCTTTTTGTGTCACAGTTCCAGATAATAAAATTATCCCCGGAAAAACCTATCAAAAAATTATCGATTACATCCACCAGCCAATTGTAAGGCACCTTATTCGAAGCCATCAATACTAATCTGTCGTTTGCCATCGAGAACGTTTTGATCGTACCGTTTCGACCTAAAGACACCAAATTGTTAGAAGAGTGTAATAAATTCGTAACTCCCAGATAATTATGCACTTTTCGCAACGATTGTACGGGCGAAGTTTCGCCGATTTTATACAAATGTATGTTCCCCTTTCGATCACCGACTATGATATTTTCTTTCACTGCGATCGCGGTGTTAATGCAATCGACGTTCTTTGGTAATACAAACAAATTAATCGGTTTGATTTCGTTTTGGTTTAGCAATAGAAGAGTTAGGATTCCTTCTTGACATACTAGGAGTAAATCGCATCTGAGCCAGAAGCATGAAGTAATTCTTATTGCTCGTTTTAGTTGATATGTGAATATATTTTCCAAAGAATGATCAGTTTCCTTGTAAATGTACAGTTGTCCCCTAAAGCCTGAAATTCATTGTTGATTAGTGTATCAGTAAAATTTGAAGAATCTCACCTGCTAGAGCGACTAGTTTTCTACATTTAGACACTTTTAGCGTAACACAACTTCTTAAATCTTCAAACTGTTTAATTCTTATCCAAGTATTATTTTTATTAACAAATAAAATTCCGCTTTCTGTGAATATTAAAATGCCGTGTGAAGCTAACATAGCTATCAATTTTGGTTTCTCTCCTTGTGGAATGGTTATATTTTCTTTTTTAATCATAATATCTAATGTAAAAGCATGTACTCCACCATTGTCTCCTCCAACAAAGAGCATATTTTTCGATTCATCATAATCCATAGACCATATCGTACTGCCTTGATTAGTTTCCACTTTTCTTTTCAATTTTCCATTTAAACTCCATACGTTTAACACGGAATCTTCGCCTCCAGTAACAAAGCAATCATTCAGAATTCTACATTTAAAAACTCTCGATAAATGCCCAAAGACTTGGCACAAGGGATATATATTTACATGTTCTTTACTTAATTCAGAATGTAGATCTCCACTTTCAATTTTCCATAAAACTGCCGATCTATCGTCTGACGTTGAACAAATTAAATCATCTTTTACGTGAATGGAAAATATCACCCCCTAAAACAAAAAGAACACGAATTATAATGCTATATTGAAATTATTAAATAAACAACAGACTTCATGTTTTTGTAGTCTTTTGAGAACCACAGAGTAACCAGAATCATCTTTACGGAATTTCCATATCAAAACTTCGTTAAATACAGTGCCCGAGAGGGCTGTTAACTTATTATAGTTGTCATAACATAAATGAGCGCTGTATAATAGGCACTTTTCTTCACATTTAACTGATTCTAATTGATTTAAATGTGTATCCCATATGTTGATTTTATTGTGCATTGAAATTGTGGCTATTTTAGTTTCATCATCCAATAATTTAGCTTCTAAAATCCATTCACGTATTACTGCTCGAGAGGTTTCGTTAATCGTGGAATAATCTTCATTTGTGTTAAAAATTAACAAAAAGTTGCCACTAATCACTAGAAGCTTGTTAGATTGGAAAGGAATTATGCCGAATATTTGTTGACCCCTTGTATCTGTTACGGTTATTTTATTGAGTAATCTGTAAGACTTGTTACAGAAAACGTGCAGGTTAGCCCCGATACCTGAAAATAACAGTTAAATTCGATTGCTGAAAATGATAGATTATTGTCGTACCGATAAATGTAACACTTGTACCGGTTTTTATAGCTGTTACATTCGTTTTAATATATTTCGGAACAAAATTCATGTTTTTGAATTTTTTTGTTTATCCATAACCTCACTTTAATTGCTTCTTCTTTTTATTATTTATTTTTCCAGCATTTGTGAGCCTTTAACTAATCTATATTTCAGGCACTGTTTTGAAAATTTGCTTCCATAGAGAAAGAAAGATTTTGTCTATGATTTGGTTTTTATTAGTTTTGTCTTAAGATTTGACAGTTTGACTAGGTAGTATTCAAGCAGGTTTTAGATTATTTAATTAATTTTCCTGATTATAGGGCCTAAATAAGATTAGGCTTGCAATTGAAGGGTACAGGAAGAACGACAATAGTCCATCTAAAAGATTATCGAGAAAAATTAAAATATAAGTTTACTTACTCTTTAGAAAGTGATATTAAAGGTATCTTTTAGCTGTTGTTTTGTGGACTTGAGCAATTTTTCCACATAACGATTTTATTATCTGATAGTAACTACAAAATGCTATAAGGTAGACTGGGGCAAATGTAAAAATGGGGTAAATGTCAATATTTTTACCTAATATCTTAATATTTTTTATTATTTTTTATATATGTAGTTCTTTTGTGCATTAGACAGGGTTTGTTTCTTATTTTTTCTTTATTATTTTGTAGCTCTGTTCTTTTTTGAAATAAATAAATAAACAGCATATCAAATTTTAGAGAAACCATTCAAAAGTTAAAGGGGGCGACGGACTTTTGGTTCTCACTGTATGTTTTTTGTATGTGGGTATAACTTCATATAAATTTTGTTCATTTGAGCCCTCATATTTTTGTTCCCCTATTTTTGAGCCTCCCTATACCTTTTATCTCAATCAAAAAATTGAAATTTCTATTAAACCGTTAATTTTATCGACTTCAAACAATAGTTCAATTTAATGTTAGGTTATCTATAAATGACAGGTTTATATGACAAAATATGTACGATTTTGATGTCATCTGTACGCTCCCGAATTATTAATATCTATTTTCTGTACACCCGGTATACATATGGCAAGGCAAGTAAAATCCATTTTTGTAAGAAATACCATCAGTTGGCGAATATCAGATTGTTTTCCCAGTTTTTCCTACTTCTCATCAAACTTCCATATATTCTAGTTCCTTTGAATTCGTCAACCAATTTATCATTTCTTTATCATTTTCACATTTCCATTCTTCCATATTCCAGGTCCAATAAATTTCTCAACCATTTTACCATATAAGTTACCTACTTTGTGTCCAGTTTTTCATCTTCTCTTTCATACCTCTTCTTTACTTTTTTTCCTTCTCCTGTCTTATTTACTACTCGTACTTTCATGTTATAATTTTTTATAGACACTCTTCCATATCCCTTCTTTATAGTTTCATTTTCTCCATCCACTTCTTTATTTGAAATGGCTACTTATACTTTGGTTTAGTTCCATATAGTTTCATTAAACTAATAGCTAATCGAAATATACATGTTTTTTGGCTATATGATTGGAATCAAAGTTAATGAATATGTAAAGGTAATGTAGCTGGTTATTCGTGGCTTCTAGTGCAGGATATATAACAGCTGCATCTGCGAGCATTTTTAAGCATGTCGGCGTCGAATCGCCTAATTTATTGACATCCTTGTCCTTAATATAAAGGAATTTAAATGTACCTCCAGCTTTTAGTAAGTCCCATCGGTGACCACCGCCAAAAACTTCAACTAATAATATCCTTTTTGTGTCGCAGTTCCAGATCATAAAATTATCCCCGGAAAAATCTATCAAAAAATTATCGATTACATCCACTTATAGCCAATTGTAAGGAATCTTATTCGAAGCCATCAATACTAATCTGTGGTTTGCCATTGAGAACGTTTTGATCATACCTATATGATTGGAATCAAAGTTAATGAATATGTAAAGATAAATGTGGCTGCTTATTCGTGGCTTCCAGTGCAGGATAACAGCTGCATCTGCGAGCATTTTCCCGCATGTCGGCGTCGAAACGCCTAGGCAGCAAGCGCGGTCTCCGTTGACGTCGTCGTTCCGGTTTTAGCACCGCGAAACCGACGTCGTCGGCGTCGATGCTATCGAGCGACTATTCTTTTCGCCAGTAGTTCGCTCGTTTCACCGGGTGCGGTGCAGGTGCGGATCTAATGGCAACATCTGCATGGACCAACCTCACATCATGAAATTATTAAAAGGTCAGTGTCGCTATGTGGCATCGCATTCAGCGTGATTTTTGGCTTTGATTTCCGATCCTTCTGCCCTTCGAACTGTGCCTGTGGTCGACAATAGGAGACCAGATATACTCAATCGCCGTTGCCAAAATGAAAAAAAAAAGTTTAGCAGTATAACTGACGCTTCGCATAAACATTTTTACGTTTGGATGTTACAGAAGCGTCGATGCGATGTAAATATATGTATTTATAAATCGGTTTGATTATTTAATGGGATCACGATGGTTTCTAGCTAACTGGAGAAATTACATGAGGTTTATTCATTCTCGAAGCACTTTTATATACCATAGGTTCCAAGTTCCAATTATCGCCTTTATTTTTGAGAGAAATATTTCATTGAATCTTAAAATGTACGGACTAGAGAGATGATGACATGATAGACGCTGATCTTAATTCGAAATGCTATTTTCTCATAGCTCATGTCTTTATTTATTTTTCTTTTTATTAACGTCTAAGTAGCGATGAAATTCTAACAATTCAGTATACAGAACATTTTATAAACTATTAGAGTAGAGTAGATACAGATGATAATAATATATAATAAATTCTATCTTGTTTAAAATCAAATATTTAGTGTAAATAAATACCTACATTTAAGATACCTAACATACCTTAGGTGTTTTGAAGCCAATTTCCCAAAAAACAGTTACATAATGTATATTTACCGACAATTTGTTTTTTTACGATAGTATTTACAGTAATATGTTATTTTGGTATTGGGAAACTGTAATTTTTGAGAGTACTCCGTCTGGTCAGTTTCGAAATCGCTACTATTTCATAAATAGGAATTTATTTCTCACCTTAAAATTTTAGTAACGAGAATTTATTAAAAATTATACGCGTATTTTTAGAATATCTTCCGAGCCGTGAATCTGCATTTAAATTCTAGTGCACTATTAAAATAGGCCAATCAGCAAAATATAAAAAAATCACAGAACATAACTTTACAGTTAGTGCCAATTGTCCCATCGCAAGAAGATGTTGAGATAGTTTCATAAAATTTAGAAAAAGCTTTAGATTTAAGCTAAAAAGCTTAATTTTATTTAGTAAAGAAGTTTAAGAAATAAAATTACATTTAAAAAAGTGCCTTAGTGAGAATATTTATTTTAAGAATTAATATTTATTAAAAGAATATTTATTTTAAGAAACATGCAGGGTAAAATGGACAAGATGCCAAATTATTTTTTTATCAATAATTTGTTAAAATAACTGAAATTATTGTTAAGTTTTTCCTTGAACTTATTGTTGTTTTTTTGCAGGAGGTTCTCCAATCGAAACCCATCCACCTCGTTTTCGAGACGATCCAACCCAGTACGTATCTGTACCGGAAAATTCTAGTGCTGTACTCTCCGCTGAATTATACGAATTGACTGATGACACTGAAATATTATGGTACGTTGCACAAATGCAAGGAGTAAAAAAATATCTAAAATCTAACCAGAGTTTCAACGCGCACTCTTTCCTGGGTAAATACTCATTCACGCGGGAAAGAACGTCCGTAAGCCGGCTAATACTTAATGAATATTGAAAAAAAATAATAGATATTTGGATATGTGTATGATATTTTTAATATTTGAGTATGTAAAGTTTTTATAATATAGAGCAAGTATGAGCCCAAAAAATTCACACATGTAAGAAAATCTGTTCAATTTTTCAAGGTACAATAAAATTTTATCAGGGTAAATTCACTTAAAATTTAATGAATTTTGAATATTTAGTATTTATTTACTATTTAGAGACTTTTAAAGTCTCAAATGAAAGGGTTTTATGGCTATTCAATTAATTTTGCAGAAATCACATTAAAAAAACTAACTTTAAATTGTATATTTTGCTTCCTACATATTATTTATCGGCAAAATCCAAATACCCAGTTTAACGTGGATTCCGCTGGCATATCCGAACTCTGCCACAAAATAAAATGTTACCTGTATTGTATCAATTTGGGGATTACTGAATGGTTCGAACTCTGCCACGACCATTAAGTTTAATCCTATTATGGTCATTAGGGTTTATTATAATATTACCTAAATAAAACTTAAAATTTCATCGCAAAGAAGTCGTAGTAGATTTTGAACTAAGCATTCATTAAGTATATGAATGTTTTGGTAGAGATCAAATTATTTTTGGTTGTAAATTTCATCTCTGTCAAGCTTGGTTTCGAAAGATTCTGGAGTCTCATTGGGTACAAGAGTACATACAGAAAGATTGAGTAATTGGCGACTACTTAAGAGTACATTTTGGAATGATGTTTCTTAGACCTGAGGAAGTTGTTGAATTTTTTAATAACGAACTAAATTTTTTGCTTCCAAGCGATGAGAGAGTTATATAATTTCGCAATTATGTCAATAAAACGAAAAACGAAAAATTCGTTCGGCGAACTAAAATCAGAAAAAAAAAACATATGATTATTCATAATCATGCGGAAAAATATAAGAAAAATACTAATTCTCGCTTTATATTTGTGAAAACGGTTGTATATTTAAACCTATATATTTTATTAAAATGTACATGTATTTTTTGTTACAAATATACGTTGAAAATATATTATGAAATTGTTAAATCGGATTAAACAATTAGACCCCTACGGGTTTAATACTTAATCCCTAAAATTTTAAAACCTGGCAGAGTTCGAACAACCCATAATGACTACCTGCATTTTGTGGCAGAGTTCGGATACTCCGGGATTCCGCTCAGGTATTTTGGTTCATATTCAATTACAAATCGAGAAATCATTGAAACTTTTTAACACTCAATGAAACTTACTTAGAATGTTTAGACATGCAAGTTCGTCAGTAAGGCTATCGAAAATAGAATTATAACTTTTGCTCTAGTGAATATTTTTATAAAACGCATTACAGGAAGTTACAAAACGTTTTCGTTTGTAGCGAACGGTATTAATACATTTTTACGATCCATAACATTTGGAGTTTTACTATTAAAAAATCTCTTAACAATGTATATTAGTGCAAATGTATACAGTGAGGACCAAAAGTCCGTCGCCCCCCCTTTAACTTTTGAATGGTAAGAGCGTACATTTTTTTCGTTTAAAGGACGAGCCATTGTCAATTTCATCAACTTTAAATTTGACAAATAAATGTCAGAACCAAGAAACCATAGCAACAACTAATTAATACATTTTATAGTACGTTCAGAATTAATTTTTAAGTGTATCAATATGCTCGGGGGTTAAAACTAAATTGGTCTTCACGTGTATACGCGTCTATAAAATGTTTTCAAATTTGGGGGTTGACTTAAGAATGAAATTACCTTTAAAACGAGGTATCACTTGACCCCCTTTCCATAAGAAAAAAAGATTCAAAATGGCGACTAACTGTCATTTTGAAAGTTTCAACTGTCACTTTTACGTCAAAAAATTTTTATTTTTATTTTTACTCCAATATAAACACCCCAAATTTCGCGACAAAAGCTCTTACCATTCAAAAGTTAAAGGGGGGACGACGGACTTTTGGTCCTCACTGTATAAAAGATACATATAAAAGGATTTTTTGAATGGGACATGATCAAATACATACATGATTAAATTTAGATCCAATTAGTACACGATTAGAAAGGTAATTTCATGAAGAATTTATCAATGATGTGATCTCTTCTCTTTAGCGCACTCTACCCACTTTTGAGAAAAAACAATACTGCAAAATAAAAAATGTAATCAATTAATTATTGAGGCGTAATTTTATTTACCTTTTAATTTGTCTTTCTATTTGCAATTTAGCATTGATTGTATAACCCGAGCCTAATGATCCGTAGAATAACGCCGAGCACATCGCCGAATGTTGATGAATATTTTTAACAAACCTATCCACAGGTTCGGAACTGATGGTAGTTCGGTAAAAATAATCCTAAGGACGAGCCGTCAAGCCGCCCAAAAGTTTTTGGCTTTCACGTGGCCGAATCCGATTTTCAAAGTTTTGCGTGCAGTCGTTGAGGTGGCGCGGGCGCGATAATCCGTTCGATTTTTTTTCGTTTTTACCGTTCAATCCTACGAAATTTGTGTTAAGTAATTTATTAAAATTGGTGGGTTGACGTAAGGTTTCAGTGATTAGAATTTATCGCCTTTACGGATGCTTGAAATTATTTATCTATCTAATTGTTTAAGTAAGGATTGAAACTTATGGAGCTTTTTTTGGTTTCAAATTAGCTAAAAGGACCAAGAAATAAGTTTCGAACATTACAAAGTAATTTTTCAGTTGGTGTTATCGACGGTATTAGGTACATTTTCTCATTACTTTGATGTTTAATTACATGTATTACACAACTGATGCCAATATTTTGCATTAGCCAGTGTTTGTAATTTCAAAACATCTGTAATAACATTGTTAGGTACTATGAATAGACATTTTAATGCAACTCGAATTTTAGATCGTTAATGCAATTCGTTCGGTAATATTCGTTTTATCGGTTTCCGCTTTGAACCTAAACTTTTATCGCTGAAATTTAACAGAAGTTGGCTATTTTATTTAAATCAATGAAAGTTCATTCTACAACCCCATTCTAGTGACTAAAATAGTTAATAGTAGTTTGCAAATGATTTATCTAAATTAATCGTAATTTATTCTTGAATGGAGTTTTACATCACAATTTAATGTTGTAGCCAACTTAAAAAATAAAGCGATATTTTCAAAGTTTTGAATATGATAAAAATACATTAGTTCATATTTTTGTTTAATAAGCAACAAAGCACGTATGATATTCATTTTCGTGTTCTGCAATTAGTAAAACAGTCAAAGTGTTATGTTCTTAGTTAAAAAATACCCACTTCTGTTAAATAAAATTAAGTTTTTCCAAATTAACAGTCTTATTGTAAAATAATTCGAGGCATTAATTAAAAAAACACCATCGAACGCAGTTCGTTAAAATTTCCCGAACAACCTACGTGCTACTCACCCAGCCCCATTTACCTTGACACGATAATAAATTCACAGATTTTCTGATCCGAAAATCTATTTCGATATTTCGGCGATCGCGTTTTCTCGAACTAGCGTGGAATTTGACGGTGTTGTGAACCGCGGCCGCTGACGCCTCCGGTAACTTATAGGCGAAGCATTCTTCTCGTTCTCGATTGAAAAATAAAATTGTTTTTCTCCTGGAATGTTGCAAAACACAATGAGAGAGTGGTGTACAATGCCGAAAGCGACAATCACCCGATAAGATGGGTCAGAATATTAGCAGTTGCTGTAAGTGCTCTTCCGGGAAACACGCTCAGGGTTGTTATGGATCCGTTTCCAGTGGGTAAGATATTTCTTTTAAGTCCAAACAATTGTTTATAAATAAAGCTTGGAATAGTAACCGGCAAGAATATTAATTAAATTTACATTTAAATTAATCATAAATTACAGCAGTTTACTCATAAACTTAAAGAACATATTCTCTTGTATGAAAATAAGCGCGTTTGCATAAACAAATTGTAATATTTTTATAAGTATAGATTTTTTACAAAATAAAAAAATAAAGCGGAAATACGAGGCGAATTATATTAGGGTTAATTAGGAATAACATCAAGTAAAAGTTTTCACTTTCACGTTGCCAAGAATAATAGGTCTATTTTAAATAGATTAGTCCCAGTGCTCGCATTAAGCCAGGTTCAAACGTGATGTACGCGATTAATAGACGGTGACATCAGTGTCAAGATTGTAATTTTAATTTGAAAATGTTAAAATACATTAATTATTTTCCTTTTACCTCTTTCGTATGAATTGGAAATGCGATTACTGTTCTCATAATCACAAGATACTCAACTAATCCAGCGAGTGCTGTTTTTCTCAAAGGTTGTACACTATACTTTCTCTACGACCCTCGGATTAAAAATATACGTTTTATGTGTAATTGAAAAACTATTTTCACGAACCAGTTAATATTTAACACAAGGCGTTAAAAATTCCTACAAGGCATTTTGAGGATTTTACAGAACTAAACTTTCTTTTATCTAAATTTAAGTTATGCTTCTAACAAAACACTTAAAATAGATCCAGTGATCCTAAATTAATCCAAAATAAACTTCTGGAGAGATGTTGATGCATTTCAGAAATAGTTCCACCCGGAAACTACAAAATATTGTCGATAATTCAATTGCGGATGGACTAACCCACTAATAACTATTAGAATTATTGTTTTAATGTGGGTCTTCGAATATAAAAATAGTAAAACACTTCGAATTTAAATGGGATCTGATTTATCTGTTGATATAATAGAACGCTATTTTTATATGTAAGTCAGATACAAACACAACCTCTAGGCACACAGCCAATGTCCTAAAAAAACAGACGTTCAAAAGACTTGTTTTCCAGACAAAATTCACTAATAAAAAAGTAGCCGCGGAGCATTTAAATGAAAGAATCGCCACAGCACCTAATTAAGTTCTAAGTTGCTTATAAACTATCTTTAACTAATTAACTATTAAAAATATGGAAGGATACAAAATGTTTAAGATGTTAACATTACTGACTATGAATCGAAAGTTTGAGAATGACTCTGATTTGTCCTATTTGTAGAACTAAAATGGGCCAAAATTTAAAAATTCGCAGCAATTACAGTTGCTCTTTCCGATCATAATATTCGAAAATTTGACATATATTTTACGAATTTTTATGTAATAAAAACAAATTGTTTTTATGAACCACGGCAAGCAGGAAACTCTTTTGGCTAACATCCAGTCTATAGATAGTCATGACAATAGTCATAAATACGCAGCGGCGATATTTAATTGATTTATTCTCAGCCTGTTGCGCTGTGCATATTTTAAACTGTAATCACGATTGAATTTGTTTCTATTGCGTAACTAATTAACTTATTTTTTATCTACCATAACAAATTCAAGCGTGCAAGCATTGCAAACTTTCAAACAGCGATCACCTTTCTATTTGATTGCTCATACTTCCAATACAGGTCTAAAGATGGAGGTGCGCCTATCGTTCCTGAAAGAAGAAGACAGCTTAGGATCTCTCAAAACACGGTACAATTGGCATTGGACAGAGTCAATAAAGATGACGCCGGTTTGTACTCCGTAACGGCCAGATCACCTCTAGGAGTCGCCTCTAGAGATGTCGAACTCAGAGTGTGCAGCTCTGAAGATGACGACGAACCGCCAGCATTCCTTAGACGACTCAACGACTTATCGGTCAAAGTCGGGACCAGGACGAGGTTCTTAGTCGAAATCAGAAGCAACACCACGTTAACGGTGAGGCTCTCCTTACGATTTAAGGAAAACATTGCAAGCGTCTTTTGCAGATTGAATGGTTGAAAAACGAAGAAAGAATCAATGAGGGCGAACGGTACAAGTTCGTAAACGAAGGAGGTTTCCACTGCGTAGATGTCGCGCCGGTCACAGTCCAAGATATCGGACGGTGGATGTGCGCCGCTAGAAATGCCGCCGGGCAAGCGTCGAGTTCCTGCCATCTCAACGTACTCGGTACGTCTTTGCTAATCCCTCGAAAAAACTCGCGAAGGTTATTCGAGAATTCTAAATTCCAGTTCCGAAAACTTACAAGGCGCCCGAGTTCCTGGAAGAACTGCGAGCTCTTCTCACCGAACAAGGGACCGTTTCGCTGGAATGTAAGGTAGTTGGAGTACCGACGCCGGCGTTGCGATGGTTCAAAGATGGAAAGGAAATCCATGCGGGGGATGTTTTCGCCCTTACTGCGAATCCTAACGATCCCACGTCTCTGGGCGTCTACGTCTGCGAGGCGATTAATTGCATGGGAAAGGCCGTTTCCAGTTCGAGAGTACACGTTGTGGATAGCCACGATGGCGATGAAACATCCGCGCATAGGTGAGCACTTCGAAATATACAAAAATCATTTCTTTTTGATACATTGATTAGAATTCCAAATTATACTGAGTCTATTTCAGTCATTTACCGATTGGACCTCCACCGATTTTCACTCGAGATTTACAAGACGAATCGATAAAAATAGGCGATCCTATTTTACTTACATGCCAAGGTAAGTTATCAATTATTGTTAGAACATTAACAATGTTTCTCGGCTATATTTTCAGTATCCACGCCGCCTTGGCCGAAGTCGATACAATGGTACAATTCCGAAGGCAGAATCGACGATCAGGACCAAGGCAGCAGGTACAAACAAATGGCAGACGGTATTGGAGGGTATATGTTAGAAGTTAAGCCTACCGAAGCCTGCGATCAAGGCGAATGGAAATGCGTCGCGACGAGCGACACTGGAGTCGTTTCCATTTCAACATGTACAGTCAACATGATAAGTAAGCTGCTCAAATTTCGCCCATTTACTCACTCCTTTCATTCGTTACTTACTTATGTGCTCCAGTTCCCAAACACTTCAGAAAACCCCGATTCATGGACACGCTGAAGGCCATCCTAACCGAAGAAGGCCTCGTGTCGTTCGAATGCAAAGTGGTGGGTTCGCCGACGCCGCTTCTGAGGTGGTTCAAAGACGGGCAGGAACTGAAACCGGGCGACGTCTATCAACTAACCGGCACCAATTCGCTCGGCTCCTATTGTTGCATAGCCAGGAACTGCATGGGCGAGGCGAGGAGCTCCGCCGAGCTGACGGTAGAAGACATCGAGAACCAATTGAACGACGAAGAGAGGGAACAACTCGTTGCCAGGAGCCAAGCGCCCAAATTCATACAAGGACTGAAGAGCAGCGAAGCTAAAATCAACGAACCCTTTAGGTTTACTATACAAGGTAAAACAGCTGTTGTTTATTGTTGTTTCACACGTTGATGCATAATTTATTGCAGTAAGCGTCACGACGCCCCTGCCTCTTATATCGTGGTTCAGAGACGACCAGCCGGTGATCAACGAGCCGGAGAAATACATAGTGTTCCGCGAAAACCTGGGCGTTTGTCACCTCGACGTCCGCCCCGTCGAATTGAACGATCAGGCCGAATGGAAATGCGTCGCGACGAACGATTTCGGCCATTCGGTGACCTCGTGTTTCTTGAAAATTATCATTCCGAAGCACTTCAGGAAGCCGAAATTCCTGGAGTGCCTGCGCGCCGTGCTCTCCGAAGAGGGCGCCGTTAACTTAGAGTGTAAAGTCATCGGCGTGCCGCAGCCGATACTCAAATGGTACAAGGACGGCATCGAACTAAAGCCTGGAGATATCCACAGGATCACTTCGGGACAGGTAAGTACCTAGATAGTTTGTTTGCGGTGCACGTTTTGATTCAACCGAAGCAATATGAAGTATGTAGGAATAGTACCTACGTACCTACACCACAACCAACAATATACAAATACGGTTCTATTAGTAAGAGGCTGCAGCTCTGTTATAGTTCAATCACACATTGGTATAAAATTCTACAGTTATTTGTATAATGTTGGAAGGCAATCTCTGCAACATCGATTGCAATATACTTGGACGGTGTTTCTAATATCCAGGACGGCAGATGTTGCCTCGGAACGTACACGTGCGAGGCCCGAAATTGCATGGGCACGGTGGCCAGCTCGGCGTCCTTGCTGGGATTCGAGGACCAGAAGCCGAGGAGCGCGGCCCAACGACCGGAGTTGGGACGGCAATTGTCCCTGTCCACGATTCACGAGGAGCGGACGTCGCAAATGTACGACACCGCCGGCGACCAGTCCATAACTCTGGCCGATCACGGGGAAGTTTCGTTTTCGTTCGACGGCAAAGAAGTGTCCGTGTCGCTGTACGAAACGCCCGATCTCACCGAGGACGAGGCCATACAGATCGTCGAAATGTACGCCGAGCAATTATCCGAGCATTTTTCTGGTAAACATTTTACGCCGCGCTCGATTCGAGAAAGCCCTTACGGTTGTTGTTTGTTTTTTTAGAACACAATGTGGTGGAATTACCGCCGCTTAGGTTCGTTAAAGAATCATCGCAATCGGGGAATTTACTCATGGAAGCTGTGGTGGTGGACGTGTCCGATGATTACTTCCACACGGCCGAAGAAGACCTGCGAACGGAAGCAGACGTTGACGAAATACTATCTATAACGAACGAAGCGACGTTCACGTCGGAAAAACTGAAAATCGATTTGAATTCCAACGGGGAACAGCCGAAACGACCGCCCAGGAAAGCGGACTCGCAAAGGAGCAATTCCTACTACAGCCTGAGCAAGAATCTCTCATTAGACTCCGAAAAAGGCGAAGGAAGCTTAGCCGGCGCCGCTGAATTAGACACAGAATCTTACGGAGAATACGAAAGCGCCATGAGCTCCGATAAGAATCAATTACTAGAAGACAAAGCTTACCAAGTAGCCGCTATCACTGAAACTACTAGTTTACCAGGAGACGAAGAAGAGAGAAGGCCGCTGACGCCGCACACGGCGCATGAAATCGGCTCGGATTTAAGAGTCAACAGGAGCGAAAGCCAGGAATTGAAGAAATCCAGAAGACGCCGATCTTCGCAAAGCTCAGACGAAATGTCCAAAGATGGTTTCAAGCGAGGCGCGATCAAAAAAACCATCAGCTTGGAAATAACCGATGCTTTTCAGAGGGATTTACAAGGCGAAGAAGGAGATGGGTTGGTTATTGATCCCAAAATAACCGCTACAAAAATTACTGAACTACAGAACCAAGAAAATAGAATTGTGGAGGAATTACAAATAACTCTCGATGAAATACTCGAAGGTCTCTCAAATGTGACAGCTAATCTTTCGTTGCAATCCGCTGAAAAATCAACAACAGCCATCGCAGATAGAAGCAATGAGGTGTTGAATAGCATTTCTCAACCCATTAAAGATATTAAAACAATCTTCGACAGTTTCCAGCACAAAGAATCATATATTATTGAACTGATTGCACCGTCAATATTTGATCTTCAAAAAAGTTTAACACTTATCGAAAATTGCATAAGTATTAAGCGCAAAGAGCATACCCTCATACAAAAAACTTGCTATAATATTCTTCAAACTTCCGGAAGAAATATTAACAAAGCTTTGAGATCGGTCGAAGAAATAGCTTTATTAGAAAAGGAACTAAATATTTCGCAAGCCACTGGTAGAATGACGCCATCGAAAATAATTCAAGAAGTATGCATTACGATTAAAGAAATGCAGAGTAAATTATGTAAATTGGAAACATCTTCAGCTGAAAAAGTTTCATCATCTCCGGATGTTACTTCTGCATCATCTCGACGATTATCAAGTAGTAAGGACATCGATGTATTAGATAAACTTTTAGACGCGGTCACGAACATAAAAATTGCCCTTAACGATCTTGCTGGAGATAGCAGCATCGCCATTTTGGATAAACTGCAAGATCCTGTGGAGATTTTGATAAAAGAAATGAAAGTGGTCCAAAAAGAGTCAGTTAGATACACCGCTGATAAATCGTTGCAACAAGAAATACGCCGGGCACTTTTGGACAACCTCAGTACACCAGTCGATGAAATTTCAAAGGGTTTGAATGTCATTAAAGTGCAAGAACCCGGCGACGTGCACGCAACGTTAATAAGCAGAAACGTTTTAGAATCGTTAGAAGCACCAGTGGATTCTATAATACACTCGTTAACTAGAATAAAAGATCACGCTGTTGTAGCGAAGGAATCCGAAGTTACTTCTTCTGAAGAAGTATTCACCGAAGTTCTAGATAAAGTAACTAAACTGGTGTTTACCAACATAACACAAGCTGTTGAAGAGCTCCTTCTTAGCATTAATACCGCTAGGTCTAATGTATCGGACGTGGCAGTTCTGGAAGCCCTGGATAATTTGAGTCTTCTACAAAGAGATCTTTCAGTTGCCGTTGCTGAGGCATCGAAGTTCCAAACTCACGCCACGGTCTCCGCTTTGGAAAATTTAAACGAACCGATTCATTTATTAAACAGTTTAGTTAGAAGCATAACGCCGACTACTGGGAAATACATTTTGGAAGACACTATAAACTTGTTGAATATTCTTGAAGACTGCGTGATTGTTGACGATACTATCTTGCAAAGTTTGGATTTGTGCATTATATTCTCTATACTGAGAGGGAAAATTTACGAAGCCAGAGAAAATATTTGCAGTTTAATTGAACAGGGCAGTTCGATGGAAAAGCCAGAGGACAATGTTGTCGTAGTGTTAGAAGAAGAATCGTCTACAGTAGTATCGGATGCACTCATCGAAGATACTAAAGTGACATTAGAAACTCTTAACGAAAAGTGCATTGAACCGTATCTGACAATGCTAGAACCGTTCTTAGTAAGAATTAGAGAACTCAACGAAGCCACCACTGATCAGCTATTAGTGAAAAGCAAATTAGAATTAACTATTAATGATAGAGTGTTGTTGCAGAAGCACGTTATACCGTTAGAGATGATTGAAGATTTCATAATCGGTTCGCTTGATTTACTAGCAACACAACCAGTTAGTGAATCTAAAAACGAGCTCTTCCAAACGCTGCAACACTTGCAATACAACGTGGCAGTAATGCATCAACAAATATTAGATGTAACGCAGCATTTGGAAGTGATGGCGCAGTGTGGGGAAAATAATACCGAAGATTTAAGGGCTAAAGTTAATGCAGTGAGACATCTGAGTATCCTAAATGATGACATATCACCAGAAGCTAGAGTTACAGCTGCAGAAAATATTCAAGAGCTAGAGAAATCCTTGGCAACATTTTACGAAATCGCCATGTCTGAGCAAAATCAACAAATTCCTTCCGACTTTTATGAAGTGGCTTCGGAAGTTTTGGACCAAATCGAGGATATTAAGAGTAGCCCAGTTTTCATCGAGAACCAACCAATAACCAAGGAAGACGTAACTAGCATAAAGAATTTAGCTGAACCATTAGTAAAATTGGACAAGTTTATGCAAGATATCAGAGACGATCAAGATTGCAGGAACCGAATGTTCTCATCCATAAGAGACCCTCTCATTGAAATTAACGAAATGCTGGAAATAATCCCGGACGAATTAAAAATTAAATTGTTCACTCTATACGGCCCGCTTAGAAATTCCATTGAAATCATATCTTTGGAAATTTTTAATTTCGATATTAAAACTAGAGATTTAGAATGTTTAATACCTATAGCAGAATTGTTGAATAACCTGAAATCGTCCATACCGACTAGTAGTGTGGTGTATGAAATCTCCTCTATTATAGAAACACTAACACCTTTCGCTGGGGAACTTATGGAAAAGTTGAAAGAAATTAAGAAAGACAGCTTGAAGCATATCGTGTATTCGTTAGCAGAATTCATTGGAAGCATAATTGAGTTGCACGAGCATTTTAAAGAAGGCGAATTTTCACAAGAATCTCACGACACCAACGCGCACTTGGAAAACTTGAAGAAAAACATTCTAAAATTGAAAACCCTACCTCAAACAACCAGCCTCAAAAATGTTATAAAAGAAATAGAAGGAGTTGTGGAGTTATCAAATATTTTATTTGAACGAAATATTAGAGAAACTATCGTGCAAGCTGAAAATATATTAGAGATTTTAGATGGGATAATACATAATATATCCCAAAATATATTTACAAGGAAAGATTTGGATGCGTTGAGTCTTCTGAATGAAAATGTAGAAAATTTCACAATAACTTCAGATATCGATATATTGTTTGCTGAAACTTTACGAGGTTTAAATCTTGTCCTAAGTTTCCACATTCAAGAAAATCTTATAGAAACAGCCTACATTCGATTGGAATCGTTGGAGAACGCTCTAAAGTCTGTAACAGAAACTTCTTTGCAACAACCTTTATTCTCAGCTTTAGAAATGATCCAGGATAACGTTACTTATTCGGATCAAGCACAACATATAATCGATGTAACTACTAATATAGTGGAAACTTTCAAAAATTCTGAGGATCCCAACGAAACTTTGATAAAACTTGAAGATGATTTTAGAGAATTAGATAATCTCACTTCTACGACACAGTTCGAACCACTCGTAGAAGCCACACAGAATATAACGAATATCCTTCTCGTTGAAATGCATAAAAAAATATTAGTAAACAAAATCAATGAGTTAAGGATACAAATTGGCACGTTGGAAAATTCTTCAATTGGTGCTGTCCAAAGCATATTGCTTGAAAATGCCAATCAAAACTTAACCACTTTACTAAAAGCCCTACCTCATATTAACTGTTACAATGCTGTAGAAGTTGCTTTTATAACAGACATTGTGAAAGATATAGAAGATTTAATCGATTGTACATCCAAAAATCTCCAACATGATCAAATAATTGTCATAGAATTGGATCAAATTATCGAGAACATCAAAAATAACCGAGAAACAGATCCGGTTATTACAGAACTATTGGAAGATTTGGTCAAAACTCTCAGGCAGTTGAATGAAGAAATTCTCGACCAAAATCTAACCAAAGAATGCGTTAAAATATTGAAAAACACCATTCAAATAGAAACAAACATTTACAAGCCAATTTTCGAACACACTGAAATTTTGTTAAAAGAAATCGAACTCGTTGTACCTGAAATGGAGAAAAGTTTCGGAACAGAACAATTAAGAGAAAATTTGCTGAATATAAACCACTCACTAGAAAACCTGCTCATAAATAATGGCAACATTTTAGATGAGTTCCAGTTGAATTTAGAGAAATTAAACCTAACAATCGGAAATATCATCCTACCCGAAGATTTTAAAATGGAAATTTCATCTAAAATTGAAACTCTGAAAGCCGCTATACCCAAAATACAGTCCCTTAACCAATCCATACGGTTAATACAAGAAAATATGGTTAAAATGGACAAATATTCAAACAACCAAATCAACCAAGAATGTCAAGAATTAATCGATAAAATTTCCACAACACCATTCAAAGGAGAAGATATGTACCAGTTAGAAAAAATAGCTGGAAATCTCCAACAGACCTTACAAGATGAAAATATAGAAAGTCTGAATTATTTAGAAGAACAAGTGAAATTATCTACAGGCGTTATTGATGAAAATATCATTAAACCTTTGAACAACATTCTTATTATATTAGGCGACATTATAAAAAACAAAACAAAAGTCCAGGAAGAAGGAAATGCTGATGTCAAAGAAGAACAACCCAAAGAAATTGAAATTGAAGAAGTAAAAGATGAACAACCAGTTGAAAAGACAATTGAAGTATCACAAACTGAAATTAACGTGAAAGATAAAGATGTAACTCAACAAAATATTCCAGAAACAGCAAAAAAAGAAATTGAGCAAGCATCGATACAAACACAAGCAATAATTGAGCAAGAAGAAAGTAAAACTGTTACAGCAGTGGATGAAGAAAACTTGAAAGAATTGATTGAGGATAGCAATAAACCAATAAAGCAAGAAGAAGCAACTATAACTGAAATAATTAAAGAAGAGAAAGCCACTGAAAGTGAACAAATAGCTCAAACATCTACAGAGATTATTAAAACCGAGGATCAAGAAGAGAAAAAAGGAATTAAAGAAGATATAGTGGAAATAAAGAAAGAATCAGACATTGAAATTACAGAACAGAGTACTTCTAAAACATTTAACAATTTAAAATATCTAAAACAAATCAGGTTCATTCTAGAAGGTGATGATCAAACATGGAGCAAACCATTACACGAATTATTAGATACAATAATCACCCAAACCGAAAAAGTAGCGACTTCAGTAAAAGAAGATAACCGTCAAGCCGCGGAAAATACTTTAGAATATCTAAATATGTTTATTAAATCAGTCACTCAATTTTTCAACAATGAAATAACCTACTCGGAAGTTCTCTCTGGATTGAATCGTTTAGCCTCCGACGTAGAGGCAGTAGAAATGATTTCGGAATTCGAGAACATATATGAAGCCATCAATGAAACTATCGCAGTTGGGACGGATATGTTCGAAATGAAGCACATAAACGCGATTAAAGAGTGCCTAGTTAACCAATTGGATAATTTACAAAAAATTTGCGAACTTCACCTAAGCCGAAAAACCATCAAAAGCAACCTATTGGATAATCTTTTCAAAGCGATACCGATGATATTGACCAACATTTCAGATATGAGTCAATTAAACGAGGACGATTTGAACTTCATAGAAAACGCTACTGTCATGGTATCGGAAATTCGAAATTACATAATAATGGAAGCTCCCAACACCACCGAGCAATACATAAAAATACTCTCCGAATTTCCGCAACGAAACAAACTTCCCGCCACCGAGGGTTTGCTGAAGCAACTCCACGCGTTAATCACCCAAAGTTTAGCTCTCTTGAAAGAAATAAAGGAAATTGAGAAAATCCAAGAGGACGATAAAATTGAAAATATTCAGTTTATTTCGCACCACATGCAAATGCTGATGAGAAAAATAGCAGCGATTAAATCCAATAATATCGATAATGATAAGGTCATTTACCTGCAAAAATGTTCGTACGCTTTGCAAACAGCTATTTACGATTTACTGGAGAAACCGTTGGGAGAAATCGATAATGATTTCTTGGCGAACGTCGGCAAAATATTCCAAGAAATCGACTTGCTTATCGATGAAGCGCTAGGTAATGAAACTTCGCCAGGAATTAATAAAAACCAATCCAAAACCACGTATTTATCTGCCTTTGAAGACGCTTCAAAAACTATTGATAAACAGTCACCTCTAATCGATTTGTCACCTTTGTTTGCTAATTTTATCGATAACTTAACGGCGATATTGAGACAACTGGAAGAAGCCCGCACAGAAAATATGAAGAAACAAGTCGCTGACGAATTGTTTAATAAATTGGAAACCCAAGGCGTTATTAATACAACCGAAGTATTTAAGACTTATAAGGAAGCATGTTTATCTTATCTTAATGATGAAGAAATCCAAATCCTCGTAGAAGCCGGTACTTCATCCGATTCTGCCTTAAGAGAAAAAGCACTGCAAACACATTCTTCTGTAGGTCAATTTATTGTTAACATAATTGATACTGTTAATAATCGTAAACTACAAGAACAAAATCGCAAAGTTGCTGAAGATAGTGTTATTATATCCGAAGATATTAAAGAAAAAACTGAGGAAATGAAAGAACCAATCGAAGAAAAAACCGTTGACAATCTAGGTTTAACTGAAACTAGGGAAGAACCTCAAGAAATGAAAATTGATACCGAAAAAGAAGTTACAGGTCAGTTAATTGAAGGTCCAGCAAAAGACCAGTTGCAAATATCTCCTGCTTCTGAACTAAAGGAAGGAGAAAAGGAAGATATTATAGAGGCAACTGCGACTAGAGAAGACAGTAAGGAAAGTAAAGAATTTATAGAAATTACCAGCGAAGGAGTAGAAAAGCCGAAAGAAGGTAAAGAAGGAGCTGCAGAAACTCATGAACAAACCAAAGACAAGCCAGAAACTGAATTAATAGCAGATGTTAAAATCGAAGATGCCCGTTTAAAAGAAAATGAAGATAAAACAGAACGCACAGAAAAAGGTTCTAAAATAACATGCGCTGAACCAATTCAACAGCAACAGATAGTTCAGTCGATAATTACTGAAGAAAGCGAAACTAAGAATTCACAATTAATCCCCTATTCTGAAGCAATTACTAGTCAGGAAGCAAAGGAAGGTAAAGAATTAGATAAAAAACCTGAAGAAACAAAACCAGAAGAAATAAAACCAGAAGAAATAAAGCCAGAAGAAAGAAAACCAGAAGAAGTAAAACCAGAAGAAATAAAACCAGGAGAAATACTTGCAAAACCAGAACATACCGCAGAAAATAAAAAAGAAGAAATTAAAGTTCAAGACACAACAGTATCTGAAGTAACCACTGAACAACCTATACAAACCTCTATTGAAACAATCCAACAAGTCGTAGAAAAACCAGTAATAACTGAATATCAAAGCGAAGAAATTGATACAACTTCCGCCGATATACTCCAGCCAGAGAGCGAGAATTTGGAGGCACTTGTTCCCCAAATTGAACCTCTCCTGAACTCTTTGAGTCAACTCAGCGCCACTCTTTGCGACATCGAAACCCAGCCGGTGCCGGAATTGAAAAAACTCGCCTTGAGCGATCTACAGAAATCCTTGAAATTCATCGAAGAAACTGTAAGAAACAAAACGAGCGACATAAGCAAAGACGTGGAGAATTCCGCCCTGGCCGAAGCGAACAATACTCTAATTATTCTCAACAACTTTATCCTATCGGCTCAAAACGAGGAGGAATTCGTGGAATCCTTGACGGCTGAGAATGTTAAAGCTGCTATTGAGGAACTACGTTTGAGTGTTGTTGTCATCCCTAAGGAATCGGAGGTTAAAACTGCTATGGAGCATTTGGAAGAAACCGTTAAAAACGTTATAAATCTAGTAGAGAATATTCCTTTGAAAACAGAAGTGAAATTAAGAATACTTTGTTACATTGAGAAACTCACTGAAGTAGTCGAGATATTAAAATCCGATTCTACACCTGAACAGTCCGTAATACTCACTAAATTGGAAGATTTGCTGAAGAGTATCGAAGTTTCCTTAGGCGATGTGAAAGTTACCAATGACGTGGAGCAAACTATATTAGAAATAATTAATAATTGCTTGGATGAGTTTAACGACGTGCTTCAGTTCCTTAATAAATACAGTAGATTAACAGACGAAGATGTTTTGAAAAGTCTAAGTAATAAAAACCAGTTACTTAACAACGAATTGGCGATCTTACCTCGGGGCTCGCCCATCGTGGTTCTCGGAGAAATAATAATCTCCATAGGACAGCAAATCGTTTCTCTGCTATCGTTGGAGAAATCGTCCGCCTGCGCGCCGCTGCAGGATTTCCAAATGTCCATTCAAAACCTGCAGGACTCTTTGAATTCAGGTGAGTGCAATTCAGAACGTATTCCTCAAAAACACTTCCTATCAGAAATACGTAGGCCTTTGACCACTTTGCATTTTATCGGTGTTACCATATTGGAAGATAAAAAACTAAACTTGTCCCCTATTGATATTCAGCTTTTAGAAATGGCTAATTGCACTATCGCAGATCTTCGTAAGTTAGTTAAGGACATCGATTCGATGCCTGTGCACGATTTACAGGAATACTCGGACAAATTGAGAACGTTCACCGAAAGCATTAACCAGGACTCGCAGCTGAAGGACTTTTCCGTGCCGCTCAGCGATATTTCGCGGTGTCTCGAAAAGTTCCTGGATCAAATCAGAAAGGAGAAAATCGAAACGATCGATCTAGTTAGCGATCGACTGGAGAAAGTTGCAGTCAAATTCGGGACGTCCCAATCGCAAGCCCTCAAGTCCACGGTAACTGAAAAACTCCAACGACCGATACAATCGATAAAACGACGAATCGCAAACAGTTCAATAGAAAGTATATCGAACGAAGAATTGAACAACTTCGTTAAAATCGCCGATGTTTTGTGCGATTTGCGGTTGAATAACGAAAACATCAGAAACTTTGCGCAGTCTGTTAATAACATCCCTTTCCAGGATGAATCTGTATTAAATGATTTACAAACTTTAACTGAGAACGTTGATTTAGCTTATTTATTCGCCGAAGAAGAAGATGCAACGAATACCATTGGTGAAGTTAATACAAATTTAACGAATTTAATCAAGTATTTAGTACAAGTAAAATACCAACCTGACGATAGTAACATAAAATTGCTGTACAATTTGATGCAGCCCATTGAGGAACTGCAAGCTGAATTAGAAAAATGCAGCAACATTCAACCGTCTGAAGAAGAAGAAACTATTTTGAGCTGCCTCAATAAATACTTCGTTCAAATCTACAACAAAGACACCACTTCCAGTAAAATAGAAGACTTTTTTGATATCCTCGAATCGTTGCAAAATAAACTGATCAGCATTTGCATGAGAGCCGTAGTTAAACAGAACGACAAAGAAGAAATACTCAAAGTGATACTCAATCCTTTAGAAAAAATGTGCAAAGGTATTATTAAAATTCAAAACGAGTTTTCTAATTTGAAAGCTCTGGTCACTGCTCGACGCAATATCAAAGATGTATCCAAAATTCTCTGCGATGAAGAAACCTTACAAAGCCTGTCGAAACCGTTAATTAGCATATCAAATAAAGTACAAACCATTAATAATTTAGCCACTATCAATGAGGATTTAATGGAATTAAGCAGTAGTATATCAGTTTTGACCTCAGAAAATGCCAATAATTTAGATCTGGTGCGAGAATTGAGTCAACTCCAACAAACTGCCGATGATATTATTAAAAATCCTAATGAAGAAATGCTGAAGCAACTCCAAAATCTTGTGACTGCTTTAAAACAAATAGCCAAAACAATTCGCTCTCCAAAACCAAGCGATCAAGTAAATCCAAGAATGGTTTTGAAAGAATCTATAGAAGAAATCAAACAAGAAATTAGCAATTTACAACATTCAATTATAGAAGAAACTCCTCAACCGAGCAGTGCTCTAATTTCTGCTCTAGAATTGTACGAAACAATCGTAACAGTTCAAGAGAGTTTGGAAAAAGTGAGCGAGTTACCTCTTGAAAATAACGAATTAGAGTGCCTTATTAACATTCAAATATATTTGGAAAAAATAGGGATTGTACTTGTAACAATAAAGAACTCAATCCAGAAGCCGGTGTTGCATACTGTGAGTACAGAAGCTCTAAACTCAGCTAAACATTGCATTAAAGAAGCTTTGACGTTTTTAGAGCAATCTCAACAGCAATCTGCATTGAAGGTTGCACTAGAGAAACCTCTTGCAGCAATGTTGCAGCAAACAGAAGACCTCTTCGAATTATCTGCCGTTCCAATTGAAGACAGTTTAAACACTATAGAATCTATTCTAACTGACGTGAAATTTGTCGATGAAATTCAAGCTTTAGAAGAACCGTTGAAATTTTTATCCAATAGCATAAGATATTTAATTCCCAGTATTACAAATGAAGATTTTGCTGAAGAATCTATAAAGCAAATTCTAACCAAACAAAACATACTTTTAATGGAGTTAAGATCGCTTTTAACAAACCCCGAAGAAACTTCTATAGGTTTAATCGATAATTTACAATTTTTGGAAACCAGTTGCAGCGAAATTGTAGATATTTTTCAAAATCATCCCAAATTAAAAGACTTGTGTGAACCTAATAAATTTTTATCCACAACAATATCTCATCTATTAAGCAAAATTAAAAAGCCTCAGCAAGGCGCAGAAAGCTCCAATAAGGAATTGGAAAAATTGTCAGAATTCTCTGAAAACTTAATAAACCTTCGAACTGAATTGGAAATTCTAAACATTCACCTTCAAGGCGCAACCAACATCGAAGAAAGAAAGTTGCTGCTTCTGCTTACCGAATTAATCGGTCCTTTGTTTAATTTAACCAGTCAATTGGAAGGCGTAAAGGACCTGCAGAATATGCCAGGAGATTTTCATCGCCACATCGAAGACGTCTCTAATGTATTGCAGATACTTGTCAACGCCACGAAGAAAAATAACGAAAAACTGATGATATCAGAACACACTGAAAAAGAAAACCTAAAAATAAAGCACATTTTAACTAAACTTGCCAATAGTCTATCTAGCGTATCATCCATTGATACACCGTTTGCGACGGGAATAAAACTGTTACATGATAAAATCCAGTTTATAATTAAACAAACCGAGATGGAGGAAACTGCAGAAATTAAAGAAAACAAAATCGAGAGAAATGACACGAAATTAACAATACAAATTCTTCAACCTCTAAAATTATTATCAGAAGAAGTTGCCCAACTTAAAGGCAACGTTTCTTCCATCACAGATGCTTCACAGCAGGGTGTGTTATCAGTAGTAGAAATATCAGATTCATTAAACCAGCTCGCTGATGCATTAGAAGACAGTGAGAAAACATCAGATGTTACCGTTGATGATATCAAAGAAGATGCAGTGGAAAAATCTGTAAGATTGAAAGAAGATTTAGAAAAATTGACTGCAGTAATTGTAGAAGCAAAAGAATGTATGAACAAACCTGAAATATTAGAAAATAAAAAGGAAGCAATGAAAGCAGCTATTCTAGCAGTTAGAGAGAAAGTAGATAACATTGTGAATGAGACTATACCAGAATGTAAGAACCTTCTAATTACAGAAGCTCCTTTAAAATCATTGGTAGCCAAATTAGATGAAGTAGCAGTCCAATTAGATAATGTTGCGGTAAAGAAAGCAGATGAAGAAATATCTGAAACTAAAGAATCTAGACCAGATAAGGAATTAGTGAAACAAATGCTCCAACCTTTACAACTGTTATCACAAGAAGTGGCTCTACTCAAAGCCAATGTTTCTGATAATATTGTTCCCAATAAACAGGGAGTTTTATCAGTTATGCAGTTATCAGCACCATTAGAGGAGCTCACGCAAATATTAGATAATATCGAAAAAGCAACAGATATTCCAGTTGAAGATATCAAGCAAGAAAGTATCGAGAAATCCGCTAAATTAAAGGAAAATCTAGAAAAACTAACAACAGAAATCGTGAAAACTAATGAAAATCTTAACAAACCCGAAATACTTGAGAAACAAAAGGAAGAAATGAAGAAAGCTCTTCTAGCAGTTAAGCAAGAAATAGAACAAATATCACAAAACACCCTGCCCGAATGTAAGATGCTCCAAATTTCAGACACGCCTTTAAAATCTTTTTCCGCAAAATTAGAAGAAATAATAACACAATTAGATGAAGTTCCTGCTGATACACTAGATACAAAAACAAGCGACAGTAAAGAAGAAAAGAAAGAAATAACGCTAGTTAAACAACTCCTTCAGCCTTTACAATTGCTATCAGAAGAAGTTAATTTACTAAAAGCCAACATTTCTGCTGAAACTAATGTTCCCCAAAAAGGCGTATTTTCAATAGCAGAGATATCAGCCTCATTAAATGACCTTACTCAAACAATGGAAAGTTGTGAAGAAATTACATCTGAAAATATCAAGCCAGAGGCGATTGAAAACGCTGCTAAATTGCAGCAAGAAATCGAGAAATTGACCGCCGTCGTTGTAAAAACGAATGAAAATCTTACAAAGCCGGAAATACTTCAGCAACAACAAGTGGAAATGAAAAAAGCTATTGAAGCAGTGAAACAAGAGATGGTAAATAGTTTACAAGAAATTCTACCCGAATGTAAGATGCTTCAAACTTCAGAGGTTCCCTTAAATGCTTTAGTAGCCAAATTAACCGAAGTTGCAACGGATTTAGAAGAAGTTCCTATGGAACAAGTAGATGAGAAAATATATGAAAATAAGGAAGAGAGAGCAGACACAATGCTAGTCAAGCAAATGCTCCAACCTTTAAAACTCTTAACCGAAGAAGTGACGTTACTCAAAGCTAATATTTCTACTAAAGAAGAAACTCCTCAACAAGGAGTGTTATCAATTGTAAATATAGCAGCTTCATTAATTGATCTTGCCCAAGCATTAGAAGATGTCGAAAATGTAACTGATGCTTCAGTCGAAGATATCAAGCAAGACGCTTTTGAAAAATCAGCTAAATTGAAGGAAGAATTAGAAAGGCTAATAACAGTTGTTGTAAAAACGAACGAAACTCTTAAGAAACCCGAACTCCTCGAACTACAAAGAGGGGAAATGCAGAAAGCTGTTCTATCGGTTAAACAAGAAATTACAACAATTGTACAAGAAATCCTACCCGAATGTAAGAAACTTCAAGCTTCCGAAAATCCTCTAGTAACTTTAAGTGCAAAATTAGAGGAAGTAGCAGCACAACTGGATGAAATTCCTCCAGAGAAAGTAGCTCAAGAAATATCTGAAACCAAAGAAGAAAGGAAAGATGTAAGCTTAGTGAAGCAAATGCTGCAACCGTTGCAAAGGTTATCGCATGAAGTAACTTTGTTCAAAGCTAATATTTCCACTGATACAAACCTCCCTACACAGGGAGTATTATCAGTACTGGATATGGAAGCTCCATTGAAAGACCTTACTGAATCATTGGAAGAAATCCAAAAGACAACAGATGTTTCATTCGAAGATACCAAGCTAGAAACCATAGAGAAAACTGCAAAATTGATGAAAGAAATAGAAAAACTAAAGGCAGTAATTGTAACAACGAATCAAAGTTTAAACAAACCCGAAATAATAGAACAACAAAAATGTGAAATGAAAAACGCCATTCTTGCAATAAAACAAGAATTAGTTAAGTGCTTGCAAGAAGTGCTACCTGAATGCAAGATGCTTCAAATATCCGAAACACCTTTAAAAACTTTAACTGCGAAATTAGAGGAAGTAGCAGTAAAATTAGATGAAACTCCAGTTGCAGTAAAAACAGATAAAGACGTTACTAAAAGGAAGGAAGAGAGAAATGATGCAATATTAGCTAAACAAATGCTTCAGCCTTTACAAATGCTATCAGAAGAAGTAGCTTTGCTTAAATCTAACATTTCCACAGACACAAACGCTCCTAAGCAGGGTATATTATCAATTGTAGAAATATCAGCATCATTAAATGATCTTAAAGAAACGTTAGAAAATTTCGATAAGGCTACCGATATTTCAATGGAAGATGCCCAGAGGAGCACTATCGAGAAATCAACTAAATTGAAAGATGAATTAGAAAGATTAACAGCAGTGGTTGTTAAAACGAACGAAACTCTTAAAAAACCTGAACTGCTAGAACAACAAAGGGGAGAAATGCAACAAGCTGTTTTATCTGTCAAGCAAGAAGTAGTGAAGATAGTTGAAGAAATACTGCCAGAATGCAAGACGCTTCAAATTTCAGAAACTCCTCTCGTATCTTTAGCAGCAAAATTAGACGAAGTTGCTGCGCAATTAATTGAAATTCCTCCGCCAGAAATAGTTGATAAAGAAATTGATGAGCCTAAAGACGAGGGAAAAGCCACTTCGCTAGTAAAACAAATAATTCAACCTTTGCAAATGCTATCGGAGAAAGTGTCTTTACTCAAATCGAATATTTCAACAGACATTGAACTCCCTCAGAAAGGCATACTATCAATTGTAGAAATAGAAACCTCAATTAATGACCTTACTCAAACACTAAAAGATGTCGACACGACAGCAGATACTTCAATAATTAGAGATGACGAGAAAGAAGCAACTGAAAAATCCGCTAAAATGAAGGAAGAAATAGAGAAACTGGCAGCCATAATTGTACAAACAAACGAATGTCTCAAGAAACCTGAATTGCTTGAGCAACAGAAAGTCGACATGAAACAAGCAATTCTTTCGGTTAAAGAAGAAGTAGAAAAAATGGTTTTAGAAACTTTGCCCGAATGTAAAAAGCTTCAAATATCAGAAACTCCTCTAAAATCATTGGCAGCAAAATTAGAAGAACTAGCCTCACAATTAGACGAAAACCTTATTGAGAAACCAAAGGAAGAAATCGCTAAAACTAAAGGAGATAGAAATGATACAGTGCTACTAAAACAAATGCTCCAGCCATTACAAATGTTATCAGAAGAAGTAAACTTCCTCAAAGCTAACATTTCCTCAAAGTCAGACGTTCCTCAACATGCAGTATTATCAATTGTAGAAATATCAACATCTCTAAAAGACCTTGCTCAAACTTTAGAAGATGCAGAGAAGGCAGCTGATATAACAGCTGAAGACATCAAGCATGATACTGTTCAGAAAACTGCAAAATTAAAGGAAGAATTAGAAATGTTAACAGCAGTGATCGTGAAAACAAATGAAAGCCTTACGAAACCAGAAATACTTGAGAAACAAAAGGGGGAAATGAAAAAAGCCGTTTTAGCGGTCAAGCAAGGAGTAGAGAAAATTACAAATGAAACATTACCCGAATGTAAAAAGCTACAAATATGTGAAATTAGTCTAAATTCTTTGGCCGCAAAATTGGGTGAAGTAGCCGAGCAATTAGAAGTGAAACCTATAGAGAAGAAAGATGCGGAATTGATTGAAATTAAAGTAGAAAAAAATGTTAAGATGGTTGCTAAACAAATGCTGCAACCTTTGCAACATTTATCAGAAGAAATTATTCTACTCAAAGCCAATATTTCTTTAAATACTAACCTTCCTCAAAAAGGAGTATTATCCGTAATAGATATCTTAGCTTCATTAAAAGAGCTTTCTCAAACGATAAAAGACTTGGAAAATTCAAGCGACATTACTGGTGAAGAAGTAAAACAAGAGACTTTGGAAAAAACCGCTAAATTAAAGGATGAGCTATGTAAGCTCACAGCAGTGGTTGTAAAAACGAATGAGTGTCTTAATAAACCTGAAATAATGGAACAACAAAAGGGAGAAATGAAGAAAGCAATTTTAGCTGTTATACAAGAAGCAGAAAAAGTGGCTCAAGAAACATTAAATGAATCTAAAAGTCTTCAAATTTTAGAAGCTCCTCTAAGTTTATTAGCAGTCAAATTAGAAGAAATAATAAAAGAATTAGATAAAACTTCTGAGGTGGCAGCAGAAAAAGAAATACCAATAAAGGCAGACACGACTGAAGAAGTACCAGCAGAATTAGAAAAAGTGACTGAGACTTTGGAAAAAGCAAAAGAAGTAAAGAAAGACAACAAACTATTAAAACAGATGCTTCAACCTTTACAAAAGCTAGCTGAAGAAGTAGCTTTATTGAAAGCCAATATTTCTACAGACATAAACATTCCTCAGCAAGGTGTTCTATCAATTACAGAAATTTCAACTTCATTGAACAGTTTTACTGAAACACTGGATAAAATTGGAAAGACAACTGATGTTGCTGGTGAAGAAGTCAAACCAGAAACTATGGAAAAAGCCGTTGAATTGCAACAAAAGTTAGATAAACTTACAGCAATTGTTGTAAAAACTAATGAAAGCCTTAATAAACCAGAAGTGCTTGAACAGCAGAAAAAAGAAATGAAAAATGCTGTCCTTGCTGTTAAACATGAATTAGAAAAAATTGTCCAAGAAGCCAAACCCGATTGTCTTCAAATATCTGAAACGCCTCTCAACTCATTAACAGCAACATTAGAAGAAGTAGCGATAAAGATAGATGAAGTGCCTGCAGAAGCAGTTGAAAAAGTAATTTCCGAAATAAATGAAGAGAGGAAGGACACGATAGTAGTAAAACAAATGCTCCAACCTCTACAAATATTATCTGAAGAAGTATCATTACTTAAAGCTAACATTTCCACAGACAAACAAATTCCTCAAAAGGGAGCACTTTCCATAACAGAAATATCAGCTCCATTAAATGAGCTTACTCAAACTTTGGAGGATATAGAAAAGGCAGAGGCAGATGTTTCGGTAGAAGACACCAAAGAAGGCGCTGTTGAAAAAACTGCCAAATTTAAAGAAAAAGTAGAAAAGCTTACATCAGTAATCGTCAAAACCAACGAATGTCTTAAGAAGCCCGAAACACTTGAACAACAAAAAGAAGAAATGAAGAATGCCATTCTAGCCGTTAAAGAAGAAGTAGTGAAGAGTGTACAAGAAATGCTACCCGAATGCAAGAAGCTTCAAATTTCAGAAACTCATCTAAAATCACTAGCAGCGAAGTTAGATGAAATAGTGATCCAACTAGATGAAGTTCCTGCTGAGAAAAAGGATGAAATAATTACTGAAACTAAAGAGAGAAATGACACGATACTTGTTAAACAAATACTCCAACCTTTACAAATGTTATCAGAAGAAGTAACTTTACTACAAACCAGCATTTCAACCGATACTGATATCCCTAAACAAGGGGTATTATTAGTAGCAGAAATTGCTACTCCTGTACATGCTCTTACTGAAACATTGGAAAGTATCAATAAGACACAACAGATCACAGATGAAGATGTTAAGTCGGAGGTCATTGAAAATACTTCTAAACTCCATCAAGAATTAAACACATTGACAGCAGTGATTGTAAAAACGAATGAAAATCTTAAAAAACCCGAAATACTCGAACAGCAAAAAAGTGAAATGAAGAAGGCTATTCTAGCTGTTAAACAAGAAATAGAAATAATTTCGCAAACAACTCTTCCCGAATGTAAAGTACTTCAGACTTCAGAAGCTCCTCTAAGATGCTTGGCTGCGAAATTGGAACAAGTAATACTTCAATTAGAAGAAGCAACTATCCAGAAAGGTGATGAAGAAATAGCCAGCGTGAAGGACGAGAGAAATGATACAAGAATGGTTAATCAAATGCTCCAACCTTTGCAAACATTATCGAACCAATTAAATCTTCTAAAAGCCAATATTTCTACCAACAAAAACGTTCCCAGTCAAGGAGTATTATCGATTATTGAAATATCACCTCCAATAAATGACCTTACAAAAACTTTAGAAAATATTGACAACAAAGTTGATGTTTCAGTGGAAGACAGTAAACAAGAGAATATTCAATCAGTTATTCAATTAAAAGAAGATTTAGAAAAATTAACAGCTGTGATTGTGAATACCAATGCAACTCTTGAAAAACCTGAAATACTTGAAATCCAAAAAGAATCTATGAAAAACGCTGTTCTTGCAGTTAAACGAAGTGTAGAGAAAATTAGTCAAGAAACTCTTCCGGAATGTAAGAGACTACAAATCTCAGAAAGTCCTCTAAAATCATTGAGTGCAAAATTAGAAGAAGTAGCAACGCAATTAAACGAAGTTCCTTCTCAAAAACTAGATGAAGAAGTTGCTGAAACTTCAGAGGTCAGAAAAGACAAGACCTTAATAACCCAAATACTTCAACCTTTACAATTATTATCCAACGAAGTAGCTCTGCTCAAAGCCTCAATCTCAGTAAATACCGATGTCCCTCAGCAGGGAGTTTTATCAGTAGTAGAAATATCAGATTCATTAAACGAAGTTACACAAACATTAGAAGATATCGTGGAAACGAGTGTTACTGCCGAAGATGCTACAGCAGCACAAGATTCTAGAGCAACTGCAGCATTAAAAGAAAAACTAGAAAAACTAACAGCGGTTATTAAGAAAGCGCATGAAAACTTTAAGAAACCCGAAATAATTGAACTACAAAAAGGAGAAATGAAACACGCCATTCTGGCTGTTAAATGTGCAATAGAAAAAGTTGCACAAGTGACGCTACCGGAATGTAAGAAGCTTCAAGTGTCTGAAATTTCTCTTAAAACTCTAGCAGCAAAATTAGAGGAAGTTGCAACACAATTAGAAGAAGTTCCCGCAGAAGTACATGAAAAAATGGAAGAAAGAAATGACAAGAAAGTAATTAAGCAATTGCTTCAGCCTTTACAACTCTTATCAGAAGAAGTTGATTCACTAAAAACTAATATTTCCACAAATATTGATATTCCTCAACAAGGAGTGTTATCAGTTATTGAAATCTCAGCTTCAGTTAATGGGCTTTCTCAATCATTAGAAGAAATCGCTAAAGTAATTGATGCTAATGGTGAAGATGCTAAACAAGAAACAGTTGAAAAATCGGTGAAGTTAAAGGAAAATCTAGAAAAACTAACGGCAGTAATTGTAAAAACGAACGAAAGTATTAAAAATCCTGAAATACTTGAACAACAAAAAGCAGAAATGAAGAAAGCTATTCTTGCTGTTAAACTCGAACTGGAGACAATGACACAACAAACGCTGCCTGAATGCAAGGTGCTTCAAGTTTCAGAGACCCCTATAAAAACCCTAGCAGGAAAATTAGAAGAAGTAGTTGCAGAATTAGATAAGATTCATGAAGATGAAGCCGAAAAAGAAATTCCTGCAGCACAATTAGCAAAAGAAATTTTAACATTGAAAGAAGATAGAAAAGATACAGCCGTTGTAAAGCAAATACTACAACCTTTGCAACTGTTGTCTGAGGAAATAACTCTACTCAAATTCAATGTATCTACTAACTCTGATATTCCTCAACAGGGAGTCTTATCAGTAGTAGAAATATCAGCTTCACTAAATGACCTTACACAAACATTAGAAGAAATCGATAACACAGCAGACTTAACAGTAGAAGATGCCAAGGAAGAGTCCATCGAGAAAGCAGCTAAATTAAAGGAAGAACTAGAAAGCTTAACAGCAGTAATCGTAAAAACTAACGAGAGCCTTAATAAACCAAAAATTCTTGAACAACAGAAAGCAAATTTGATCAAAGCAGTTTTGGCTGTCAAGCAAGAAATCGAAAATAATGTTCAATTTACACTGCCCGATTGCCAGAAGCTTCAAATTTCTGAAACTCCTCTTAAAACGTTAGCATCCAAATTAGGTGAAGTTGCAGCACAAATAGATGAGGTGAAAGTAGACGAAGATATTTGCGAAGCTAAAGAAGATTTGAAAGACACGTTACTAGTGAAGCAAATGCTGCAACCTCTGCAACTCTTGTCAGCACAAGTAGCTACACTTAAGGCCAACATTTCTACTAATACTGAAGTTCCTAAACAAGGAGTTCTTTCAGTCGCTGAAATATCAGATTCTTTGAAAGATCTTACTAAAACATTAGAAGAAATTGAAACAACAGCTGATATTTCAGCACAAGAAAATATTCAGGTTGCAGAACACCTGAGAGAAGAACTAGAAAAACTGACAGCAGTAATAGTAAATACGAATGACAATCTTCAAAAGCCTAAAATACTAGAAGAACAAAAACAAGAAATGAAGAAAGCTATTTTATCCGTTAAACAAGAAGTAGAAAAAATCGTCCAAGAGACACTACCCGATTGCAAGAAGCTTCAAGTATCAGAATCTCCTCTAAGATCATTAGTAGCTAAACTAGATGAAGTAGCAATACAATTAGAAGGTGTGGATGAAAATAATAAAGAAGCACAAGAGAGGATAGACACGAAACTAATCAGACAGATTCTTCAACCTCTACAAATGTTATCTGAAGAAGTCGCTTTACTGAAATCCAACATTCATACAAACACCGACGTTCCTCAGCAGGGAACACTTTCAATTATAGAAATATTTCCTTCTTTGGCCACCCTTACCCAAACATTAGAAGAAATAGCAATAACTTCTGATGTTACTATCGAAGATGCTAAGCCAGAAACCGTAAACAAAACTGTAAAATTGCATAAGGAATTAGAAAAATTGGTAGCAGTAATCGTAAAAACCAACGAAAGCATTAAGAAACCAGAAATAATCAACCAGCTAAAAGGAGACATGAAGAACGCCGTGCTTGCTGTTAAGCAAGAAATTGAAAATGTCGTTCAAGAAACGCTTCCAGAATGTAAGAAGCTTCAAATCTCAGAGAACCCGCTAAAATCATGGGCAACACAATTGGAAGAAGTAGCAACGCGATTAGAAGAGGTTTCTGCAGAAGACAGAAAGGACACCTTGCTAATTAAACAGATGCTCCAGCCTCTGAAACTCTTATCAGAAGAAATTAACCTGCTCAAAGCAAAAATAACCACCGACACAAACGTTCCTCAACATGGCGTACTATCAGTTATAGAAGTGTCAGATTCCTTAAACAACCTTAACGAATCATTGGAAGACATCGAGAAGAAAACTGATGTAACCACTGAAGATGCTAAACAAGAGGCGGTTGAAAAGACAGTTAAATTCAAGAAAGAGTTAGAAAAACTAACTTTGGAAATCGTAGAGTTGAACGAAAACCTTCTAAAGCCGGAAATCATCGATAAACGCAAAGATCAAGTAAGAAACGCGATTTTAGCTGTGAAAGAACAAGTGGAACGAATGGTTTTAGAAATCGTTCCAGAATGTAAGAGGCTCCAAATATCCGAGGTTCCTCTGGTGATCTTCTCCGCTAAACTAGATGAAATAGCTGGAGATATGGCGCATACGCCTCCAACACTACCTAAGGATATTGTAGATAGTGTTTGTAATTCATTCAATAAAATGAAATATCGACTCCAGGATGCTAAGAACGTACCTTGCTTAATAAACGCAGCTTTCCAGGATTTATCCAGCATATCCAACACGCTGTCTGTTTTGGAAAATAAATTAAAATCCGAAATTCCAAGTCTTGTAGATGAGAGTTTGGTGGAACATCTCTTACATTTATCAGGATTGTTTGAAGATTTGGACAAATCACTGGAACTTGTACTAACTGTTCCTCTCGAATCATGCGTTCAGAATGTAATAGCATCTACTGTCTCAACAAACACCAATTTAACAAGAATTAATATCTTGCTCAGCAATTACTATTCAAACGCTATTACAGCACCATTAGAGTTCGTCGGGTTGAAGATTAATGCGTTTTTGGAGAATTTGCAAGGTGTTCCGAAAACTCTATCTAAAATCAACTCCGCCAAAATCGAAATTTGCAGATTGCTCGATTTCTACAAAGCCATCCACTTCGATGGGAAGGTGAAAGATGCAGATTTGAAAGAATTTTCCGGCATACACGAAAGCCTATTCGGGATAATTGAACTCATCAACAGCAACTCATTAGATTCTCCAGCAGTGGAAACTCTGGAGAAGATTGCAGAATGTTTGAATACCATTTCTAAAGAAAGCGAAGCTACTAAGATTTTAAGCAAGCTGAAATCTTCGAAAGAAAACCTCGAACAGGAAGTTACTAACATAAAAGTTACTGGCCTACTCACCGAAACTGAGAAATTGATTAAAAAGTTAATTAAATACTCGATGGCAATCGAGGATAGATTGAACAACAGACAAGACATCGAAACCATTAAGCTTCTGAAAATGCCCGTATCACAATTAGCCGAAGAGCTTCAAATGTTGAACAAGAAGCTTTCAAAATCGGCCAAGTACATCACGCCTTTGAAAAAAATGCGAGAAGCTGCAAACAGCTTCAACGATAACTTAATTCTGATCGAAAAGTCCACCGTTAGCGAGATTCCGAATATTCCAGCACCTTTACTGGCTGAATTGGAGAATCTGGTTTCACCTTTGGAGGAATTGCTGATAGAATTCGTCAAACTCAATTCTGCAGCAGATAAACCGCAAGCTAATGCGCTCGAATCGTTACAAAAAACCTTCAAGAAAGTTGCAAGTAAAATAGAAATCCTGCAAGAAATACTGAAAACTAATGATGCTTACGATACTGTTTTATTAAAACCTTTGACGAACATTAAGCAGGCTCTTGAAGATTTCGAAGCTAAGATTACGCAAGAAGTAATAGCTGAAAGGGAAGAAAAGCTATCGAAGCACTTAGAACCTCTCATGAATGTTAACAAAGCTGTTGATAATCTTAAAGAAGATATTGGACTCATGTCCAAACCTCTTGATTTGTTAACGACAATTACAACAATCAAGAGTCCTGCAGAGAAGATTATTAATGAAATTAAATCCGCCGATCTTGATGCTGACTTAGATGCATTATTAACCAACATGCAGGAGCCAACTAATTCGTTGGCTAAGCTAATTAATAATGTCAATAGCATAATGACCGATGGGGATATTTTGCAAATAGAATTACCCACAATCTCGGAAACTCTAAAGGGGATTATAGGCAATTTGATGCAACCAGAACTTCTAAAGAAACATAAACTGGATGAAATTATGCAAGAGTTTATAAATGTTTTAGAGACAATTATTGAAGAAACTAACAAAGAAAGACAAGATTATAAAGTACTGACTGCTGTAATTTCTTCTGGGAATAATTTAAACCAATCAATAACCAGTTTACCTGAGAATGTACTTCTTCAAGCTCTAGCAAAACTTCCAGAATCTCTGAATCTTCTTAAAAGCAATTTCCAACTCGCTAGAGAAATTGTGTACAGCAACGACTTCCCTAGACCCTATTCTGAGGAATTAAATAATCTCGGGGACGCTTTTGCTAGCCTGACTTTGTTGCTAGAAGACGTGAAGGATAATCCAGAAACTGTGAAATACGATACAGAGATAAAACTGCTGCTAATGAGCTCGAAATCGCCATTGGAAAAGCTTTGCTCAGCGTTGGTTCTTAACGAGAAAATGGAAATATTATCACAAACTTTCAACATGTTTCTTCGAGATTTGATTGAAGTAGAAAAGGAAATTGATAAGCAAATTTTGAAACGAAGAAACGACTACTTGTTTGCAGAAGCCCTGCAAAAATCCGTTGTTGAATTTAAAACTGGCATAGTAAAAGAAGGAAACAAATTAAATATTTTGGTAAACAGTTTGAGCATTCTTCAAGAAACTCTGAACGATCAAATGAAATTGATAGATATCACTAAAGAAGATTTACCTCAAACTCTAACTAACTCGATTAAATTGAGTGAAATAATCGATAATTGCAGAGAAAATATACCAAAGGACACACAATTAGTATATTATCTTGACGAATTGAAAAGAAGCATGGAAATAACTATTGAAACTACAAATTCTTACGAATTTTTAAAACCAATAAACTCTGCTCTGGCTATTTTACTTGATGACATAAAAATGATTTTAAAAGAATTTGTGAAGGAAGCTGTTGATGAACTACAAATTGAAGAAGAAATGGAAGAGGAGCCAAAGGCAGAAGAAAAGAAAGAGGAAGTACAGAGCGAAGAAGCAAATAATGAAGAGAAAATATTAGAGGAGTTAGAACGGAGTAAAGAAAAAGATGAAGAAATAGAGAAAAGAAATAAAGAAATTGAAGAAGTAGAAAAAAAGACGACAGAAGAAGCTAAGGAGCTAGAAAGGCAAAAGGAAGAAACTGAAGAAGATAAAAGTAGAAAAGAGGCCGAAGAAAATGATCAGAAAATAAAAGAAGCTGAGGAGGTTGAAAAGGAAAAGAACGAAGCAAAAGAAGAAGTAAGGAAACAAGAACTAGAAGAGGCCGAAAAGAAGAAAATAAATGATAAGGAAGCAGAAACGAAAAAGAAAAAGACTGAACAAGAGATGATTAAAACAGAGGCCGAAGAGAAAGAATTAAAAATTCAAGAAGCTGCGGAAAATGAAACTCGACAAAGGGAAACTGAAGAGGCCGAAAAGAAAAAGACGGAAACAATAAAAGAAGAAGAAAGAAAACTAGAATTAGATGATGCAGAGAAGAAAAAGAATGAGGCCAAGGAAGCAGAAATGAAGAACAAAAAGACCGAGGAAGATAATATTAAAAAAGAGGCTGAAGAAAAGGAACTGAAACTGAAAGAGACGGAGGAAGCAGAGGAAGAAAAAAGAAAACAAGAGAAGGAAGCAGAAGAAGATAAAATCATACGGGAATTAGAAGAAGCCGAAATGAAAAAGAGAGAGGCTTTAGAAGCAGAAATGAAAAAGAAGGAAGAGGAAGAAGAGAAGAACAATAAACGAGATTTAGAAGAAGCTGAGATTAAAAAGAAAGAGGCTATAGAAGCCGAAAAGAAAGAGAAAGAGACTTTAGAAGAAGAAAAGAAAAAGAAGGAAGCAGGAGAGGAAGAAAAGAAAAAACAAGAATTAGAAGCAGCTAAGAAAACGAAAGAGGCCAAAAAAGTAGAAAAGAAAAAGAAAGAAGCGGAAGAAAAGGAAAAGAAAAAACAGGAATTAGAAGAAGCCGAGAAGAAAGAGAATTTAGAAGCAGAAAAGAGAAAGAAGGAAGCAGAAGAAGAAGAAAAGAAAAAACGAGAATTAGAAGAGGCTGAGATTAAAAAGAAAAAGAAAGAAGCGGAAGAAAAGGAAAAGAAAAAACAGAAATTAGAAGAAGCCGAGAAGAAAGAGGAAGAAGCTTTGGAAAAAGAAAGGAAAGAGAAGGAAGCAGAAGTTGAGGAGAAGAGAAAACAAGAATTAGAAGAAGCCGAAAAGAAAAAGAAAGAGGCTTTAGAAGAAGAAAAGAAAAAGAAGAAAGCAGAAGAGGAGGAAAAGAAAAAACAAGAATTAGAAACGGCTAAGAAGAAGAAAGAGGCCAAGGAAGCAAAGAAAAAAGCGGAAGAAGAGGAGAAGAAAAAACACGAATTAGAAGAAGCCGAGAAGAAAAAGAAAGAGGCTCTAGAAGCAGAAAAGAAAAAGAAGGACGTTGAAGAAGAGGAGAAGAAAAAACGAGAATTAGAAGAGGCTGACATTAAAGAGAAAGAGGCTATAGAAGCCGAGATTAAAAAGAAAGAGGCTGTAAAAGCCGAAAAGAAAAAGAAGGAGGCTGTAGAAGAAGAAATGAAAAAGAAGGAAGCAGAAGAGGAGGAAAAGAAAAAACAAGAATTAGAAACAGCTGAAAAGAAGAAAGAGGCCAAAGAAGCAGAAAAGAAAAAGAAAGAAGCGGAAGAAGAAGAGAAGAAAAAACGAGAATTAGAAGCTGAAATGAAAAAGAAAGAGTCTATAGAAGCGGAGATTAAAAAGGAAGAAGCTATAGAAGCCGAAAAGAAAATGAAAGATATTTTAGAAGAAGAAAGGAAAAAGAAGGAAGCAGAAGTTGAGGAGAAGAGAAAACAAGAATTAGAAGAGGCTGAGAAGAAAAAGAAAGAGGCTTTAGAAGCAGAAATGAAGAAGAAGGAAGCGGAAGAAGAGGAGAAGAGAAAACAAGAATTAGTAGAGGCTGAGAAGAAAAATAAAGAGGCTTTAGAAGCAGAAAAGAAGAAGAAGAAGGAAGCGGAAGAAGAGGAGAAGAAAAAGAAAGAAGCAATTGAAGAAGAAATAAAAAAGAAGGAAGCAGAAGAAGAGGAGAAGAGAAAACAAGAATTAAAAGAAGCTGAGATTAAAAAGAAAGAGACTATAGAAGCCGAGAAGAAAAAGAAAGATGCTTTAGAAGAAGAAAGGAAAAAGAGGGAAGCAGAAGTTGAAGAGAAAAGAAAAGAATTACAAGAAGCTGAGAAGAAAAAGAAAGAGGCTTTAGAAGCAGAAAAGAAAAAGAAGGAAGCGGAAGAAGAGGAGAAGAGAAAACAAGAATTAGAAGAAGCTGAGAAGAAAAAGAAAGAAGCTTTAGAAGCAGAAAAGAAAAAGAAGGAGGCCAAAGAAGCAGAAAAGAAAAAGAAGGAGGCCAAAGAAGCAGAAAAGAAAAAGAAGGAAGGTGAAGAAGAGGAGAAGAAAAAACGAGAATTAAAAGAAGCTGAGATGAAGAAGAAAGAGGCTATAGAAGCAGAGAAGAAAAAGAAAGAGGCTTTAGAAGAAGAAAAGAAAAAGAAGGAAGCAGAAGAGGAGGAAAAGAGAAAACAAGAATTAGAAAAAGCTGAGACGAAAAAGAAAGAGGCTTTAGAAGCCGAAAAGAAAAAGAAGGAGGTCAAAGAAGCAGAAAAGAAAAAGAAGGAAGCGGAAGAAGATGAGAAGAAAAAACGAGAATTAAAAGAAGCTGAGATGAAGAAAAAAGATGCTATAGAAGCAGAGAAGAGAAAGAAAGAGGCTTTAGAAGAAGAAAAGAAAAAGAAAGAAGCTTTAGAAGAAGAAAAGAAAAATAAGGAAGTGGAAGAAGCTGAGAAGAAAAAACAAGAATTAGAAGAAGCTAAGAAGAAAAAGAAGGAGGCCAAAGAAGCAGAAAAGAAAAAGAAAGAAGCAGAAGAGCAGGAAAAGAAGAAGAAGGAAGCGGAAGAAGAGGAGAAGAAAAAACAAGAATTAAAAGAAGCTGAGATGAGGAAGAAAGAGGCTATAGAAGCAGAGAAGAAAAAGAAAGAGGCTTTAGAAGAAGAAAAGAAAAAGAAGGAAGCAGAAGAGGAGGAAAAGAGAAAACAAGAATTAGAAAAAGCTGAGACGAAAAAGAAAGAGGCTTTAGAAGCAGAAAAGAAAAAGAAGGAGGTCGAAGAAGCAGAAAAGAAAAAGAAGGAAGCGGAAGAAGATGAGAAGAAAAAACGAGAATTAAAAGAAGCTGAGATGAAGAAGAAAGATGCTATAGAAGCAGAGAAGAGAAAGAAAGAGGCTTTAGAAGAAGAAAAGAAAAAGAAGGAAGCAGAAGAAGAGGAGAAGAGAAAACAAGAATTAGAAGAAGCTGAGAAGAAAAAGAAAGAGGCTTTAGAAGCAGAAAAGAAAAAGAAGGAGGCCAAAGAAGCAGAAAAGAAAAAGAAGGAAGGGGAAGAAGAGGAGAAGAAAAACCGAGAATTAAAAGAAGCTGAGATGAAGAAGAAAGAGGCTATAGAAACAGAAAAGAAAAAGAAAGAAGCGGAAGAAGAGAAGAAAAAACGGGAATTGGAAGAAGATGAAGCCGAGAAGAAAAAGAAAGAAACAGAAAAGAAAAATAAGGAAGCGGAAAAAGAGAAAAAGAAAAATCAAGAATCAGAAGAAGCCAAGAAGAAGACGAAAGTGGCCAATGAAGCAGAAAAGACAAAGATTGTGGGCGATAAAATTATAAGAGAAACCGAAGAAAAAGAAAAGAAAACGAAAGAGGCAGAAAATGAACTAAGCGAAATTGCAGAAAAATCATCCGTATCTAAAAAGAAAAAAGTTGACGGTAAAGACAAAATTAAAAAAGATGGCATGGAAATTGAAGACAAAAAACGAAATGCCATTGAGGAGGAAGATATAACGGGAACAACTGATTCTGCAGTTGAAAAAAGAAAGGAAACTGTTAAAAAAATTAAAACGAAGAAAAAGGAAACTGATGAAATAAGTAAAAACAAGAATGATATGGAAACAACAGAAACGGGTCTCATAATCGCACCAGACAAACCAATTAAGAGAATCGAAAAAGATGAAGATGAAGATAATTTCGAAATTGACACAAAAAAGAAACGCACTCAAGACGATATAATTCAATCAAAATTAGAAAAGAAACATGCAACAAAAGAACATCGTAAACTAAAAGAATACACAGACATAAAAGAAACTAAAATAAAGCAACACGAAGATTTATCAATTTCGTCAAGACCAGTTCACGAAGAAACCGATTATCAAACAATTAAAAAACCACCTTATGAAGTGAAATCCAAAATCACAGACACTACTCGAGCAGTAACCGACAATCTAGACAGCTACAAACCAACCCATTACCAAGGCGCCACCTACATTGGCAGAAAACCATTCTTCACAACCGGTTTGAGAAACACCTCAACAACCATCGGCCAAACCACCCAGTTATCCTGCAATTTAGTACCAGACGAAAACACGCGCGTAATCTGGCTCAAAAACGACCAACCCCTAGAAGACAGCCCCAAACGAAGAACCACCTTCACCAACAACACAGCAACCCTGGAATTAACCGACGTTACCACAACAGACAGCGGAGAGTACTCTTGCATAGCCAAAAATAACCACGGCGAGTCGGTGAGCTTCGCCTACTTGGAAATCACAGACGAACCAGAACCATCTCCCCAACCACCGCCAGCATTCACCAGGACCATTACAGACCACTACAAGGTATCCAGCGACGAAATGAACCTGGAATGCAGGATCAGGAGCGCCCGCAGGCCCGACGTGCGTTGGTACAAAGACGGTCGCGAGCTGTCCCCCTCTTCGAGGTACTCGCAGAGCTACCTCTCCGACGGCGTTTGCCGACTAACCATCGCGAAGCCGGAGCGATCGGACAGCGGCCGCTACTCCTGCCGATTGGACGACGGCCTGTGGAGCGACCAGCTCTCCTACGACTTCAAATTCGACGGCAAGCGGGAGTACATTCGCCGCAAGGCGTTCCGAGACAGCTCGGCCAGAACGACGCGCCCGTACTTCCCGGCCATCATGACCGACAGCTACGTCCCGACGGGCGGCACCATGGCCTTGCAAGTGGAGGTCAAAGGCAGCCCCTTGAACGTGTTTTGGTACAGGGAGAGCCTGAGACTGGCCGGCTCGTCGACGAGGCACACCATCTTCAGCGAGAGGAACGTGCACACGTTGCTCATTCCGAACGTGAACGAGTACGAGGCCGGGAAGTACGTCTGCAGGGCCGTTTATCACCAGGGTAGCACGGAAACGTCTGCGTACGTTCAGGTGGTGCCGGCGTGCACGCCGCACGGGAAGCCCGCCATGTTCTTGTCCAGGCCGGATAAAATTCTCAGTTTGCGCGAAGGCGACGACATCGTCGTCTCGTTTCGAGTTACCGGCGATCCTAAGCCTACAGGTAATTGAAAAAATTACGGAGAGAGGAAGAGTTCTTGGTTTGAGGTACTATAGTTGAGGGATATTCTTCTTATGCTTCTTTAATTAGGAGATTAATTAATTAGTAGTCGTTTTATTTCTGCTAGGGCGCTTTAGCTGATCGACCTGTTGAAGAATCTTATAGTAGGTCGACCTCGGGGTGTTATACTGCTCTGTAGACACTGGTTTAACCCAATGAGGATTTAATTTGGCTATTCTTCTTCTGCTTCTTTAATTAGGAGTTGTCCTGTTATTTGTGCTAGGGCCTTCAGATGATCAAGCTTTCGAAGCATCTCTTAGAAAATCGTCCTGAGTGTGTTGTACTATTCTATAGATTCTGGTATTTAACCCATTTTGCAATTCGGTTTTATTAAATCCACTGAAAGTCCATAAAGCAAAAAAAATTTTGAGTAAGTAAAGTCAATTTTCTCTTCTACCAAACTACCTATGGCTCCAAAATATTCTGTCTATTCTTTTAGATGTTTCTTTGCAGGTTCTCCAAAATCCTCTTCTAATCATACTTATTTCAAAGTTTTCTTTATCTTGAAACATTTTTTCACATTTTTTCTTTATATTCATATATTCTTCATCTACGTACTTTTCTTCACCTTCATAAATCACCTTCTTAATCCTCATACTTTTCTTGAGTTTCATACTTATCTTCATCTGGTCCTTAAATGCATTTTATCTACCAGCTGGTTTCGCTCAAAATCTAGTATTATTTACTCCTTTTTTAATCTTATTCTTCAATGACTAGTTAAATAATTACCTGATAATATTATAATTATAATTTCTTCTTCAGTCATTAGTTCTTTTACTTTTTGCATACTTTTCATCTACTTAACGCGGTCTTTCCTAATTTCAAGCTCTGCTCCTGTACTAGCTCTCGCCATAAATAAAACGGAGTGAAAATACATTTCGTTATGAATAATTAATTTGTTGAATAAAAGTATCATCAAGCCAAGAACAGCGCCTTCGAGTATTACTAACATAGAACTAGAGTTTACACCGTTGGTTTTTCAGTTACGTGGATGAAGGGGCTTAGAGATATCACGACTGCGATGAGATCGTATAAAGAGAAATCCGACGATTACATGCGATTGACGTTAAAACGAATAACGGCAGACGATGCGGGAACTTACTGTATTTTGGCCAAAAATCGTTACGGTTGCGATAGGGCCTTTTTCACCGTTCGCTTAAGAGATAGAGCAAGATCCTTAACACCTGTCCGAAACCAGTACGGTGTCGATGCGCATTCTTATCACGAAATGTACAGAGAAACCGGTAAGTCGGACTCGTATGTGGTTTTTTGTGATGGTCCAAGACGAAATGTGAATGAACAAAAAAAATACTATTAAAGATATCCACTAACAATGAATTAGCGAACGTGCCATGTTAATGCATGTTTGAAAAAAATAACGTGTTCAAGTGTTTTGATTTAACTACACGTTTCTTTCCTTCTCGCTGTTGTTGATGTTATACTTTATTTAACATTTTCTGAATGGAATCTTCTTTAAAATCTACTTTTTAAATTTTCTTCCTAGATTTTGAAATGTTTGGTTGTATAAGTTATATTTTATTTAATATTTTCCGAGGTGAATTCTTGAAAAATCTTATTTAAGTGTTATGAAAAAGAAGATAAAAAGTGTGCATTAACTTTTCTTTCTTTCACTTGGGTTAATTAAATTTACCTAATCTTAATCTCTATTTACTACAGTGAGTTGTTTCATGAATTAATAATAAATTCAAGCGCTGAAACACCTTCAATCCGCTGACAAATCCGTCTTCAAAGACAAATATCCGCACCGAGCGTACGCAAATTTTTAGTTTTGCGTTGGTATGTGCCAAAATTCACCTACAATATAATTTTAGCCAGTGCATTCTGACACCAACGTGTCGCTGCAGGCGCGATATTTCGATAGAAAAATTCTAAATTTAGTTATAATGAAAATCAAACGCTTTTCGGGCGATTTATTATTAACATGTTTGAGGGACAAGTGGCGCTCCAGAAACTGTGCCATTTCGGAGTTTCTCGAATACCTAACCGAACACCAAGGTAATACCAAACAATTCATTTATCTGCAATCAGTTATAAAGTTATAAATAAAAGTTTATTTTGGTACAAAACACCTTAAACTCTTAAATAAAATACCTCAATTCACATTAACGATCAAAGCGATTCTAAATTTTCATAATTTTATAGATGTACCGCAACCGATCTCCAGCCCGCCCGTTGTCATCGAAACCGGCAGAAACTGGCTGTGCCTCTCCTGGGGCAAGCCGGAGCAGACATCGGCCGCTCCGGTGCTCGCTTATCGCGTCGAAATGTGGACCAGAGGCGCCGAGGGGGCCCGTTGGACCGAAATCGGCGTGACGCCCTTGAGCAGCTTCGACGTTTTCAATTTGAAGCCCGACACCGAGTACCAGTTCAGGGTGACGCCGAGGAACCGGTACGGATGGGGCGAGAGCGTGCAAGGCGACGTCACGACCCTCGGCAAGCCCACCAGTTTGCCGGAATTCGTCAAAATACTGCCCGGCCAGTGCAAGGTTTTATTGGGATCTGATGTCACCTTAGAGTGTGAGGTAATCCTCTTTCCACATCTCAGAAGATCCACCATCTCACATCAGCTTCTGAAGCTAATTTATGTACGGTCGATTTTAGGTGCAAGGGGAACCAATACCTTCTGTACGCTGGATCAAAGATTCGCAGGAAATATTCCCAGGATACGATAGTCGTTACGATATATCCCAACGAGGAAGCATATGCTTGCTGAAGATAGCCAATGTCCAAAGTTCCGATTCCGGACGTTTCGTATGTGATGCCTCGAACAAAGCCGGACGAGTGTCAACTTTTGCCAGGCTCTCGGTGGTTAGCGATCCCAAGCTCTTGTCTGCAGAGAGCAGGCTTCGAATGTAAGTTTGTCCTTAGTACAGGTTGGTAGAATTTAACTCATTGATTGTTCTTAGGGGTGTGACCGATTACAACAACATTGACCAGCTGCCACCCCAATTTTCCATGAGACTCAGAGACAGGCGAGTTGAAATAGCGTATCCAGTCCGATTAACTTGCCAGATTGTTGGGCTTCCGGCACCTCAAGTCAGCTGGTACAAAGACGGAATCCAGATTACTGCCGACGGTAAGTCGTCCACTTCTAGCGGCAACAAAATTATAGTTTTATTGATTTTAAGATCGTCATACATTCTTTACTGACGATAACTTCCACACTTTGGAGATAACCAAGAGCCATCTGGACGATTCCGGCGCTTACAGTATAACTGCTGAAAACCCGCACGGTTCAGTATCGTGCAGGTGCAATTTAGTCGTGGATAAAGGAATTAAAGACTACATATCGCCGGTTTTCCTCAACTATTTAAATCCATCAGAAGCGACAATTAAAGAAGGCTCCGAATTGCGATTGAAAGGAAGAATCGAAGGTTATCCCGGCGTGGGGCTGGCTTGGTTTAAAGATGGAGTAAGATTTTAGCAAATGCATTTAAACTAAATTGTTTACATAATTTCTTGTTACAGGTTAAATTGAGACCATCGCGACGTTTCGTCATGACTCTATCGTACGATGGCAACTTAGAGCTATCTATTGGAAACGTTGTTAAAAAAGATTCTGGGCTCTATACCTGCGTTGTAAACAACGAAGTGGGTAGAGCTCAAAGCACAGCTAGAGTTGAAGTTGTTAACAAATCCGCCACTGTTGATGGAAGAAATGGCGCTGCTAGCAGTGACGCTTTGTAAGTATGAACAATAAATTAATAGAAAAATTTTAATTTTTAATTTATCTAAGGTACTCCAAAGAACCGAAATTTTTGAAGAAACCGCTATCGTCGGAAGCCTTTGAAGGCGATAATGTTGTCATTTTGTGCGAAGTGGTCGGAGATCCAAAACCAGAAGTTTTATGGTTACGAGATTTCCTGAAGGTATGTTGGTTATTCCCTTTTTGATAACTAGGCGTTCGAAATTTTAAAAAATAGGCAATTATTTAGGGTTCTCGTATGAATTCGGTCGTAAATAATGAGCGATGAATCGAGCATTAATAATCATTATTGTTCCATCAAGGATACGAACTCGTAAACTACCTACCAACAACTTAAAGCTGGCTAATAAATTTTGCGCAAGTGGATTGTCGCTGCACGCCAATTTTCGATGTTTATAGTTTTAATTTACGATCAATTTGCTTCTGTTATTTAGCTTTCTTGATAATACTTGACTACTTATATTAATAATAAAATAATAAGAACAGGCTTTATCCGTATAAGGACTCATAATTGGCTTATGTACAAAGTGAAATTCATTCGCTGTTTGGTGACATAAAAATGTGAAAGTTGAAAAGATTATTTTGGAAACATCACCTACGACCTTTGCGAATTACTGCGCCCGAAAATAAAGGATACTTTATTCTTTTTATTCGCAAGAAATCCTTTTTTTAATTACATAGCAGAATGCTTTATTTAATTTATGCAATGAATCCACAATCGAAAAAAAGAAACTTCGTAAAATGTTATGTATAAATATATTGTAAACTATTGTGTTAATTTTAAATAACAAAACAAAATTTACAATTGAAAATATTGAATACTAAATCTCAAACAATTGGGTTGTGAACTTTTGCCCATCACTGTATGCGGTTTCTTCTGAAGAATGTTTCGACATATATCTTAGATGAGGGTATGACATTGCCGTAAGTACGATTCAGTATCGATTAAACATCGATTGCGGTTACTTCTTTTTCTTTTTCGCCGGTCATTTTAAACTGACAATCCGGTCTATCGAGTGATAGTTTCGTTTATTCGAAAATACTCCATATACTTTAGGTAAGATCACAACAATTTTGCAAGATAATTACATACAAGAAGAGGAATCTTATATTCGCAAATTATTTATATTTATTATTAGAAAATTATTGTGTTTTAATTAATTTATTATCATCGATCATGTATGGTATTAAGCGTAAGTTTGGTATTTTCATAACCTACTGAAAAATCAAACAGATGTTACCACTTGACCTTTTTGCATCGCTGTTTTTCTTGCTGCATTATGATGACTGCTGGTGGTATTTCACTCTTGAACGAAATATTAAATGATCGATCGTGTACGCGTTTCGCGTCCGTTTTTTCGCGAGGGATTTGTTTGATAAATGAGAACGCCGAGTATCTAGATAATTGAATACGCCGTACCTGTTGGCTGATCGATTCTTTTGAATGCGTTTCGCGAGATTGAATTATTTTTTATTTGCCATTTGCCGCGCCGCACCGACAAAAGGACTTCGCCAGTAACCTTTTCGTCCTTGTCACTAATCGATATTTTTTTCATTTATAATAAAATTGTGGAAGTTTTGTATTTTTTAATCGGTTTATAATCCGAAGACGATTTTCTTTGTAACGTAATAAAAGGACTTTATAAAAAGTTGCGTTGTTAAATCACAATAGGTCGAGCCGTTTTTGGACAGTGATTATCGAGCAACTTAATGAAAAGTTAAAACCAGGTACATCTTGTCTAATAATCACAATCTCGCAGTCATAATTCATTCAAAAGTAGCAGAAATATCGCGCAATAACCCGCATCGAGCACGAGAGTGCTGAAGCATCTCACGCCCGAGCAGGATTTCTGCAAAATGCTCCATCTCCATCGACAGTAAAGAAAATGAGTTATCACGTCGCGCCAATGCGTCGCGACCTTCCAAGAATTATCTTACATTACATCTAGCGGGTGAATTTATTGTGAACAACTCTGTTGAATTGACTCGAATTGAGTGATTGCATACGTGCAGCGTGTCGTACTACATTCGATTTAAGTACAATCCGATACAGAACAGATTACATCGGGTCTTTCTTAAAACATTGCTATACTGACAATCGTACCCTACTAATAGCCTCCTATAAATTTCTTATTACCTAATAGTCGGTCATTAGCGTGCTAAATTGCTTCTATTACCTCTACTTTTCAATCCACTTCGGATTTTTAACAGCAGAGTCCGTACTAAATACCAAAATTTTAATACTAATTACACCTATTAAGTATTCTATAGCAATATGTAAATGTAATAATTTTATCTGCATATTTTAGATGATTAACTACATCATTTATTCTGCAATTGTTCATTAAATGATATTAAACTAACTTCTCCCCTAAAACTTAATCACGAGTAACTTCCTATTTTTTTATGAGTAAATAAATTTGTGATTTTCGAAGCACCTACGCTAATGATTTTAGGTGATCGGCGATTGCTTATAGTGCGCAATACTTTCAACATAAACCGACTGGCGCCTGTATCGAGTAATGATGGTGTGTGGCTGGTAAAAAGAAATGAAAAAGGATTTCTAAACGTTCTAGAAATTCGCGTTTAATTCGGCCTGGTCGTAATCTTTTTACTCTAATTAAGGACATACTGCTGAATAATCAGCGGAATGAAATCCGGTATTTGTTCGAATTGTTTCATTATGTTTCAACGATTTTTGGATACCCAGAGACTTTATTCTTAATTGTTTAAAACTAGTCCACAATTACCGTAAAGCCTACGTTTTATTTTATTGTAATTATTGCAGTATAAAATTAATTAATTTATTGATTATGCTACTTCCTTTTTCACATCTGCTCTTACTTTTTCCTATAATATTTACTTCCTTTATCTTCTTTTTTTATTTAATTGTTTCAGGCTGATTACTACAGAGATGCGGCACATTTTCATCGAATTGAAGATGGGCCCCAATACCGGTTAGAAATACCTAATGCTAAGTTGGATTATACCGGAACTTACACAATTTTAGCCAAAAATTGTCATGGTGAAGCTAAAGCTATCATATCGTTGCAAATAAAAGTTAAAGGTATAATTATCGTTAAATTGTTGAGCGTTTAAGCTGTACCTTTTTTATTTTTAGTCCCCAAGCCAGTGAAAGAAGAAATGGGCAAGAAGAAAGTAACGTAAGTGTTATTAAGGATTATTTTCGTTTCATTACCATCACAAGATGCATAATGTTGGCTATTAGGAAACTGAATAAAGTATAGTTTTAATTTTCTTGGGCAGGATTAAGTCGTAAATCATTTTAGTTTCCAGACATTTCAACAACAAGTGGTGTTCATAATTTAAATTTATAATGGAAGCCCATAACAATTTTATTTTTAGTACCGTTTTCGTTTATTGACGAAAATTCGAATAGTTGTTTTCGAAGTGCTCCGTGCTTCATTTCATATAATAAACTTTAAATGTTAATGACCAATAAATTATAACAAGCATTTATTTTATTAGTTGAATCGATAGAATGAAATTTTTAACCAGTTTTAATTGCTTTCATTCCACACAGCTCGTACGGTTATTGTTATAATTTTAATTTTAATATTAGCGTATAATTCATGTCGATTATTTTTATTTTAGAGACGTTAAGACGGTTCCTGAAATTACGAAGGAATTGAGCAGCATTCGGTGCTGCGACGGCGACTCAGCCACCCTCGAATGCAAAGTATTCGCAACTCCCGCCCCAGACATACGCTGGGAGAAAAATGGCAAGGTGAGATTGATTCAAAAAAGTATAGAAATAATACTACGTTGCTAACTAATAAGTCACGAGAAATCTTGATAAAAAAGCGGTATTATTTGAGCATTCTATACGGGTACTGGTAGGTACTTATTAGTTTGTGATTTGCAGTTGATCCACTTAGGAGATGATTTCAATGCCGAGTTCGACGGCGAAACGGTCAAATTGTCCATAAATCAAGTGTACCCCGAGGACGAAGGAGAATACACTTGCGTGGCGTACAACGAACTAGGAAAGGCGACCACGTCCGCTTGTCTTATCGTCGACCGTAAGTGTTTACATTAGCATATTAAACACCTAAATTCGCAACTAACGATACACCGCATTTATTTACTTACACCTATCGCATGTCGCGCAGTGCCCGAAGAAAAGGAGAACCTCCTCACGCAGCAGCTGAAGCGTCCCGCCGGCTTCGTCGACGGCGCCTCCTCGAATCGCCCGTCCTCGACGCGGTCCCTGTCGCCCGTGCGCTCGTACCGAGACCGAGGCGCGGCCGAGGGCAGGGCCCGCCCGACGGCGCCCAAGTTCTACGCGTACCCGCACAACAGGGTGGCCGAGCAGGGCGAGACGGTGCGCTTCCAGTGCGCCGTCGCCGGCCACCCCGACCCCTGGGTCACCTGGGAGAAGGACGGCGTCGCGGTGACGCCGTCGGCCCGGCTGCGCGTCACCGAGAGGGAGGACCTCAGGACGCTGGAGATATCGGATGTCATTCCGAGCGATTCGGGGCTGTACAAGATTGTTTTGGAGAACGACGTGGGAAGGGTGGAGACGTCGGCGAAATTGGACGTCATCGGCCACAGGATCGTCTCGATGAGGGGATTGAGGGCGAGGAGTTTGTCGCCCAAGCCGGCCCCTCGTTATCCGAAGAGCTATTCGGGGGATTTTGCTAAGCCGGGTTTTTATTCGAATCTTACGTCGTACGGTTCCTACGGGAGGTTTTATTGTCGCACCGCCGACGATGAGGTGATGAAGTCGAAGCCGGAAATTCTGAAATGCCTCCCTAAGAACGTTGGTGTCGCCGAAGGAAGGGCTTTGAGTTTGGAAGTGGAAGTAATCGGTAATCCTCCTTTTGATGTCGTTTGGATGAAAGACGGCTGCATTTTGCCGCATTGCGAGGATTTTCAACAAACCGTTACTAATACTGGTTTAATAACCCTTTACCTACCCGACGTGTATCCGCAGGATTCGGGCAATTACAGATGCGAGATTTACAATTTGTACGGCGATTCGTTTTCGACTTGTTGCGTTAGTGTTAATGGTAAGTTATAGCTACATTTCAAACGTTCATAGAACAATAATTAATATTCTTTAAAGATGCATCGAAAGCACCAGCTCAAATTAAAGTCCTAGAACGACCGGCTTCAATTTCTGTGGCTGAAGGAGATGATGCTACTTTTTTAGTGAAATATCGTAGCTCAGAAAAGGTTAAAGTTCAATGGAAAATAGCAGGTAAAATTGCTATTCCGGGATCAAAATTTAAGGTAAGTTTAATTATTCTTTTTTCTAAATATTTTGACGTTTTCAAACAAATTTCTCTATGTTCAATACACTTGTAATAATTATATCTAATTATCCGCTATAATATGGAATTAATCAGTTCCTTTTAATTGCATTATTTGTATGCCATTAACTTCTCATTCATATATTACTAAAGAGTAAACAAACGTCACCGATATGATTCTGAATTTGGTAAAAAATCGTAAGGAAACTAAAGGTTATACGAATACCTAAGAGAATATTTTACATACATTGAATGACACTGTGCTACAATGAAATAAAAGGAATATCGATTAAAATCTAATAAAACGGTTTTATTAGACATTTACATAAGGAAGTGCTTCATGCCGTATATTTGTATTAAACTTAACAGTTACTCCTTTTTCACGTGTGTTTTATTTACATTTATTTTTACATTTTGATTTATTGTTTTTCACGAAAGGTCTAATTCATTAATTAATTGGGCGCCGTTTTAATGATCGAACGTCTGCTACAGTTAATTGACGTACGAAAAAATCTACCAAGTCATAAAAACGCCAAATAAAATACCCGAATATTACAACAGTTCCTATTTAGATTCCCGCCGATTTATACACACAAATTGTTTATAATTTAGTATAAACAATACACGAACAGTGCATAAACATTACGCTATTACTATATATGTAACAGCCTTGTTTCACTTTTATGGCTGATGTTCGCCTAAATGAGCAAGAGATCCTTATAAAAATAAAAACTTTTCATTTATGCTGCTAGTGGTTTCAAGAGTTTTATCTGTAATGACGCTTTTCAGTTGCAACAGGGTCGAATAATTATTATATTATTCTAAAACCAGACTTTGAAACTAAAAGTCGTTAATTTAATGAAAATGTTTACGATATTATTAGTAAAAACCGCAGAGTTCACTTTACTAGCCAACTTGTCGAAATTCAATTTGTTGCAACAAGTTTTTTTGATAAAAATTACGTATATCGTAAATAATTATACAAATAATTGGGCTATAAACATCCAAGTGTTGTTTATGCAACACTTCTTAACAAAATATTTTTGGATAATTCCGTGATAATTAATCAATTAACTTGTGCACTTTGTTTTTGTTACTTTTGTGAATGCAAATTTCTGATCAAAACAATTTCTTGTAATTGGAATCTGAAATGTTCATTTTGCATAACGTGTTTCGTTATCCTGTTAGATATTTATTTTACTAAGGACTGAAATATGAATCGGCTGGTAAGGATAAAATAATTTTCTCTGTGCCATCTTTCATCTAATCTTTTCTTTGGAAATTTAGATTCATTCGCAAATCAGTCCAATTAATTTCAATTCTATTCCAATACGTTTTCGGCATTTAAGTGATTTTTTGAATAGTTTTTACATGTTAAATGAAAAGCATATTCCAAAAATTTAAAACGGGATGAATTTTGCTTCGGAGACGACTGTATTTTTCGCAAATACATCAAAATTCGCCATTTCTTATATAAAATAATTCGAATTTTTCCTATTATTATCTAACGAGTTATCAAAACTGAAACATCCTTATGAATTCGAAAATTTTATCAAATACTTAATGATAATTTCATTATGTGTCAATCGAATACTGACTAACCGACGAAAAAAATAACTAGAAAAATCGATAAAACCATTAAAGCAAAAAAAGTGCAAATCACGTACAGATAATCTATTTGATTCGAATTAAATACATACAGCCATTTCGTGCACGGAGAAAATATTAAAACGATTACGCGCGGACAATATTTTACAAACAGGTGTTCGTTTTTCGGCCGTTTAAACAATTAGACAGCGGCAGATGGTCGAGCCGTCGTCATTTTCGGACTGTCCCCCGTAGAAAAAAAATGACCACGAATTCCCCAACAAAAATGTAGCGGATCCGCGACGGCGACGGTGCCCTTAAAATTAACTTCTTTTTCTCCATTTCCAGGTAGAGGAAGAAGATGACGTTAACATTCTTCGCATTGTGGGGGTGACGAGGAGGGACGCCGGTCCCGTAGAGTGCTCGCTGCTGCCGCTGCACTCAGTCAACGGCGGTCCGACGGCTACGTCGACGGATTTGAACGCGAATCTCGCGATTGTCGACGGTACTGGCAGCAGTAGTGACAGTGGAGCCTCCATGGAGGAGGTAGTGCGAGCCGAAGAGGTTGCAGCGAAGCTCCTTAGGGGACCCCAGGACACTACGGCCCTTGTCGGCGACAGAGTGCTGCTCAAGGTTACTTACGTCGGACAGCCTGAACCTAAAGTCACCTGGAGCAAAGCGGTAAGATAAATTCATCGCTATCACTATCCAGATATCGTAAACACTAAAGATCAAACAAGCAAACTTTGATAAAAACCTACGTTTTGATTAAACGATAGCAGAGATAAGGCATCTCATAACAAAGATGAAATTGGTTGAGTGATTATAGATAAATGATCTCGAATGGGAAAAGTCAAGTAAATAAAATAATTTTCTTTCTATGGTGTTTCTAACAGAACCAGTTTTTATTTATTTCGTGGTGGTAAATTTGTTAATTATTTCTCTCGCATATAAGTTACACCATAAGTGCCTAGTTTATGTGCTTTTCCTTTCGATAATCCACAAGAATCTGTAATAAATTTCGAACATCTACTTACTTTGGGATTTTAAATATAATTGGATTACCTACGAAGGTGAAGGTTATGCTTCATTATGACACATTTAAAGTTTATTGGCCTAGGCCAATTTACTCACATTCATTCAGGATATGTTTGTGAGTACCTAATCCATTAATTATCTTTAGCAAGTATACTGCTCAACTAATTCATAAATTTATAATCTAATTAAAACCGTTCATTTAGGTTGCAGAAAATTTACGTTTCGACAGGTTTAACTACCGAATTCCTCAAAATCTTACCGCAAGTTCACTTACTTATGTAAATCATTTTTTTACAATGTTTTAAGGTGTTAACGAGATAATTTCATTGACGGCAGATCTAATAGAAGTTGATGGATTACAGCTTCTCTAATAGAGCTGGCGTATTCATTACCTTAATAAATATTTAGGACGTAGGTAGATGATCCTAAATTGAGAATTTGTTTGTGGGCGAACTCGTATCTTTACCTTTCCCAACATACCTCTGTCGAATGAGCACCGGTAACTTAAATTTAAGTCAAGTGCGGTGGTATACCGGATGTGAACTTGTTGTAACACCGGTATGGACCTTCCTTTTATTAGCACCTATTTCGAATTTTTATTATCTTAATGTATTTAGAGAGTAAAACCAGGAAATTATACTTTTTTGGAAATTTTTTATTGGTAATAAGTCGATAAATGTGAAGTAAAAAAGATGCTCAAAAGCCATCCGAAATGCATTCACACCTAATTTGTACGCTTTCTGTCCGAAAAAATAACGCGAAATAAGGAATTGGGCTTATTTATCAGCACCAAAGAGACAGGTTCGTGTATTTAAGCAACATATTAGGAAACGACAGTCGGTTCGTTATTTTCAACAGAGTTCGGTAGACTTTTTTTATTTACTTATGGATTTAAGGTTTGTCCTTCTTGTAGGGACTACTTCTGTATCCTTCAGCATTCCTTTAACCCTTAATAATATTACCTGTGAAGAATGGATACAGGAAGCTTAAAGTCTATTTCAAAATATTACCTGTTCGTTTAAAAAAATTCACACGAATATTATACATAGTAACCTACATTTATGTATGTACAGCTGACTAATATTTCTTCTTTATATCGATGGGACAATTTTTTACTATCGATAATTTAATCAATTAAGCGTATCTAAAAAAGGAATTCCACGAACGATTCTGAATTATACAAATTGATCAATATCAGCTCTATTAGATTCATTATGCATGCTTTGCACCCATTGAATTAGTGATTCAAACCATCAATCACGTTAATTTTTAAAGAAAATTAGTCAGTTTTCGATATACAAAAAATCATTAAATGTTATTAACACAAATAACATTCTAAATTGTCATACAAGAAAATGTTTTCGTAAGCTAGATAAGCTCTTATTTAGAATTGATAAATTAATTAAACCTCTACTTATCGCATTGTTACTGCGAAAGAAGCAAAACGTACGAGGTGCTTTGATTGAATTTTGCCGCCTCTGGGAGCTCTCCGGGAAGAGATTCTCTCATTCGGCTGTGAATGACGGGCAATACAAGAACGATGACTCGTTTATAATCGTTGCTAGATAAGGAGCAGCCAGTAAGTGAAGTCGATAGGTGAGTGACTTCGAGGAATTTTGTTTTGAATTTAAACGTGTTATTCGCTATTCTCAAAAATCCGGACCGTGATTAACGCGCCAGTTCCGGGTTGCAAAACGAAATTTCACATTTCACGCCGCTCAAAAGCGCACATGTGCATTTGCATGTACCGAAATAATCGATTGCGCGAAGGACTAAATTAATTGCTCTGCGGTGAACGCGGCCCGTTAATAAAAATGATAACGCAATTAAGAAACTCTAAATATGGATAAGGTGTTTAGTAGATGAAGAGATAAAATGTTATATATTTTCTGGTTTTAACAATTTATATTCAGGCTTGTAAAATATAGACTGATTTTATTCGGAAATGTCATAAAATATACGTTGTAAAAAATTGAAATGTTAGTGCAAGCATTGACTTGTCTTCAATTTCAAAATACAACAAAATATTACTAAACAACAACCTATTTATAACTTCTTTGACCTCATATTCAAAACGAGCAAATAATATACGTTTATCTCCTTTTTAGTAACACAATAGCAGGTATTGTTTATGCAAAAATGTCCACTCCCATTGCTCGGGCATACATTTACTTTATAAAACGAAGATAAAAAGGTCTTGATTATATAATATTTCGTATGATTCAGATCTTGAACTTTTACAGAAATCAAAAAAGTGCATTTTACCTACTCCATAACTGATTTTAAGATGAAACTTCAGAAGGGCATCAGGCATACTTAATCTTCTTTTTATTATTTTTTTCTTGCCTTATTTTTTTAATTATATAGCATTAAAACTAATATGGCTAAGTTTTTGTCCATTAATCTCTTCGATCCGCAATCAACTTTAAACGTCTAATTTAGTAACGTTTGATTACCCTATTTAAGTGCCTACCTAATTAATATGAATTTCATATTCTATACAATAAAAAAATATAATAAAGCCAGGGGATCATTAAATTTCTAGGGTTTCATTATCATCTAATAAATTGAACACACGCACGTTATCTGGATATCAACAACATCACAATACAGGTTTATTCATTTCTTTTTATTAAAAGCAATTTGGCTCCTCATTTCACGAATAATTTGGAACCGTTAGAAACCGAAATTTACAATGCGTAAACATCCATGTCCTTTTGTTGATGAGTCAAACATTATTGCTACACTAAATTTATAACAGTCATTTATAACCACAGCTAAATATAGTAGCTACATATAATGGTTAATTATTTATACACCCTCGTAATCATTAATCCGGTTTCTTTTTATTTTCTATGATTGACAATTAACAAAATCTACATATGTATGTATTATTTACTAATATTAATACCTCATATTAATGACTTAATTAGAACAGATAATGAGCTCTTGATATGTGGTCAGATAAACATATTATTAAGTTAAGAAAAATTTTAGACTACACCTATGGTAAGGAAACTAGTATATTAAAATACAATTAAGTATCCTAAAAGATTGAAAAACATTTAAAATATTTGTTTTACAGACTATTGACGTATTCGAATCGGTAAATTCGTTTTAAACTAACAATATTATTTTTCGTAAACCGTGAAATTGTAAATGGTTTGTTTTCAGTATGGATAGCGGTATTATCGAGGTAAATTTGCGTTAACAATTTTTTCTAATTTATTTCAAATAAACAATTCACTACTTCCATATTAATCGATTGGATTACAGTACTGTAGTACCTAATAAGAAAATTTCTTTAATAAATAGGTACTAATTTTTGTTTACGAAAGCAAACCACCCAATAATAGTGAAAAAATCGATCGTCATCAAATCCTGAAGCAAATCTATTGCATATTAATTATTTAATTGACGTAAAATAACGTTTGTTTACATTTTTCAGGGTCGAGAATTGAAAAATGACGAACGTACCAGTATAACATCCGGCGACGGAGTATCCTGTCTATTACTGCAAAACATAACGACAGATGATAGCGGAAAATACGACGTCGTCGTAGATAATTCCCTTGGTGAAGACGTCAGTTACGCTTCTTTAGCAGTTGAAGGTATGTAGTCTATTTGAGGAATTTTCTTCCGAAGATATGCAAAAGATAATTGCCCAAGAGAGCTGTACTATCATCTTTAACTTAGTTCAATTACTGATGACCATATACTATCTAATTGCAAAATTATAGGTTCTCAACAATCAGCTGCAGCTGTATTAATGTATTAAACATAGAATTTTGATTTTTTTAACTTTAATAGTATAATAAAAGATGCAACGATCGAATTCGTAAGCGTACAAATTAAGAGACTTGCCGAATTAGAGCAAACTCATTGAACCAAGGACAATATGAATATTAAATAACTTCAATTTTATTAAGAAAGTCAATGCATTACAAAAAGATAACAGTCCACATACATATTAATTAATGGAAATAGTTGTAAATGGCTCACAATGAGAACGATTCGTCCGCTTATAGCCGATGGTCATGCAATGTGATAATGAAAAACCAGTCATTGTATCTCGTTGTACAGGTATATATTCTATATGATTTAGTTTTGTTAACAACCGAATCGGAACGAAAAGAACCTCCATTGAGTTATTTCTAAAGCGCTACTTCAAGGTTGTCTTTACCTCAACGGGAAATGTTTATTTAATAAGCCTATTTAAAAATAAAAATGATATGGAGCAGGTTATTTCGTATCACATTGTTAACCACTTATTTGGTTAATTAATTATTCTTACCTTATTACTCACAAAGTGTATTCATAAATATTAATAATTTACTCTATAAATGCTAACAAATTTCAGGTCCTCCTGACCCACCGAGTGGAACACCATGCATCACGACATCTCCAGACAGTGTAACGGTAGCGTGGAGCAGCTCCCCTTACGACGGTGGGAAAATAATCAACGGCTACGCCGTGGAGTACACCCTCGTGGGCAGCGACATTTGGACCACCGCCGTGGAGGAATGCCACTCGCTCAGCTACGTGGTGAGGGGCTTGCAGCAGGGTGCTCGCTACGTCTTCAGAGTGAAAGCCCTGAACGTGCACGGTTACAGCCGGCCCAGCGTCGAATCGGACGTCATCCAACTAGACGAGCAAAGTGAGTACCCGTCGCCGCGAATCCGCTGGATTTGTCTAATTCTTCGGTTACAGGCGAATCGGGTTTCTTCGAGCCGAGAACGGTGGCCGTCGAGCCGGGACCGGAGTTCAAGGCCCGCTACGAGGTGCTGGAGGAGCTGGGAAAGGGGCGGTTCGGCGTCGTGCACAAGGCGATCGATAAGGAAACCAACCAGAAATTCGCGGCTAAATTTATTAAATGCAGAACGGCCAAAGATAGGGATAAGGTACAAGACGAAATCGACATTATGAATCTCCTCAGGCACCAGAAGCTGCTCCAACTGGCGGCCGCCTTCGAAAATCCCAGGGATATGGTTATGGTCATGGAATAGTAAGTTTCTTCTTTCACCTCAAAGTTCTAAAGGATACTGACGCAGCGATACTTTTAGCATATCCGGCGGGGAGTTGTTCGAACGAGTGGTGGCCGACGATTTTACGCTTACCGAAAAAGACTGCATTTTATTCATGAGGCAAATATGCGAGGGCGTAGCCTACATGCACAGCCAGAACATCGTCCACTTGGACCTGAAGCCGGAGAACATTATGTGCCACACGCGGACGTCGCACGAAATCAAAATCATCGATTTCGGTCTGGCCCAGAAACTGGACCCCAAGGAGCCCGTCAGGGTGCTCTTCGGCACGCCGGAGTTCATACCGCCCGAGATCATCAGCTACGAACCCATAGGCGTCGAGTCCGATCTCTGGTCCATCGGGGTTATTTGCTATGTTTTGTAAGTAATTTTGCTCGCTCTGAATTTGTAGATACCGATAAACTGCTTGCTAATGAACTTTGTGATTATGTTACAGTTAAATTGATTGGATATTGATGTTGATGTTGGTTTCAGGTTGTCTGGTTTGTCTCCTTTCATGGGCGAAAACGATTCGGAAACGTTCTCGAACATAACGCGAGCAGACTTCGATTTCGACGATGAAGCCTTCAACGCTGTTTCCCAGAACGCTAGAGACTTCATCGGCGCTCTTTTGATCAAAAGAAAAGAGTAAGTACTTATTTAATACTTACCTCCTCTTTAAATTCTCTCTCGATTGCTTCATCTACAATAAAAAATTATAAGTGTAGGTACTCGTTTGTATTTTTGTAGTAACAAAGAATTTAACATGTATAGTGGAAATTTGTTTTACTATGGCATTTTGTTTAATTGTAGGGACCGTTTATCTGCTGAGCAATGTGTAAAACACGTTTGGCTCGATCCAGAAACCCACCAGGAAACTGTCGTGCTTTGCACAGATAAACTCAAAAAATTCATAATTCGTCGCAAGTGGCAGGTAAGGCTTTCTTATCAATTTTCTGCATGATTGTTTGATTTTTTCAATAAGTGTAACACAAGGAAAAACAGTAAATATGTATGCTATTAAATTTGGAGTCTTAATTGGTAAAATATTTACTGATTTTTCTTGCTTGTTGCCAATTTGTCGATGTTTTTTGTTTGGTGTGTTAGTTTTGGCATGCTGTTTTTTTTCTGTTTTGCTTAGAAAACCGGTAACGCGATACGAGCGCTTGGTAGAATGGCTACCCTTTCAGCTAGCCGCAGAAATTCAGCTAATTCTAGTCCAAATACGCCGAGACCGTCGCTTTCCGGTGTATCCTCGCCTTCGGTGGTGAGAATGTCGAGCGTGAACGAAGAAAATTCCAACGGCAATTCGCTCGATTTGCACCTAGACGACGAAATAGACGACCTCAACGGAGAGGAGACCCACGACAATCCCGATAACCCGGAAAATGGAACTAACGAAACCCACGCGGAAGAAGATCAAATCGAGGAAAACGGCACGACCCATTCGGAAGAAGTAACCAACGGCGAAACCGAAGATTTACTGAAGATTAAAGACACTTACGATAAAATCAACAAAAAACTGGAGGAGTTGGAGGAGAAATGCTATCGTCTACAGGACACTACAGCCGAGAAGAACGCTTCGATTTTCGAAAACCGGCTCAACAAATTCAAGAAGCTGCAGGAGACGAACGGGTCGTTGAAATCAGCCAAAGAAACCAGGAACTCCAAGGAGATCCGGACGAGGGCTTGCAGCGAGCGGAGCGATAGCGGCTTCAGCGATTGCTCGGCTCTCATCACCGCGACGCCGCTGCTGGGCAAGAAATTTTCCATTAACGAAGAGAACGAGCCGGCGCCGCAGAAAAATAACTCGGCGCCGGCCGAGAGCGCTGCGAATAAGGAGGAAAAGACCGTCGCGGGACATAAATTGAAGTTGAGCGATAAAATAGACAGGTTAACGAAGGGCAAAAGTGAGTATTAACCTTGCTAACTGCTTTTTTTGAAGTAAAATTTACTGTTCTAATACTGTTTGTTGTGCACTTTGTTCCGGATAAGGGTGAAGGGAATTAGATCTTGTACATACAGTACAAGAAAATTTTTGGGATATGAATTAAGGATGAATTAAGGAAAGCCTAAAGGCTATCCTGAAGCCTATGTGTGACGATGAGCTTTCAGTTTTCCTCTGGTAACAAAAATAAATGAATGAATGTTCAAAATGAATAATTAATCAGTTTAATCTGCTACCAATTGTGCAACATTTTCTCGATTTATCTTATAATTTCCAAGATGGCGTTCATCCTTATCCAGGACACCGAGTGTACCTATACCTACTATGCACTATTTTTCGTCTTGTTTTTTGTTTGCCTCCAATTTATAGAATTGATAGTGATTTAAAAATTCCTACATTTTCACCAATTTGCAAGGTACTAATTTTTTATTAACCACGTTCATTACTTCTAGGCCAATCGTCCGCTTCGTCAAACAGCTTAAAAAAAGTACCGATTTACACGTACCGAACGATCGCTGGTACCATAAAAAAATTCGATTCCGCCGATAAACCTTCGACCGGCGGCGGCGCCCCGGCGGAGCCCGTCGTAAAGCTTAAGTCCACCAATCACCCGGCTCCGGTACTCCCGATCGCCAAATGTCCTTCTCCGGTGGTGTTGAGGAAAGCCCCGGCCTTCGCGCCGAAAGAGCAAGGCGCAAAGGCGGCGAAGGAACCGCAGGCTCCGATTAAATCGAATAGTTTTAACGTTAAGGACCGACCAAAAAACGAGAAGTTTCAAAAGATCGCGGCGTTTTGGAACTCGCCTGATATCTATCATTAACAAGCATGGTTTCGACTCGATATTTAAATTATGTGTATTGTATGTGTATATACAAAATATATTTTTCTGTTTTTATTCTATTTATACCAAATAAGTGCCTTAAACGAGTTTTATTTTGTTAGGATTAGACTCAAAGTTTTATTTTTGTGTTATATAGGAGAAGAACTGTTATGCCCTCCAATATTTTAGATTGTATATTGACCTAATGAAGACGATTTGAATATTCAGACTTTTATTTTATTTTTAATGCCCAATCCACTATATAAAAAAGATCCAATTTACATATTTGTGACTAAGGTAAAGGTAAAAAAATCAAAAATTTATAAGAAATTCCTTCAACACATTAATATCTTCGATTTGATTCTTCAGAAACCAATAAGTATCGTAAATCAATCATCGTAGAGTCTTCGTAGGTTCTATTCAAGATAATACGAGTTTTGTAACATTTTATTTTAATAAAAAAATACAAAATTAAACTTAACTACTGCCTACGATTTAAGTTTAACCAAATGCCGCCGCTAGCTCGAATTGTGGCCCTATAAGTCAATTTAACATCTTCATTGCCGGCTGGTAGATTTATTTCGAATTTCCGTAGGAAATAAAATAGTACGGTCTTCAATTCTATCATAGAAAATTTATTACCTGCAACAAAATATTAGGGAGTATAGTACCCTATTTATGGTGAAATTAAATAATAACAGAACCACCGGTTATTTTTAGCAGCTTTAATACAATAACTTTTAAATAACTATAGTAAGCTACTTTTTTGCTTGAAAGATAGGAGGTTTTGCTTTCGAATTGGTGAAATTTATTCTTTGCCAATTACCAAAAGACTTACCTATGCAATTGCGGGGTCCGAGGCTAAATGGCAAATATGAGTAGGGGTGCATGTTCTGAATTCTGCTCTCCTCGAATCTGTCGGGATCGAACTTCATCGGATCCGGGTAAAATTCCTTTAACCGATGAGTTACAAACGGCGATATGAATAAATTTGTACCGGCTGGAATGACTGTTTCATCTGCAATAATCGAATGTTATGAATGTATAGATTTTTGTTATCCTTAAATATTAAATTCACCTAATAAAATATCTTCCGTAATTACTCTATTTAAAATTGGAATAACCGGCACTAATCTCAACGTTTCTTTGATGACCTGTTCTAAATACTTCATTTGATTCAATTCGTTTATAGTTACAGGAGCGTTAACTTCGAAGGCGGAAATTTCTTTTTGTATCTTTTCCTGAACACCTTGGTTTTTGGCAATGAAATACAAGGCAAAGGCCAACGTACCCGCCACCGAGTCTTGACCCTAAAAATTGAATCTTCTTGAAAGAATGGAAACCTTCAAGTCAACGATACTTACAGCTAGCATGAACGTTACGGTTTCGTTTATCAAATCTTCTTCGGTGAAGTGCTCGTTTGATTCGAAAATTTCGATAAACATGTCTAGGAAACATGTTTTCAGCGAGGGTTTTATTTGCTTCCTTCGCTTTATTAAAATCTGGAAAATGGTAATTTTAAATTAACGATATCTATACATCTTATTAATTATCGTACATCTCTCGTATAAGAATTTAAACTGTGCTTCTGGCGTTTTTCGTAGTTCGCAGACGATGTCCAATTGTAAATCGTTTCTAATATCAACCAAGGCTTAACGAATCTTTCGATAGCCTGAAGTTCGCCTCTACAACATTATCATCAATGATTTAGCTTGAAAGCTTGAAAAATTTTAAAGCAGAAACTTACTTTCGATAGGGGGAATCCATATCAAGCGGCACTCCCAGCACAGAATCTGGAAACATTGCTGCATTAATATTGTTTAATACAGTTAGATAGGAATGATAGAGAATTTTCTGTATGTAAAATTGTATTAAGGTAAGTGCATTAAACTTACTGTGCAATATATCTAAGATGCATTCATTAACAAATGGTGTTATTTTTACGCATTCTTTTCCATCTAATTTAGAAACGAACCGTTGGGAACACTCAGCAAAATTATCAATGAATTTTTCCAATATGTTAATATGGAAATACGGTTGGATTAATTTTCTGTTTTTCTTCCATTTGTATCCTAAAAATTAGTGCACATTAGGGATTTATCGCTGAGTGTTATCATCCTAATTTACCGTTGTTAGTTATCAAACCTTGTCCAATGAAATTGTGCAAGACTTTGTAGAAGAAGCCTTTCTGGTTCGTTTTGTTTGTGGATAAAATAATTTTTAGATGCCTCGGCTCGAAGACTGTTATAACTGGAAGCAGGGATATCCAGACCCTGATTAAAGGTCCGAATAAACTCGGCCCTTGCATGCTTAAATAAATCAATTCTGGAAAATGTTAAGCTATTAAATCAATACTTCCATCGATCGTCTAAATTATAGTAATATTGACTGACATGTGCTGGATCGAAATTATAGCTTTCCACCGGCTATTGTAATTATAGAGGAAAACATATTAAATGCACGCATTAATTGAAAGGTAAATTTTTACTATAGTAATATCTAATTGGAAATTATTAGTTGTTAAAATATTATTGCACAAATAAATATCATTGAAGAAATCATTTCATTGGGTTTTAAATTATTATTCCAAAGGTCGTAACTGTCATTTAAAAAGAAAATTCAAAGGTATAAATTAAACTGCGCTATAATTTTGATTTCTCATTTAACTAGTAAAGTTATAATTAATAAAAATGTAAACATGTACTTAGTACTACTTTGCAAGTTACTTTTAAGTGTGTCTAATTTAAGTGTAGCTAGCTTAAGTGTGCCTTTTAAACCTTATGTGTAGGTACTTAATAATTTTTATAAGTTTACTTTATTAAATAATATTAAAGAAATAATTAAGTCATGTAAAAATAAAATTACCTTCGTGTTGTTTGGCCAATAACACGTTTCCTAACAAAGGCAACGCAGGAGGTCCTGGAAGGTTGAGCATCAGCAAAACGCTCCTTATGTAATTTTTAATCGTTAGCAACACCGAGATCAAAATCCTTAGAAAATAACCGAAATAATCCATTTTTCTGTAAAAAAAATACCGATATCATAGACGATCAATAACCGACTTAATAAAAGTTCGCTTGGATTTTATCAGTCGCGATCGATTCATTACTACAAGTAGATGAGTATGAGTACAAGGAGAAGCAAGACAACTTCGACAAACTTACAAAACTTAAAATTGCCTGTTTGAAATAAAGCGAGTGTCATTACCATTCGCACCGACCGGTTCTTTGATTTTCTTTGCTTTTTGAGCGGAGGAATTCTTTTACTACACCGACACTTCTTTATCCGTGCATGTGCAACAGTCCAATATATCATTCGTTTAAATCCGTTTGGTAATTATTATTTATTAAAGTAGGAAGTAATACGGATTTATTACTGGTTTATTAAATACTCGGGGTAGAAAATATTTAATACAATTTGATGGAAAGTATAAAATAATCTATGTAGTATATAAAACTTATTCAATGCACATTCATGCATCTTTAAATCCCGCTGATTTAATAATTTATTTAAATTCTTGTTATGACATGTCATCGCCAAGCTGGTTAGCAAATGCCTTATAAATATTGTTAGCGAGTAGGATAAAATTTAATTGTTTTAAACGCATCAATAAATAATCACCTTCACGCATTTTTTTGTACATTTTGAAATTATTTATGTGTTCGTTAATTAATTTTTTAATTATTATTATTTACTTCTAATTAAGTAAGTGCAATTGATTGCAGCCACATTTAATCAATACAGAAATTATCTCATATTTTACGTAGACCCTGATTTGTGTGCATTTAAAATTATTTTTTGACTTTGAATTATTTCCTCCCGGTATGTAATTGCGTTGTGAAAAACTAGGATAATTAGTTTCTATTAAAATTGAAAACATGTTTACCTCTTCTGTAAAACCTCTTATGTTTGATTTTAAATCTGCCCCAAGTAGCTATGGTACATAAAATTAATAATTTGCAAATTATACCTATTTCAAACTATTTAAAACTATAGTAGTATTTATAACTATATAACTATGTAAAACCTAAATTGCAAAACGAGTGGTTATTAAAGAAAATTATGTATTTCCTTTAGAACGCAAAATGTTGATTTATAGTGCAATGTTATTTCGAAATTGTAAAAAGTATTTGAAAATACCTGTATTCAAATTCTATATGTTAATTTTAGTTAATTAATTAACAATTATTAAAATATGACCCAAATTTTTGCCAAAACTTGTCAAATAGTTTTCTAAATATTGGCCTAAATAATAAAATAAAATTTTAAAAATTTTTAATGCACTTTAATGCAAAATTCTTTGTTTGTGCTTACATGATTTTAGCTGCCCAAAAACTTCTTACTGCATAATTTATAACTTTTTGTTTTTCTATAACGTAATTAATTTAACACTACATTCTATTGTAAATTATTTTATTACCAGGTTTATCTAAAATGTTGCTACGTATTAAATATAAATGGTCAAATCTTACAAATTGTAAACAAAGGTGTTTTTTCATTACATTACAATTCATTGCACATAAGCTTAATAAAAAAACTACAATGCAAAAAATTCTTTCAACTTTTACACTTACCTTTATATAATAAATAACTACAATTAAAATTTTCAGATGATAAAAATCTATTTAAAAAAAATCACTTTTTCTACCGATGCAACATCCCGAAAAAAGTTTTTCGAATTCAAATTGGCTTGTATTGGAGCAAATTAATTGAAATAACCACACATGATATAACGGAGTCGAATGCGAGTAAAATACCTTTATTTACGTTTATTTACGAGCTGTTTTGTAGACAACATTGAGACGTGAACATTTTTACAACGATTTCATTTCAAATTTTATTAAATTTCGTAGCGCAGTTACACTAGCAATTTTGAATTTTGATGAATGTTTATGGTTATTTTTAACCTACCTCTAATTGCTCTTTGTGTTACAGAACATTGGTTGTTCTTTGTACATTGCTTACATATATTAGGGAAAACACTGCTAATGAGATGTTTATTTGTGAATTTTAACATTAAATATGAAATATACTTTGTTAATTTGTTTGTTGTATATTTTAATAAGATTTGAAATCTAAGCATTCATGCTACGGAAATTTTATATGAAAATATTGGACATTTTGGGGAAAAATTGGTGAAATATTTTCTCTAAACAACTTAGTTCAATCTGAGATACTTCCAAAATTTGACTTATATTTTTTGGAAATACACAAGTATTAGGCAAAATATTTTCAAGAGTATACTTACCACAAATTAAATTCGTGCTTTATCCAACTAGTAAACAACTTACACCGCGAATTAAGCGTTATACATTTCACAAGTTATAGTACTTAAATGTACAATTTTTATCAATAAACAAATTTTATTAAATTTCAGTAATTTGTGACCACCGATAATTAGTTGCGTTTTAAATTGCTTTTGATTTGTTCGCTCATTAAAGCGAAATATTAGACTGTTTTTTCGCGAAATTCTGGACTGTTGCTACGTTTACACCGATTCGCGTTTTTACAATACCTCTTCAAAGCAATAGGCCATAAATTAAAATCTTTAAGAGACTTTAATACTTTAAAAAATCGTATGTTCTCGTAAAAGTCACTATAATGCAACGCTATTAAAGATTTTTATAACAACTTTAGGAGAATATTACATATCTAAGTACTATCGTAATCTGTTTTTGAGTAAGAGTGATGTAAATATATATTACTTGGTAACTTGCTCATTTATATTTAACGATCAGGCAAAAAGAAAATGATGTTAGAGGAATCCTAACAAATTAATTATTACCTTGGTTGAATTTTTTTAATCGTTTAAATAGCCATAAATATTACCGAGTACATCTACATACTTAACACAAGAAACGTAATTGCTGAAGATAATTGTTAATTAATAAAGAATTATGGAATTTGTAAGGTGAGCTTGCAATTAACAATCTCCTCTTTCCTCTAAGAAAATAAACAGACAAAAAAAATAAAAGAATCGAATTTGTCAACCAATTGTCAACCATTGTCTATTTGTCAACTGACTAATATTGATGACAGATTTACTCCCGTAGAAAGAATTTTTTTATACAAAACGTTTTTTTATCCAACCATTCGAAATGGATCGATCGAATATGCTTACAGCCAGCAAGGTGAAACAGCACGGTTTGACCTCTGAAAAATGGACGACCAAAGACAAAATCGTCCAATACAAAGGGCTAATAAATCTTTACAGTAAGTCCAAAAACCGCCACACGAACGTTCTCTAATCGCCCGCTTTCCAGCTCGAGACAAGAAGATCATGGAGATGAACATCGCCCTCCAGAAGAAGAAGCAGGCGCAGGAAATGAAAACGCTGCAAACGGAAATCAACCTCGACAGGAAGAAGCTGGACAACGCTTGCGCCGGCGACAATCAGAAGTTGAGGAACGCCTTATCGAATCACAGGACTCTCCAATTGGCCTACTGCAATTCTACGCCTACGGTAATGCATCCAATTCACTGGTTAAAATGTACTTAAACGCGTGTTTGTTGCAGAGAGTCATCGACCTGATCCACCAGGTCAGCTTTACCAAGAGGAAAAAGCGGGATATACTCCGATACAGGCAAAAAGTAGAATCAGACAAGCTGATTGATTTGAAGGTATGTGTACGGAAAATGTGTATTACACGATATGCAAATCGTTGTTTTTTTCAGTTGAATTGCGCTGTTTACGAAGATAGGCTGAAATACGAAGGGGATAAAATTATGCTGCCTAGCGAGAAGGAAGCTCACCTTATCACCGGGAGGATACAGGACGCGATATTGAAAAAAGAAGCCGCGATTTACATCAGAAATTCGTACAAGGAAATGATCGCAATCATGAAAAAAGTAGGTGGCATCTATTTGTACAGTGGAATGCTCATTTCAGTACGTTTCTTCCAGGACGCCATTTACTTCGATGCTATTTTGGCCTCGCTCAAAAACGACGGGATAGCGCAAGGGCGATGCATTATAAACGCTACTCTATTGGGCCACGTGGGTATGGAATACTTGAATACAACGAAGCAGGAATACCACGTCTTGGAGCGAGTGGTTAAGATGGATCTGGCCAGCAGGAAGAAGGACATCGCGTCCGTTCAACAGAACGTCGAAGCTTTCACTGACAACTTGAAAAATCTAATTAGATCCGATGTACGTTGCTCGACGTTTGCTCTATTATTCTCTGATTTACGCTGTTTTAGAGCGACATTAACTTGGGAAAAATTTCGATCAAAGAGAGCCCAAGTTTCCACTTACTGCAAAAGGAGATTGAGACCATCGAGTCTACGCTGCGATTTTTGAAGGATACTTTCTTCCTTAACTCGTTTGATCAGATATTCCCTTGGTACTTGCTTCGTCATTTCGAATCATAGGTCGATTAATTTTTTGATAATTTTAGTCTAAAAGAGCAAATGAGGCAGAGGAAAAGGCTGGACCAACTAGTCCACAAATGCGAGGCCAACAGAGACGATTTAATGGAGAAAAGCGAAAAAGCCGCCGTTTTGTGCGCTACTTTACAAAACACAATGGTCGAAACAACGAAGATGTAAACACAACGCAATTTCCTGTAAACTCACGATTAACAAAAACTCTCACCTCAGGTACAATTCCGATAAAACGGTCTTGAAAGCGGACATCAAATTCGAAATCCAACGAACCAACGAATACGAAGCCACCATCAAAGCGAGATACAATCTCCTGGCCAAAATTAGAATAGCGTTAAGGCACTTGCAGTACCTGGCTAGGCTGCTATCCACCGAAACCGAGAGTACCATCAAACTGCGAAAAATGCCATCGCTCAGTTCTGCTTTGGTAATACCAGAGGAGGACGAGGTTGAGGTATGTACAAAATAATTAACAATTAATTGGTCTAGATTATCTCTCGAGAGCAACTAATCTGGTCTACGGACAGTGACAACCTGAGTAAAGTACTCTAACTACTCACAGGATATGAAGCATTTAGAGCTTACTTATACCAACTCGACATAGTAGAGCATACTATGCGAGGAGCCTGAAGAGGACAGCATGTTTAACCTGTATTCAGCGCCCCACAAGGCAAAAACAAAATGACTTTACAACAACGGAAAACAACAGAGGATCCCAGGGACATCGGACCATGTTCTCCCAGAGTTTCCTCATTGGGCTGAGCTCCACAGGCGAATCTTTGGAGTCCCTGTTATGACCCTGGGAGACCTAGACAAGCATCCATTGTGGAGGACTGAGTCCTTCATCGAGCGACTTATCTTCATGGATGTATAAGCAGCAGGAATGGTACAATGGGACAAAGACACTCGAGGCTCTTGGTAGTTTGGCCTTTAGTAGTTTAGCAGACAGAGGATCCTATGATCTGGGTAGTTGCAGCGAATAGACCTGCTCCCAAACATCAACAACAACAAAAAAAGCTCTAAATTTGCCAGGAATCAATCATCTATCCCGGATCTGTTAATTTCAGGCACGAAAATCTGCCAGGAGCTGCTGGTGAAGTTCGCCAAGCTGGCCTCGACGACGGCGGCGGCCAGGGAGGTGATGGACGGGCACAAGCCGGACATGACGTACAGGACGTTCGAGCGATTGATGCGCGACCGCAGCAAGCCGATCGAAATCGTGAAGAAGGTGAGCGAGGAGTCGTTCATGCAGGCGGAATCGGGCGACGGTAATCTGCTGTCGCGCGAAGACATCAAGAAGAGGAGCGACGAGGTGGTGACCGAGGGGCTGGCGGCGCTCGAGTACAAGCCGCCGCCGCCGCCCGCCAAGAAGAAGTTCAAATTTAAGAAGTGATCGTCGAGCGGTCTGTAGGGTTTTTGAGCGGAAGCTAATATTGCGGAGGGAAACTAAATTTAAATGACACCGATGATTGCGATGAATAGATTATTTATACAGCTTGTAATAAAATCCCCGTTGGTTATAGTTTATTGTACTGTTAGAGCAGAAAATGCGCGTCTGATAGGAAAAATAAACGGCAATTTTTTTTTAGATATATTATTAATATATGTATATCTACAATTTTGTAGCGTATTATTAAAGGTAAGTAATTAAAGCTAAGAGAATTGTACAAGTTACACAAAAATTTGGCCGTCAGTATCTGGCACACATTCATATTTGCATGGCAATTACGATTTTTCTATATCGAAAAATTGTGTCTAGAAAGTCTAATGTACAGGAATTAGTGTCGAAATTAGAGAACAATTTTTCTAATAATTAAACAAAATCGAATTCTAGAGAACTAAATTTTGTACAGATGAGCAACAATTTCGAAGTCGATTTTATTCGCTAATAATTATAGGGTGTTTCCAATTAGGTGCGAAAGTTTTAGACAATTATCGTTAAATAATTCTAAATTGTTCGATATTTTTTCTGCGAGCGTTGAAGGGGAAATATAAAAATATTCTGTGGAGTAGGAACACTGTGACATATATCTGTATAAAACATTATTATATTTTAATAAGCTTATTTCCCTTAGGCTCGAAGAAAATATATTGTACCTAGCACTTCCCAAAAGTGAATTTTCCTCACTTTTCTATCCATATTTTTAGTTAAAAAAACTATTATCAAAGCATTCTTCATTATCACTACAATACCTATGTATCGTGAAGAATGTTTCGAATAAAAAACTTTACACTATGCTCTTATATTTCTGTTATCAATTTTCTTCAATTACTTATGAACCGTTCATTAACAAAAATGCGACATGATCTCATTTTGTTCAACCTTTAATATATTTACAACGAAAAAAACAAGAATTAACAAAAACTTTTTAAAACTTAAAGTACTAGATTCAGCTTTGCTACTCGCTTGTTAAAAACCTCGAGTTCTATCACATTTGCATTATCACTACTAAAAAAATTAAGGAATTAGAAACTTTTCGTCATTGTTTAGGATCCAATGAAGTTATCGACTGTGAGTGGTAAGACAGTAGGTACTGTTATACAAAAATGTCCTTGTCAAATAATAAAAACGGTAGAATATATTACAAATTTAAGAATTAATAAACTCGAACACATCATTTCCTTCAGTCACAATACTGATTTATAGATAAATTAACAATCTAAGTCAAGAACAGTTAAGATAAACGACTTCATGGGAATCCTAAAAAAGACATGAAGCATCACAATAACATTTAAGAATTAATTGCATTATTTCCATTTTTCGTACCCGCTGACAGTCAAGTCCAAATTTTAAATTTGTAAATTTATTTTAGAAAAAAAAACACGAGAAACTGAGCAACTAACAAACATTATTTTCAACATTCGCGCCAAGTAAATAAATAAATATAAAAATTAAGTGCTTTATTTTTACACGCAAGGGAATAGGTTACACATTTGGGCAACAAACGGTATATTTACACATTGTATTCATGATTAACGTACACGCACGCGACCTATAATATAAATTGGGAATTCCCCGGGGACGCCTACGAGAGTAAAAAATATATCTTGATGTACATAAATATCTCTTCTCTAATTGAGCCGAACGCTTGAGTGTTGTATTTAATATTGAAATTCTTAATTCTCTATAAAAGAAAGCGTTAACTCTATTTATAAAATCCACAGTATTCACAAGATGGTCGATTATATTACCGGATCAGCAACCAGTGTGTCGGGTTAAAAATTACTCCACTACAATTGAATTGTTCGACCATCCTGCCAATACCTCGGCACATAAAAAACAGTACAGCACTTCTGATTGGCCGAAAAATTCCCTAACACGGCGACATTCGCCTCAATTTCACTTAAAATCAACAATTTTGCTTGCTCGCTTCATTCGAACGCCGTTCAACTTTGGAGTTCCGATTTGGCCACGACCGCGGCCGCTTTCTGCTTCTCGATGTACCGCTTTCTGGCCTGCTTTATCATGTGCTCCTTGCGCTTGTGAAGGATCTTCTCCCGCTCCGTCGACGATTTGGAAAACCGGCTTCCCAATGCCGCCGTATCTTCACTACAAAACAACGATGAATGGGATTTTTATTAACTCTATTATCCAACAACTTCTTAAACTGAATAAGTTCTATGTGAAACTAGTAGGTAGATCTAATAGAGATAAGTAGATATTTTCTAGGTTCATCTCTATTTACGAAGACTCTATGAACCTACTTCTCAATTTTACATCACCCTATATTACCCCTCTCTATCCTATCAACTTGTTAAACTGAATAAGTTTATTTAAAAAACTATTAGGTCTATTATTTTTTGGGTTTTTCTCTATTCATGAAGACTCTATCCTTGTTTATCCCTCTCAATCTCTACCTTTCTCTATCCTACCAGCTTTTTAAACTGAATAAGTTTTATTAGAAACTAATAAGTAAGTATATTATTTTCTAATTTCTTCTCTAATAACAAAGACTCAACGAATTTATATTCAACTCTACCCTACACTATCCTTCCCTCCTTTAAGCTTCTTAAGCTAAATAAGCTTTGTAACAAACTAGTTTACTAAGTTAGTTTCCTAATTTCCTAGCTTCATAGGAAACTTTCCTATTTTCTAGTTTCTTCTCTAATAACAAAGACTCTACGAATTTTATATCTTAACTCTACCCTACACTATCCTTCCCTCCTTTAAGCTTCTTAAGCTGAATAAGCTTTGTAACAAACTAGTTTACTAAGTTAGTTTCCTAATTTCCTAGCTTCATAGGAAACTTACCTATTTTCTACTTTCTTCTCTAATAACAAAGACTCTACGAATTTATGTCTCAACTCTACCCTACACTACCCTTCCCTCCTTTAAGCTTCTCCAGCTAAATAATCTTTGTAACAAACTAGTTTACTAAGTCAGTTTCCTCATGTCCTAGCTTCCTACGAAAGATTACTACCTTCTAGGGTATTCTATGTGTACAAAGACTCTACAAACTTACGTCTCAACGTTTTCAGTGTTGTATTCGTCCCAGTTTCGCGCGCTCGGCTCCGGTTCGGAATTGAGTGTGAACGTGTTCCTGTCGGGCGTCCAGTCGATGTCCAAATCTCTGAACATCGGCGGCGCGATCAATCGACCGTCCAGAACGTTCTCGACGGTCAATTCGACCGATCGCGTCACTCTCAGGTCCTCTATGATCGTCGACAGTGGAATGTGCGGAAACAACGTTTGTACCTGCCTAGCCATGGCGTCCAGCTGGGAATTCGTCGCCATGTGGTTCTGTCGTATGGCCTGTACGTGGCTGACTTCCACCGAGAAACTCGGTAACCACGATACGTATCTGGAGCCTGCGGGAAAGGCTCGTTTCAATACAAGTCTTTGATTCGCATGGAGTACTTACCATCGAAGTGGAAAAAGTGATTAAACGGTCGCCTTGTATTTTCTTGTGGGTCGGTTTGAAGCTCCGGAGGTTCCATGTTGGCAACAGAAGGATTTTGAATGTTCAAAGTCATTCTGCAAGTGGGACACGACGTGTCTTGTTCTAGCCAAGATAAGAGACACGTACTGGAAATAATGGTGAATTAATCACTAAAAATATTCGTCAAAATTTCTTCTTACTTGTGGAATAAATGACCGCACGGTAGCTTCCTGGCAGCGTCCATATTCTCCCAGCAAATAGCGCAGTTATCGGAATTCTCCTGCAACTCCGCTTTGGTGGCCATCGGATAGTTCTGTTCCAAATGATTTCTCACCCACAAATAATTCCTATGCTTCTTGTATTTCCTTTGAATTTCGTGGAATAGAAATCTAAAATAAACAATAAATATTGACGATACGTAAACAAAGCAATTACGACAGAAGGCATTTACCTCAATTGCATACAAATAACCAAACTGGCCATCGATAAGAAAATGTTGCTCCACAACAGCATGTGAAGATGGTGGATTAGGTCGATTATCAAAGCAGTTAGATCGAAAGTTAATTCGACGTAGTAGGAAACGGGTCCTCGCTTATCCAACGTTCTGTTATCGTCAGTAGCTGTAGGTGGAGTAGTTTCGTTTCTCACGTCGTATAAGTGAAAAGCGTAACGAATTATCACGTGAAGAGTACGAATGGCCAATAAAAGTACCTGGAAACGCATTGAAATCATATCGACTAATGAGTAGTGAGCCGCACTTACTTCATAAAACATGAAAAAGAACGTGTTCAGTCCGCCGAAGAATCCAACAAAAATTGAAACGACAAACATGAATCCGGATAGAGCGAATATCGCCGCAAGCAGAGCCATCAGTTTCACGTGACTCCAAAACGGCGTACGAGGAGAAAACGACAACTACAAAGAAAAATCATTACAATCTCCCACACGTTCGATAAATAAAACCTTACATATTCGAATCGATCTTTGCTCAATTGGGAGAGAAGGTGCAGGAAACCCAGCAAGGAGAACCACGAGCACCACAGCAGCACTTCGTCAATGTATTGAACGTTGATGATGCCGAAGACGAAGATGAACTTGTAGAAAACGAAATTCCAAAATTTGTCTCTGAGCTGCTGTTGCTCGGACACGCGGAGATCGCCGAAGACCAGCTTCTGGACGGCCCTGCCCAGCAGGATGAACCAGCAGAAAGCCATGTTTATCATCGTCTACAAGGGAAAATAGGGAATTGTTCAATTTTCAAACTTTTGTAATTGATTTCAAGCAGACAGTTTAATTGAATAAATTCCGTTGTGACTACACGAGTAGTATAACTCACTAATTAAAGCGTTCTAATTATAATTTTAGTTTAATTTTATATTAAATTCCGAGCTAGAAATTTCAGGAGTTTAATGAGACGTGAAACTTTTTGCGATAGCACGTCTGTAAATATATTAAATTTCTTAACAATACGGAATATTATTAGAGAATTATAATATAAAAGACCTTTGATAAAGAAAGTCTTGAATGAACCATCAATCTTCATGAGTATACAATACGTTTATAGTATAAAAACCACGAACTGTCTTTATTTAAAGTCCTTAAATGTGCAGTTTTTTAAGCTAAATTAAAATAAATGTAGCGGTTAATGTTAATTATAAGCAATTTATACCTGTGTACTATAACGAGGCATCTTTAAAATTTGCTAAGCGCGAGCACTAAATTGAAATTGTTCGTTTTGTTAAGTTATTCTTAGAGCAATAATTGATTTGTTGCATTATCAAGGATAAATTTTTTAAGCGATAACACGCCCGATTAGCATTTTTAACACCACATATTTCTATTTAAAGTTTATTGTAATTATTTCGATACAAAAATATGCAAAAATGTAACCATGATTTTCATCTCGATATAAATTTTCTGAAATTTTAACAATTTTATTGTTGTTGGAGCAGGTGGAATTATATCATGGTCAAAAACGATGTGTTTAACAGTTATTAGCAGTTATGAGTTATTACCAATAAATAAAACTGTTCAGTTTAGTGATATTAAATTTCAACACTTCTGGTTAAATTTAAATAATTAATTGAATAATTTAAGCTATAATAGAATAAGAAACTGGGTTAGGCACGTCACGTGAAGGAACTAAAATCGATAAGATATAAAAAATTATAAAAACATGACAAAAAATAGGTCTTATATCATAATTATGCAAAAAAAATAAGGAACAGTGCGCAGTAAAAAAGCCATAAATTATACTCAACAGCGCCAAATTAAAGTGAGCAATGATACGAATTAAGCAATAGTGAACAAAAATATTTCTCTAAAGGTCGATTAAAAAGAGAAACATTCCAAAATATTCGTAATAAAAATCAATTTGTCCCGGCCGGTTTGTTGGCAATTCCGTTCGTAAATCGTACAAGTGAATATTTTTAAGAAAACCCGAACGAATGCCGTAAATAAAACGCTTGGCAATGAGCTTCCTTCAGTTACGTTTAGATATGAAGGCAAAGCAAAAACATTCAGATGCGATTCATCAATGTTTTGACCTCATGCCAAATGTTGGGCTGCGACGATTCGCGCAATGCCGCAGGCACATTGCAGTTCGAATTTCGAAAATACGTATCTCAAAATTCCACATTTTCAAAGCTAATATACAAGTTACAAGAAAAAACACAAATTTAGTAGACAAACATAAAAAAGAATGTATGAACTTTTTTATGTAATATTCATGCAATACCTCTACCTACGCACGTTGTATGGAGATTATTTTTGTTATTTGGTATTGGAAAACTTTTTAAATAACTTGTGTCACGCTAGAAAAAATACCACAATTTGTTAGCAATTTTTAGCTTAGAAGGTTTAATAAAACGTGAGAAAAAATAGCTCATGAAAGGGTTAGAGCGCAATATAAAATTATAGATTATTTACAGAATATTTAAAATCTTTAAAACAGAACTGAATGGGATGCATTTCACAACTTGTTTTTGTAAAGTAACATATTATGGTGTAATTTTTCACGGTTAATTAACCTGAATCAAGACATTAAAATACCTGATATTTATTTAAATGTTATTGTAATTATTGTATTTACAAACAATAAACATTAAAAATATATTTTTTAAGTGTATATATAATTAACTTGAAAAATAGATATCATATGGAAAATGGCCAATGTTTATAACAACAGACAAAACCAGAATTTTAATCAATTCGAAAAAAACCCAATTACATTTACCTGTTTGTAATTATTGCTTCTGAAATCAAAACAATTCAGAGAAAACTGCAAGAATGGCATTAAATATCTTCAAATGGTTAGGAAAGTATTTAATTTAGAAATCCCAATGTAAATTAGGTATTTACATGATATTAAAAAATCGATGACTATTGACTAGTTACTTCAAGTCAATAGAATGTATAAATTAATAAAAGTAAAGTAAATCAATAAAAAGATGAAAAATGTTTATGATTTTGTATCGAATTCGAATCAAGTTTATTAATAGAAGACAAACATTCCACTAAAACATAATTTTTAATAACTTAATGTGAGAAATAAATTTACATGAAATTAGGTTAATAATGTAACGCGAAATTTATCTGGATCTTTTATAATGAAAACAGTTATACAAAAATGAAGTGAAGGATCCTGCCTTTTTGTTTGGTAGAAATTATTAATAAAAAAGAAAAAAATATGTAACAAACAATATTGATAGAAATTAGAACACAATTGAACAACATTGAATGCACATATTATTGTTCTAAAACATGCAAAACATCTAGAACATATTGCATAACTTGGATAATACTGAGGTAGGTAAAAAATAATACAATGCTTACATATTGTTAGCTGTGAGCTTAGAGATTTTACAGCATGTACACAATTATTTAACATACATGCAATTTTATTCCTTATTTAGGTCTTATTACACTTGTAAAAAAGCTGTTGTGCAACTTATCCTATAAAGCACCTTCTTATTCTACTTCTATATTTGCTAGGGGTTGTCAAATAATATTAGAATGTACCCAGCAATTATCACTAACAATATGTAAACTACTACATTCTATTGAAGCTATAAATATCACAATTTCTTCAATTATTTATACGTACACCTAAACGATACATATTAAATTTTACTTATAGGCAAATAAAAGTGGGCTACTAATTTCCAATAAAAATATTATTCACCTTTCTGGTAATACCAGAGAATAGAAAATGCTAAACTTACCCAAACACACACAGGTTCTCTCGTCATTACAGTAAAAATATCCGATACAAACTGGCTGACCGTTCTTCCATCGGAATCAGTCCCGTTACGGTTTTCGAAATTATCATCGTTTTTGTCAAAATCACCCGGGTAGTTCCAGTTGGGCTCCTTTATGATCTGAGCAGCGTAGTAGGTACAGGCCGAGAGTGCCACAACACTAACGAACGAGTACACCCTCAAGCTGGGCAAAGGCAATCTTTCTAGTGGAACTACTGGCATGGTGACACTTTGTTCGTACAAATCGAAAGTTCGTTTATGTGATCCTCTTGAATTTCGTCGGCCGATTGATCGAACACGTCTCGAACATATTGGAAATTGCACCGATATTCGCCGCAGGTACACGGCTTTGATGGTTTGTTTTTTTTTTCGACTTTGACTTCACTGCATCCCGTCCTATAGCGTTTATTTGCGTCCACAGTGGTCAATTAACAATAAGCCAGGGAACTTTTAACGACGTCGAAATTAGAATGGGACTGCTGCTACATGAAAATAAGTTATTAGTAGATTCATAAGAAATGTGATGTGATGTGATCCCGACTGTCACTGTTATTTGGTTTAAATGTCAAAATAAATATTGCGTCATTTGAATCCTGATTTTCGAAATTTCAATTAAAATGGACAAAATAAAATTATTTAATTACTTACCATTTCGGAATATAAATTAGCGAATGATATTAATAGAAGTTCTTCGTTTAAATGAGTATATTAATTTTATAATAAATTATTTAATACAGAAAAGAAGAATTAAATAAGTTGACATTAACAAAAAAAAGAAGAAATTTAGGCCTCGTATCTCGTATCAATTTCTAAAAAATACTTTTTTCAAACTTAAATTTTTAGTAGAGTTTAGAAGCTGTATTATTTAATTGGACATAAATTTAGAGTTAAAAATAAGAATCTAGTTTATTGTACAGATTGCTGGTTTTAGTAATATTGATTTGTGTATTGTTTTTAGCAAATAACGATAGATGTCGGGATGAAAGGAACTATTGTGGCCTTCACCAATACAATGTTTAAGCTAATTTTTAGCGTATTATCTTTTACTGGGTATTCACAAAACTACATATTAGCAAAATATTAATTTTAATTTAGTCTTATATTATGCAGTTTTATTTTCTAGTAAACATTTGAAAAATTAAAAGTTAAGATTAACCTGACTTTTCGATAGGAGTTTACTAGGAACTAGGTTTAATAAGGACAGGTGAAATTGTCAATAATTACAGGACAAATAAATTTTTAGCACTTTAAAAATAAGATATGATTTTTTTAAAGATAAAGCTGTTTTCAAAAATTTTCCCGATCAATATCTGTTTTAAAATCATCTATCTCCAAGTAATCACTTGATCCAAAAAATCGCACATAAGTGATGACTTGTGATGACAACTGATGACTCCTATATTTTTGGGCCAAATAATAATTATTATTAAGTATTAAGTTTGGCATTATAAGGCATTATATATTTCATTTATTTTTTCTTTATTTTAGTGTTCATTCTCAGTTAAAACATACAAAACTGTCTTTCTCCTTTCTTGAATTTTTCGTCCTTCAAAAAAGCTACACCACTTTTTCTACCCTGCCGGGTATCCACCATCAGAAACTGATGTGTATAACACAAGGTCTTCTCCCTATTTTTAGAGAAAGAATAATTGGCGTAGAGCTAAAAAACTGTTCTCTAGAAGCATACGTCTTCGTGGAGCAATTCTGATTAATTCTGAACTTGACTCGTCCAATAAAAACATCGAATAAATTTCAATCATTCCGCAGTTTGAAGTGAAAATTAAATCAACACGACCACATACCGTCGCAACACTCAAGAAATTTGTTACACGACGGGAGGCGACTCGCTGCCCACTCTCATAACCATTCGTCAAATTCCAGGAGTCCAGGATGGACAGTATAAAATCGCGCGGCTCCTGCGGTATCCAGTCAGTTCCTGCAGACGATCCCACGATGAAACTGTCACTAGTTCTACTTATTGTGTTCGTTTCAGCGCTCTATTTCGAAAATTCCTTCTGCGAGGACCTCCGAATAACGGGCAACGAAGATGAGAAGAAGAGCTTGGTAGAACCGCAAAGGCCGAACAAATACGCCCCGCTGTGGTTCGGGCCGAGGGTGGGAAGGAAGAAGAGGAACCTCGTAGAGGAAGAGAACAAGAATTTCGATAGGGAGGAAATGGAGGTTTTGCTGGAATTCATCAGGAAGAGTCCTTGGACGATCATGCTTTTCGGAAATGGTGAGTTTCTTAAACAAAAATCTTAAAAAAGTATATTTAAGTTGGACTTTTTAGGAGGAAGTCGTCTAATAAATTACAATCCCAAAGAAGATCGTGGGTTGTATGACGATGATGAATTTACCGAAATGGTACAAAGATCCATGTTTGCTCCGAGATTAGGACGATCGGCCTTCTATCCTCGATTAGGACGCGGTAACTCTGCCATGGACTGAATTTTAGTACTTATTTTATCTGGATAAATACTTGTTAATAGAGCAAACAACAAATAAAGTTATTAAAATACACTTTGTAATTTTGATTGCATTCGAGGCAAAATTATGTTCCACGTAGAATTGACGTCAGACGTAGTTCCCAATAAGAACCTGGATAAAATTGTCTTAATTTGATATTTATGCGTAATACATTTAAATACATTTTATCTACTCCTATTATAAGTACCTTTACCCCAATGTGTCCAATCAGTTGCTATCAGTTAATTAATATATTTATCGAAAAAAGCAAACATAGTTATAAATGTAGTACACCTACTTAAGAATATCTATAGAGATTGAATCAAGTAAACGAAATGAACAATTTCTTTTTATTCGGCGTTTTTGTGTTAACTATTTTGGGTAATAATTTCTTTTTAGTACATACAAATTTAAAAATCTACCTACCCTTTTACATTCTCCAACAGATATTTCCAGTTCAGTGGAATCCAAAAAAAATGTAGTTTGCTACTTTTCGAGTTGGACTGTGTATAGACCAGGCAATGGGTCTTTCAAACCCGATGACATCGATCCACACTTGTGCACTCATATCAACTACGCATTTGTGGGACTCAACCCAAATGGTTCGATCAACATTTTGGATAGTTGGGAAGCCGAGCCCAGCGGACTCGGTAAGCAAAACTTTAATACAGATATTATTACTACGAAACTATCTATTAAATTATTTAATTTGCAGATGGTATCAATAAGTTAATAGCTTTGAAGAAAGTTAACCCAAGTCTCAAAGTGATGGTAAGCATGGGCGGATGGAATGAAGGTTCTGCTACTTATTCGCAAGTGGCCGCTAACCAAACCAAAAGAGACGCATTGGCTAAAAACGTATTGGAATTTCTGGAAAAACGCGGCTTCGATGGTTTCGATTTGGATTGGGAATATCCTGGAGAAAGAGGTGGAGACTGGGAAACTGATAGAGTAAGATTCAGTGTATTACTTTAGACTTCTAGTCTTTAGACTTCTTCTGATTGAGTTTAACACAAAAATTACTTTGCTAATTCTTTCAGGATCATTACACTGCCCTGATTAAGGCTTTTAGCGATGCTTTGAAACCGAAAGGTTACTTGTTATCTGCTGCTGTAGCAGCTGATGCATTAATAATTGATAATGGATACGATGCACCAGAATTATCAAAGTGAGTTTCTACTAATCTTGCAATTGCATATGTGTACAAATGTTTACTTATAGGTATTTGGATATGCTTAATGTAATGGCATTCGATTTTCATGGGGCGTTTAACAACTGTGTCACCTGCGTAGGGCATGTTTCTCCGTTATATGGAGCTGCTGTGGATTCTCTCTATGGTAAATATATTACGTTCAACGTTGTAAGTAGAGTTATTCAATACTAAAATAAGTATTTGTGTCTAATTGAAGTAAATTGCAGGATTATGCGATACAACATTGGATGAGCAGAGGTTTTGACCAGGCAAAAATAAACCTTGGCATCGCTCAGTATGGTAGAAGTTTTACGTTAGCAGATAAAAGGAACACCTCTTTATACGCTCCTATTACGGGAGGTGGCAAAGCGGGACCATATTCCTTTCAAGAGGGTGTACTTGGGTACAATGAAGTAAGTAAAGAAGTCAATAAATCAATCAATCAATCAATTTCAGTCCTCAAACAGAAAACGATGATTGGAAATGATTATTTAGTTTTTTATTTATGAATAGATAGGCAAATTGACAGGGGTATTTCCAGTGAGATAATACATCTCAATAAATGTATCAATATTTACCTATTTTTTTTTATTTTTAGATATGCGAATATCACAGTAAAAATTCAACTTACGTCTGGGATGATGAACAGAAGGTTCCCCATAGAATATGGGATGACCAATGGGTGGGATTTGAAGATGTAACTTCGGTTAAATTGAAAGTACAATATGCAAACAAAAATAAATTAGGTGGAATAATGGTGTTTTCGCTGGATTATGACGATTTCAGAGGAATATGCGGAAGTAAATATCCCTTATTAACAACAATCAATAAGTATTTACAATAAGAAGCTGGCATCCTAGACAAAATAAAACATCTTTCTTTCTCTATGGCTGGCATGTTAGTGAAGTAAAATTTTTATATTCTAATGTACGATTTTATTCTTGTAAAATATATAGATGTAATCTTGTAAAATAAAATTAAATAAAATAAATAAAATTGTTGGTGCTAATTTTTTTTTAAATTTTGAATTTAAGACAGCTGTCAAATACGTCAATCACATAAAAAAAATGCATAAGAAAAGTGGTTGTGATACTTCTACTGCTTAGACAACAAATGTCAATAAAATTTATAAAATAATAAGAAGATTATTGTAACCTCACATTTTTGACATATTTACATTCGGAAATTATTAATTTTGTTTTGTTTAATTTATTAACAAATAATTTCCATAATTTATAATAAAAATATATCAAATTATGAATTCGAAAAAACACCTAAAAGAAAAGAAACATCAATCCAAAAAACAAGATAAGTTAAAACAGCTAATAAAACAATCTTCCGAATCGGAGGATGAAGATGAGCACGAATTGTCCTATTATTTAAACGATAAAGTAAAATTGATGAAGGAAGTATTGAAAATTATTAAACCTAAAAAAATTAAATCTATGGCTCCCGACTGTATGAAGGTAAGTCTTCGAAGCATATTTCATAAAATATCTACTTATTACATCTATCATAGAATATGGATATTGAAGAAATTAACTCAATGTTGCTGGAAGAATTATTGGGAATATCAAACAAGAGACTTCGATATATATTCAATGGGCAAACTTTGAACGAAGAGAGTAGTTCAACCGATCCCGATCAGCCAGATATAATTTCTTTAGATGACATCAGTGATGATGATTTGATAATAGATTTAGATTCTGGTAAGATTTTTTATTTAATAATAATACACAATTTTAAATTATTATTTTGAATGAATTTTGTAGACGATGGTAAGAAAAAGAAGGTGAAAAAGCACCATAAGGTAAAAACGACAGAAGAACAACCAAAAAGGAAGAAATTTAAAAAAGAGAAAAATGATAAAGATTTCGATAAAAATAAGAAATTGGGCGAAGAAAATCCGATTGGTGAAAAAAACTTAATGAATGTGTTAGAATTATTAGAACTACAAGCAAGAGCTAGGGCAATAAAGTCCCAACTAGCTCTAGAACATAAAAATAATACGGAGACTATTGAAGAAACAGTTAAAGAAGAATTAAAAGTTGATGAAGATGATGATGATGATTCGATAATAGTTGAGAGTCCTAAAAATATTGAAATTTTAATTACATCTAGTGAATCTGAAGACGAGAATAATACAAGTCAAAATAATACTGGTGAATTGAATGAATCGTCCAAGGCTCCTGAAGAAAATGGTACCAATAACAGTATAAACATAATCAATCAAGTTACAATTAAAGAAGCTAATAATTCACAAACTCATACGCAAAATAACTCGGAGGATAAGAATGTTACAGAATGTGAGGAATCTGATGAATTAGGAAATACAGAAAATAATAGGCAGGATCTTGAAAGGAATGAAGATGTTGAAAATCAAGAAGGCCACACAATTGATCAGGTAGAACAAAATAATCAACAGAGCTCTGAGATAGAAAAAGTTGCAGAAAATGATTCACTAACATCAGAAGTAGATGAAAATGTAAATCTACAAAACCCTGTAGAGGACAAAAATGCAGATAATGAACAAAACCTTGAGGTCGATGAAAATAAAGGTAGTAAAAGTGAAGAAGCGAATGATGTGATGAGCAAAAGTATGAAAAAGATGAAGAGGATAATTAAAAGTGCAAAAATCTATGAAGATCAATTATCAGATTGCGCAGAAAAGAAGATTGAAGGGAAGGAAAAATCTGAAAGTCACAGCTCTGACGAAAATGAAGTGATAATATTGAATCTTGAAGAGAATGAAATGGACTGTATTAACTTAGATTAAGTATGTTTTTATTATTTTTAGAATAATTAAAAGAAATACAGTCATATACAGGGTGTTCCTAAACATCCTGCACATCCGAAAAGGGGGAATTCTTTGGCTCATTTCATGACTAAAAGTTCATATAAATATAGGTCACAGGTCCGTCTACTCTACAGGGTGTTAAAATTTGAAATTTTGCTTAATAGCTCCTGCACTTTTTGAGGTATTTAACTCAAATTTGGATTCTAGATTGCGTTATAGGTCATACATTGGGATGTCAGATGGTTGTTGAATGATTCCACAGGGTGACATTTTTTCAAGACTCATGTTCCCTTTTCTCCACCCGAACTTTCTTACCGTGCGCCGCTGATAGATTCTAAAATACAAAATGGATTGTCTTTTTTGTTTAAAAACCTTATTTATTTGTAAACTTTTTCGAGAAAAAAATTAAAAACGATTTTCTGTTCTGATTTTTTTTACAAAACCCCTAAATAAATTATTAGCTATACATTATAACAAATGTTGAAAGTGATTACTCAAATTATACCCTATATCATATACCAAATTTGAGCTAATTATTTCAAAAACTGCAGGAGCATTAGTGCTTAGGAAAAAACAAAAAAAACACCCCGTAGATCGGTAAGGAAGGGGTTTTCGAATCTATGTTTATATAAATTTAACTTAGTCATGAAATCAGCCAAAGAATCGCACCCTTTCTGATGTACACGATGTTTAGGAACACCCTGTGTAATTAATAATAATTAAGATATAATTAAATAAAAAAAAAAAGATTTTTCTTATCTAAATATATTATTTATTTGAAGATGTAAAAATTTTAGATACCGCATAATTGATTTTAGTTTTAAGTTGTAAAATTGGTTGCCTATGTAATGTGGTTTGAAGTGACATCTTATGTGAAATAGGAAAGTTACGTTTAAAAAAAAGAGGTTTACTTCGTTTTTGTTTTATAGATGGCGAAACGGTCTAATTTTGATTATATTATTTTTACCGAACTGTAAAGAAAAATTGAAATCCCAGTGGCGGGTCAATAAGGTGGCCAATATTTCTATGAGTAACCAATTTAAATTATTGTTTCGTTTTTTAACCATTCGTACTCATCAAATTAGTCATAATTTTCGGGAATAATAAATTTGTTTTCAAAAATCTAACATTGCATTTTCTTTTGATTCATAAATTCCCCGAAATTATCATTTTGGAAAAACGAGTCTGTTATAAACTCTTTATAAACTGTTTAATATTTACAAGAATTGGTTTTTTTTTAATTTTGGAATGAACTTTAACTGGCTTTTTGATTTTTTATACTCAGCAATTGTTTGTGAAATTATTTCCAATTACCTCCATATATGTAAATAATAAGGCAGTTAATCGATTAATTGAATACGAATAAAATATTCGTCCTAAATAGGAGAGCAATATAAAAAAAAAGCATTCATAATATAGCACTTAATCAAAAGATAAATGAATATATCTCCGATTAAATTCGGCTAAGCAAATACCAAGCGCGACAAAGTAAATAAGAAATAAAAATAAAAAAAAAGCGATTAATCGCCGAAAACGCCGGTATTGGAGAGTAACGTATGGAGAGATTACAGTGTAGTAGAGAGTAGAATAGTAGAAGAACATCTTTTCGTTTAAATTTAAATCAAATCAACGCAACGCAACATCGCAGGCGGCTGCGATATAAGCTATATTTATAAGTTGTCAATTGTCACATCATCCCCTCTATTGTTTGTCAGCGGCAGCCCATGTGCGGTCGGGTCGGTCGCACTTTTCTACTTCAACTTGGTTTTTATGCGAATGAACCAACAGTGTAAAGTCACGCTAGGAGCGTGGCAGTCCGAACTTACACCGATAAACGGGGCTACCGGCACACGGCTGCTCTACTTTACTTCAGACGTGGCAGAGCTGTCTATGTGACAGAGTGACGTCCACGCCGTAAATACGACGGCCGAAAGGTGTTCTTTGCTATTCCATTCGAAAAACCCGAACGCAGTGCTACGCGATCTCGACGCACGGCCGAGACCGAAAAACGGGGCCCCGATCTGACGCGCTCCTGTCTGCTAATGATGTTCAATGAGCAGAGGGTCGGGAAGGGATAAGGGGTAGGTTAACTCTATTGATTTTTAGGGTGACACTGTCAACTCCCGCCGAGTTCGCGGCCGAAAGGAAAAAAAAAATAACACACGCGGCTACATTCTTAAAAAGTCTATTAACAATTTCCCACGTTCGATGGCTAATCTCGCGTTCGGAGAGTTCCGGGAGTTTCCAGCGCGTTTGGGAGGTTTCTCTGTCGAAAATATCGTGTTTGTGATTGTGTTTTGAATTCGAAACCGGTAGTGGAATGTGTCGTTCATCGGGTGTTCACGGCTCGACCAACGCTGATGTTCGTCTCGTCGACGTCGCTCAGTGAAAATGGCAACAATAGGTGGCTTCTCGGAGGATCATTTTTGCAGAAGGCCAAAGAAGAAATTTAGTTGACGCTTTTGCAATTGCTCCTTTGCTAGAAAAAGCTTACGGCAAAGCCGACAAAGGTGGGCGTTCACATCACTAAACTTTTATCTTTTATTTATTAACTACCCTCTTTTGTTAACTACCTCGCCTACTTCGAATAATTTACTCGATATCAAATCTTACAACGCCTCCTACGATTCGGAATATAATCCATACAAAATTTCGTGATTATCTAACATAACCTATAAAACATCGGAAGCGTCTTAATTGCAAAAAAATCAATTGCATACCAACTAAACTCTTCAATTACGACACAAACCTAATTCAAACGTCCTAATAGAACGTTTAGCGAAATAAAATTGGAGAATTCGAAAAATTTGACCGGCAAAACGCCGACAGTGTAGGTGCTTTGTAAACATAACAATGGCGGACTCCTAAACATGCGCCTTCAACATGCACTGTTTATTAGGCACCTAGATGATTCTTGTGTAGTTCTCTAAGAAATTAATGTCGTGTATTCCGGTTTTATTGATTACAACCAACTGTTTGATATGTAAAAGTTTGTTGTGTGTCGGTGGTGTCCATAAGTAGTTCGTAGCGAAGACGGGAACTTCGAAATCGTAAATTATGCGGACTCGATTAATAACGATTCGAAAACTTTGCGAAAATGCTAACGTAACTTAGTGCAGTGGATGCAATGAAACAAGTCCGAGTGCCGAGAAAGTCAAAATGTAAATTGTATTGTCGTAAGATTTAGCAATAGGTATAGAAGAGTAGGTAAACATAACCTAACTTATCGGTGACCATAAATAAATGCCTTTCTAAAAATATATCGAAGGTAGAATATTTACCTGTTTTGGGTAGTGAGGCTGAATGTATTTATTTTTCAAAAAAGAAATTTTTAGTACCTTTATTGGATCGTAAAAATTAGGTTCAGGTTAAATACTTTTAAATTTTTCGAAGTAGGAAATTTTCAATATACCTAAACATTTTAACTTTATGTATGTAGGAAATTGTACCTTCAATATTAAATTTAAGCTATATCATAGCAGGGTTGTAAAATATATAACATTAATTCAATCACTATTACTTAATGCAAAAAGTTTATAATTCCCAGAATATCTACACATATTTCATTAAAAATTAGGATTACATTTGTTTGGTAAATTGTTAAGTAAATACAAAATTTCCTGCTATTTTTATCTTCTTTTCGAACAACTGCATCATTCCATGACCTTTTTCAATCGCTTGGAATTTTATATGAAAAACTTTTCTAGACAATATAATTAATTATTTAATCCTAAAGTCTTAAGTATTTATGGTTGTTCCAGTAATAGTTCATTTATTAGTGAACAGAGTTGGAATTATTAAATAACCTGTTGTTATTGGAGACTTGATTTTGATTCTTTCGAACACTTATGAAGAGATTCGCATTTTTCTATTTCAAACATTTTAGCTAAAAACAATGGCCAGCAATAGAAATTACTTACTTACAGCAATAGAAACATAAAATTCTTACTTTTTAATTTATGTGGAAATTTTTAATAGTTCGATAACTATTCTGAAGGACTTTTTAAGACTTACTTTACAACTGTAATTTTAACGCGCCTTTTTCCTTTCTCCTTAGTTTTTATTCTAAGATTACTTACATATGAATGCCCTCAAGCCATCCTTTTGTTGGCCCTTCAACTAAGATTTCAATTTGAACTATCAAGTCGACCTTGAACTTGAACCCATCACGATTTTTGTTTTTAAACTTGCTGCTCTATTCTGCTTCTTACCTTTACATAATTGCTTATTCAAATTTATTATTTATTGCCGGTTGAGTTTTAAATTGCACTTTAATCAGCAATCATTAGTGGAGTACTCGGTCAGAGTATCTCATTGATCACAACGTAGTAGCAGGTTCTATAATACTTATAATAGTTAAATATCTAATTACATATGGAGGAGGATTCTTTTCTTTTGGAAATTGCGAAAAATAACATACTCCACTGAGTAGAAATAATACACGAAAGTATACCTATTGTCACAATATTTTTAAAATATTAAAATAATAAATTAAAATAAGCATTATAAATTGAATCATGAAAACCTCGTTTCAAGAAGAGGATAACTCCATTTTTCAAAACTATTCAGAAGCAAAGACTTTTCAGTCCTATTCTTCCCCCGAAACAGACTGTTACTACTCCTTTCCTTTAATATTTTTGGAATATTAGTTATATCGTTAGTTATATCGTTCTTCCACACAAACAGAGAGAATATATTTCAAAAAAACAGAAAACCAGCAAAAGAGTTGAGCTATCCCCGTCTTGCAATGGGTCTTAAGTTTGAAAATCTTTATTTCTTCTAAAAATCTTTCTTTAAGTCCAATTCTAAAACCCTGCTTTGGCGCCTTACTGAAGAATTCCTACCTCATATTATGCCATCTATTTAAGAATTATTAACGCCCTTGCTTTACATTCTATTTTTGTGCATGCATTGTCATTTTAAACATGCATACATGCTAATCTGATATATCATTATTTAATAAACATATTCCCCACTTT